TAAAAACTATATTAATATTATTAAACCCTTTAATAACTTAATAAAGAAAAATATAACTTTTATTTAAAATAAAAAATATAAAAAAGCTTTTAATAAAGTTAAAAGTTTAATTATTTTAAAATTAATAATTATAATCCCGGATTTAAAAAAATTATTTAAAATCGAGATTAACGTTTTAAATTTTATTATAAAAGCTATTTTAAAATAATAAGATTAGTAAAAAGTATTTTATTTTTATATATTTTATTTTAAAACGTTTTATAAAATAGAATTAAATTAATAAATTTATAATAAAAAATTAATAACTATAATTAAAACTTTTAAAAAATAAAAACTATAGCTTTTAAAAACTAAATACGAAATTATTATTTATATAAATTATAAAAACTTTATAAATTTTATAATAAATAAAAATTTAAATAAATAATAAATTAAATAAAGCGAATTCCTATTTAAATTTAATTTCCGAATTATTTATTAAAAAAGTTTAAAAAATAATAAAATAAATATTTTTAATAAACAACTTAATTATAAAATTATAATCCTTAAGGAAATATAAATAATTTTTAAATATAACGATAAAAATAATTTTATATTTATTATAAAACTTTTTATAATAACTAAAAAAGTTAATATTAACTTATTTAAAAAAATAATTCTTAAATTTATTATAAAAGTTTATAATATTTAAATATACGGTTATTAAGGTATTATAAAAATATAAAAACGGATTTGTTAATATTATAATAAATCCGTTATAAGAATAGAAATCGTTAAAATTATTAAAAACTATAATATTTATAAAAAAAGTAAATATAACCCTTATAAACTTTATAAAAAGCTATAACTACTATTAATATTACTAAAAGTATAATATTTAATTTTTTAAAATTTTATTATTAAATTATTAAAATTTAAAAAACTATTTATAAATATATAATATAATAGTATTTTAATTATCATCGACCGACTTATTAAGTTTATTTATTTTATATTATATAAAATAAATAAATAATATTAAAAAATTAATATATATTTTCTTTAAAATAATTATTATTAACTACGGTTTACCTAAAGAAATAGTTTTTAATAAAAATAAATTATTTACCGCTAAGTTTTAAAGATTTTTAATTTTATAACTCGGTATAAATTATAAACTATTGACTTTTTTTTATTTATAAATTAATAAATAAATAAAAAAAATTAATTAAATTTTCGAAATATACCTCTACTATTATATAAATTATAATTAAAATAATTAAATATTATTATTATTAATAGCCTAGTTTATATATAATAATATAGTTAGTAAAAATATAAAAAAATCCTTTTTTTATTTTAATTATAAATTTTAATTAATTATATATAAAAAAGTATATAAAAAATTATAAATTATAAAAGCCGTAATAAACGTAAATAAATTTAAAAAGATTTAAAAAAAAGCTTTTTTAAACTTTAAATTTATATAATAATATATAAAAAAATACGCTAATAAATTAAAAATTAATAAATTAATTTTAAAAAAAAGAGATAATATATACCTCTTTCGTTATAATATTAAAACGAAATAACTAAACAATAAATTAAATTATAAAAAACTTAAACCTTTCGAAATTATTAAAAAAGTCTTACTAATTAATTTTAAATTAAAACTTTTAAATACGATATAATACTATTTAGTTTTTTATATTTTATTTTTTATATTAATATTTAAAAGCTTATATATTAAAAATCGTATTATTATTAAATTTAATAAACCGGAGTACGAAGTTAAATAAATTATCGATTACCGAATTTAAAAAAAATAATAAAAATATTTTATTAAATAAAAAGACTATAGATACGAAAATAATATATAAAAACCCGTTACGAACTTTTAGAACTCTTAGTAATTTTTTAAAAACTATTAAAAAATAAAATTAGCGGTCTTAAGGACGCGAACTTATTATTAAGTTTAAAAAAAAACTAATTTATATTATTAAAAACCTATATAAACTATAATTCTTTAACTATTTTACATTTATATATATTTAATATAAATTTTAAAATATCGGATTTATTTACTTTTTATATCTTTTAAAAAAAAGTCTTAGCTTAACGATCCCGTATTAACTTTTAAATCTTTTAAATATAAAATAAATAATTAATAATAATCGTTATTAATAATTAAAAACGGGCTAACTCTTCGTAAAGTTTTAAAAAAATTTTACTTATTTTTTTTTTTATTCTTTTTATTAAATATTAAGTTTTTAAATTATAATTATTAACAATTATAAATATAATAAAAAACAAGAAATTAAATTATAAATTAATATTATTAATACCCTATTATAAAACTTTTTCGCTTTTATATAAGTTCGATAATAAAAAAACCCCTTATTAAACCGATACGTAATTTTAATATAAAAATAATAAATATAAAGTATATCGGTATTAACCAAACGAGTTTTAATAAATTTTAAAAATACTAAATGCTTACGATCTTTTATTTTTATTTTTTTAAATTTTATTTTAACGTTCGATTTTTTTATGCGATTTAATATAATATTAATATTATAAAAAATAATAAATTAATAACTTAATAGGCCTTAATTTAGGCTACGGATATTTATTTATAGGTCTATAGGACTAGATTTTTAAAAAGGAGATTTAATATTACGATTTAATATATATAATAGATTAAAGACTTGCCCCGCTACTTTACGGCGGTTATTTTATTATATATATAATTAAATAATAAAAATATATATATTATTTTAATAAATTAAAAGAATTATAAAGAAGTTACGTAATAATAAAAAAAATCGATAGATAATAAACGGTTTTTAAATATAAATTAATAAAATAAAAATCGGTTTATTTTTAAAAGATTAATTTTATAATATCGGTCTTAAATATAAAAAAACTATTTAATAATATATAAGATTTATATATAATATAAACTTAAGTTAAGCTTACGTTTGTAATTTCTATAACTTTTTTAATAATTAATTTCGTATTAAATTTAATAATTACTTTTAGTTATCTTTATTAAAAACTTATTTAATAAAATTACGATTAATTACCAAAGCCTTACCTACCTTACCACTTATAGATAATAGCTTTATTAAAAGCTATTTTTATAACGATTATTATTTATGAATATCGTAGCCCCGACTTTTATTAATATAAACCTTATTACGACTAGCTGGCCGTAATATATACCTTCGCCGCTCCGTCGGTCGTTATATTTATTATTTTTAAATTATATTAATATCTTTTATTCTATACTAATCATATTAATTTATAAAAGTTTAAAAATTATAAAAATATAGCTAAGTATTTAGATTAAAAAAGATATAAAAGTAGGCTTATTATAATTTTAAAACTTAAGTTTAAAAATCTTTAAAACTATCGCCGGTTCTTTAGAATTTAACCTAGCCCGGCAGGGCCGAAGATTCGCCGAGCCGTCGCTACTTGAGCGTAGGGTGGCTGTGCTAGTGTGGCGCGCGGCAGCGGCATCCTTACAGTATAATATAAACTTAAACTAAGTTTAAATTTAAATTTTTATAACTTTTTAATAATTAACTTTATATTAAATCTTATAATCGCTTTTAATTATTTTTATTAAAAACTTATTTAATAAAATTACGATTAATTATTAAAGTTTTATTTACTTTACGACTTATAAATAATATTTTTTAAAACTATTTTTACGATAATTATTATTTATAAGTATTGTAGCCCCGATTTTTATTAATATAAACCTTATTACGACTAGCTAGCCGTAATATTTTTATTATAATTAACTAAACGTAATACGTAAGTTTTATAAAATAAAGCTTTAATTTAATAATTTATTTTAAGTTGTAATATTATATATTAAACCTTTTATAATATTATTTATTTTACTTTTTTATATTAATTTTTTTATATTACTTTTTAATTTTATTATTTTTTATAATTAATATATTTAACTTATATATTTACTTAATTAACTTATAGTTTTACCCCTTTTATTAAAAGTACTTTTTATTAAAGAGGCTATATCAATTATATATAATTAAACTAATACTTATTTAAATATGTTTACTAATTTATTTTCTAAACGCTTTTAATTAATATATTTACTTAATTAATTTATAATTTTTTTTAATAAATAAATATTTTAAATTATAAAAATTAAGTCTTTATATTTTAAGCTTATTATAATATATAATAATAATATTTCTATAAGAAGAATTAAGTTTATAATTATTATAAAATGAAAATATAAAAACATAATTATTTATTTATTTGAAAGAGTCTTTTATAGTTTAATTAAATAGAGATACTAGCCGTGGGCGCTCAGTCGGGCGGTTAGTAGGCGTATGTAAGCGGCTAATATACCAGCCATACGTGGCTGTGCCCTGAACCCCCTGCGATAAACGATTATCAACAGCCCTAGTCCTTGGGCCCCATCCTTAGGCCAATAGACTGACTGGCAGGCCGGCGGGCTGGCTAGCGTCCGAGATGTCGTGGTGCGGATCGCGGCTACTTCACAATCGATCAAGTCACATAGGTTCTATTCTACTGATCACAAGGCGTAAATGCTGTCCAACAGATAATCTTTCCTAGCAGAAAGGTAAGCGGCACAAGTAACTGCCAACGCCCCGACACGAATAGACGATAACTTTTCTTAACAGAAAGACACACAGGACATCTTTAACTATAACGTCCGTTTCACGGATTTACGCCTCCTGCGACCACATATAATGATGGGGATGGCTCCATTTTCAATGTTTCTATTACTCATAGACCCGATTGCGCTATCAATCCACAATAAGACATGATGAAAGAGAAGAAATCGTCTGTCGATGCCGCCATGTACTGATTAAAAGACCTTGGAGGCTCAGGTCATATGTCAATGTGTTTGACTAGAGCCTCTTTCCCCATTTGTCTCCCTGCAACCTCTTCCCGCCGATAAACCTCCATCAACGCATGGTAAAGTAGGTAGTCTTTGAAAAAACCGCTACTGAACCATGTCCGAAACCGCCCCATACAACCGGGACCCGGAGCACACAGGCCGTGGTCCCATATCCGGTCCGGCTCCGAGCCGTATCTCGAGTACCATCCCGAAATCCAAGTCTTTGTTTCGATCCGTACCTTTTCAGATTCTCGCCGCTTGTGGCGTCTCCTTCACGGCCCCTGGCATGTGGGATGCCTTGGGTGGGCTCGGTGCCGGCGGCGCAGCCGAACCGTACGCTGTGAGCGCAGCCAACGCTCTTGGTATGATCTTAACCCAACAACAAGCTTTGCATTAGATTCATTCCCTGGACTAATTTCCTTGCGAAGTGTACGGCCTTTTCGCGGTTGTTTGTGTCGCTGCGGGCGCCATCAACAACCGCATCGGTCTACCGTACGGGCTAGCTTTAGGTGCCATAGGCTATCCGCTCTATGGTGCCGGCTTGTATACGAACAACGTCAGTGCCAACACTTGGTTCATGTTGTTTGGTAGCGCCCTCTGCGGCATCTCTGCTGGCTTTTTTTGGGCAGCTGAGGCCGCCATTATCATCGGCTATCCTTCTCCTGGAGACCGAGCATTCTATCTCGCCGTCTGGCAGACAGCTAAGGCCGCGGGCCCCATCGTTGGCGGTGCCATCAACCTAGGCTTGAACGCCAACCGGAAGACTACGGGTTCCGTCTCGTCATCGACTTATATTGTCTTTATTATAATCATGTGTTTTGGTCTCCCCATTGCACTGTGTTTGTCACCTGCCAATAAAGTCTGGCGCAAGGACGGAACTGTCATCAACACGCCGAGAGCTCCAAGTTGGGGGGCCGAGTTTAAGGCCGTCGGAAAACTGTTCTCCAGTCGCAGAGTTTTGCTTCTACTGCCAGCCTTCTTCATTAGTTACTTCTATAATGGTTTCATGAGCACCTGGCTCGCGACATATTTCACCGTTCGCTCTAGGGCTTTTGCCAGTTTCTTCACCAACTTCGCGGGCATCTTCAGCTCCTTCATCATCGCCACGCTGCTGGACAATCAGAAAATCCACATCAAGAGCCGTGGCCGGATTGCCTTCATCTCCATCATTGTCATGCTGGTCGGCACATGGGTGTGGGCCACCATACTGCAGAAGCAGATTTATGACGCGAGTGAGCCGCCTGTCTACGATTGGTTTCACGGCGGATTTGGAAGGAGCTACGCCCTCGTCTTCTTCTGGCAATTTGGTGGTCAGGCCTTTCAACAATTCTTGTACTGGCTTGTCGGCCAGTATGCGACGGACCTTTCAGACTTGAGCCGTCACACTGGCATCCTTAGAGGCACAGAGGCTTTGGGTCAAACCGTTGCTTGGGCGTGAGTCGTCCATATTTCTCTCGCTATTTCGCTTTTGATTATGCCAACATGGAATAGTTCGGATACTGACGACGCGCCACAGGATGCAATCTGAGGGCAACGCCAATCATTTTGTCAGCATTGGCCTCAATTTTGGTATCACAGTTCTCTGTGTCTTCCCCACCTGGCTGGTGCTGTCTGCGCTTGAGGGAAGCCATGAGGACAACGAAACCAATGCCGGAGTCAATGTAGTAGGTGACACTGTCGAAGAGGAGATCGGACCAAAGGCAGTGGCCAAGTAAGTAGTACAAGATCGTGCGTATATGCACACAGTGGTTGAAGAAGTGAATTCAAGCCATTACAACTATCCAAGTCGGTCTGCCTATACTTTCTAGATGATATCCCGATGCAAGATAAAGCATTGAAAATGAATATAGATTCCCCGAGTGAACAATCCAATTCGTGATAGGCGGGTGCCGTATTTTGAATACGTCGGCGGCATATCATGAGCTACCGCTAGCTAGGTCGCTCTGCAGAGCCGAGCTATTTACCCTGTAGCGAAGAAAAGAATCGCATAGAAGCCAAAGTCGCTGAATACGTCAAATGCGACCTTGTCTACTACGACCTACAAGAACGGCTGCTATATGAGTCTGGCATGGAACGATCAATCACTTCGTACGAGGCTCAGTAGTCATTGCGCTATATTGCGCAACCATGTGGTATATTTCAACTGTCTCTTTTGTCTAACGCCCAGCCTGATTTTCCTTGCCGTTTCCTGATTTCTTTCTCGTAACTACAACGCCCAAGTATCCAGATTAATCACTCTGCAGTGCGGCTCGCTGCCCGTCCTCTGCGCCAATTGTCCCAATCGAAGGACCTTCTCACCGGCAGCTTCAAGAGCTGCCACGGCGGCACTTTCCATAGCCGCATCTACCGCAGCAACCATGCCTACGCCAGTGTTGAAAGTGCGAACCATCTGGTACGGATCCACGTTGCCACTTGTCTTCAGCCATCTGAAGACAGCAGGCATCTCCCACCTGGTCAAGTCAATTTCGGCAGCGAGATGCTCCGGCAACATGCGAGGCACGTTGTCAATTAAGCCGCCTCCGGTGATGTGAGCCAAACCCTTAACCAGGCGACCTTCAATGACACCACGCAAGCTCTTCACATATATTTTGGTGGGAGTCAGCAAACTTTCACCCACAGTCTTGCCAGCATCCCACGGAGCAGGATCGGTGTATGCGAGACCCTCGCGTTCCAGAATGCGGCGGACCAAGGAGAAGCCGTTGGAGTGAACGCCGCTTGAGGCCAAGCCAAGAAGCACGTCTCCTGCGACCATGTCGTCTTGACGCGGCAGTCTTTGGCTATTGATCATTACACCAAGCGCGCAGCCCGCAGCATCGTAGTCATCCTTTTGGTACATGCCGGGCATTTCAGCAGTCTCGCCGCCAACAAGTGTGCATCCAGCATCGATGCAGCCTGCTGCCACACCTTCGACGAAGGCAGCGGCCGTGCTCATTTCGAGTTTGCTGCAGCCGTAGTAGTCCAAGAACATCAGGGGTCTGGCGCCCTGAACGACGAGATCATTGACATTCATGGCAACCAAGTCGATGCCCACAGTGTCATGCTTTCCCATTTGTTGAGCGATCATGAGCTTAGTGCCGACGCCGTCAATAGCTCCAACGACAATGGGGAGTTCGCCGTCCTTCAGCTGGAGGCCGCACTTTGCCAAGTCAAGCTCACCACCAAAGCCTCCAATCTCGGCATCAGCCCCCGGTTGCTTCGTAGCGCGTACTGCCTTCTTAATTCTCTCGACGAACTCGTTACCTGCGTCTACGCTGACACCAGCTCCAGCGTACGTCAAAGCTTCCTTTTCCTGCTGCGACCGGAAGGCACGATGGGCAATATCCTTGCGATAATACATCTTGTCAAAATCGACGAGCGTAAGACCTTGCTCATATGCCTTCTTCACCGCAGCTTCGAGGGAGTCTGCAGTGGCGTTGACTGCAATTACACGGCCGCCGGAAGTCTGCAATTGACCTTGTGGGGATAGCTTGGTTCCGGCATGAAAAACGGTGATATCTGGCGACGTTGACTGGTTCACCACCATGGGCGTACCCTTTGCGTAGGATCCAGGGTAGCCACCCGCTGCCACAACTACAGTGGCACTGTATTTCTCCTCAACCTTGATATCCACGCAGTCGAGGCGGGCCTCGTGGGCCGTGCAAGCCATCATGATCTCGGCCAGATCCGTTTCGGGAGAGAGGAGCGGAAGAACTGTTTGCGTCTCGGGATCGCCAAATCTGACATTATACTCAAGCACCTTGGGGCCTTGGCTGGTAATCATGAGACCAGTGAATAGAATGCCGCGGAAGGGATACCCCGCCTTTCGCATTCCGGTGATGGTGGGTTGAATTACATCCTCATCAATCTGGCGGATGAGCTCTTTGGTAGCAATGGTCGTCGGAGCGTAGCAGCCCATACCTCCAGTATTGGGGCCTTGGTCGCCATCTCCGATTCTCTTGTGATCCTGGGCAGGAGGAAGAGACAGAGTGTGGGTGCCGTCGCTAAAGGTAAGGATGCTCAGCTCGTCGCCAGTCAGGAACTCCTCAATGACGACCTCGTCACCGGCAGAGCCAAAGGTCTTCTCCACCATGATCTGCTTGAGAGCTTGCTTGGCCTCTTGCTTGTTCGTGGGGATGATGACGCCCTTGCCAGCAGCGAGACCGGTGGCTTTGATGACGACGTTGTGGGACACTTTCTCGACGTAGGCGACGGCCATTTCATAATCGGAAAAGTTCTCGTAGGCGGCAGTGGGAATATTGTACTCTTTCATGAAGTCCTTGGAGAAAGTTTTGCTTCCCTCCATCTGTGCTGCTTCCTTGGAGGGCCCGAAGCAAGGAATGCCGGCGGCACGAAAGTAAGCCTCAATTCCTTCGACGAGAGGAGCCTCGGGGCCGGGAACGACCAGATTGACAGACCGAGCCTTGGCGAGCTGGACGAGAGCGGGGTAGTCGTCGGCGGCGATATCCTCTACGTTTGTGGTCTTGGGACAGGTGGCGGTGCCTCCATTGCCTGGCACCGCAAAGATGGAATCAACACGAGGTGACTGGCTAAGCTTCCACGCAAGCGCATGCTCTCGGCCTCCGTTGCCAATGAGCAACACACGCACACTATCACCCGAAGTCATGGTGAGGGCGAGATCGAGAACGAGTAGCAGCACCAAGGGACCTGCAGAATGATTGATCAGCCTCGAGATAGAACGCCAAGTAGCGCAGACAGACACGGGGATAAGTGGTTAATCTAGCAGGGGGAGACAAACGGGGATCGCGCAATTAGACGTCTAAGTAACTTATGAGCCACAAGCGTGTGGAAGGCTAATGGAATCAGTAAGGTAAAGTACAAGAGTCTACCGTCTGTGTCTTGTGTGCAAAGGAACCATTGGTGATGGTAGACGGATGGACGATTGATTCGGCTTTGAATCGAATCAGTGACGTGAAAAGTTTCTTTGCTGCACCTCCACTGCCGGAGAGGGGGGGGCACCCGGGCGCGGGGCAGAACTGTTGCGACGCCGGCGCAACCAAATTCTCATCGAGACGTCTGCCCCTCCAATACTAACCTGGCCTAGGGCGGGGTGACAAGGGTGGGCCAAGAGACTCGAGAGGAAGATGAGAAAAAAAGGGAAAAAAAAAGAAGGGACTCTTGAATTGGATTAGCGCAAAACTTTCCATTGCATAGTGCCGTGGGGGTCAAATTACGCCGCTTGTCGTTAGGCTCCCTAAATAATACTCAAAAGAGCACCCAACAAGACCTAGAATTAATTGAGGATGTAGAGAGAAAGCTATAATATTCTTTTTATATTTTAGAAAGGACAATAATTCCTCTTTTTTACGTGAAGTTGTCGGTTTTCTCTAATGGGCTCATAAAAACCGGCGGTGTTATTTTTTACCCCTGCGTGCCGCCTACTTACTTACCTCCGTAGTAAGGCAATACGCACTCAGTCAGTCACCTTGTTACGTACATTCGTCCTTGGGTTAAAATGTTCCTGCCCAAAGTCAGGCAGCATGGAAAATAGACGTCCACTTTTTCTTCAGCACCTTGCACGTCTTTCAACAACACCGTCAAGTTCAACCACACTGATTGATACCTCTCTATCCCAGGGACCTATAGGACCAGCCGAGGCAGAACAGACTGCTCCAGCTCGTCAACGCTCCCACTACTAATGAAGAGTGCATACTCGTTGTACGCCGCATTGAGTATCACGTCCCGGCTGCTTGCGTTCCCCCATGGCTCGGCAGCCTCTGGGTCTTCGGCACCAACGACTTTTCGATACCACTCTAGAGCCAGATGATGCAGACCAAGCATATGGAAAGTCCTCGCCACACCGAAAAAGGCCTCCCTCCTCTCGTCCAGCGTTCCGGAGAGTTTGGAATGGCAGAATTCGAACACACAGGCGAATCCCTGCATGATAAGATATTGACGGTTATCGGCCTGCCGCTTGAGGGCGTGATGGATATATCCTAGTCCCACACTGAGACTGATCATGGGGTTCAAGGGGTCCAAAGTTCGCGCTCGAAGGAAGTAGTCTGGCACGAGCGTTCGTAAGTCAGCTCAGATAAATTTGTGCAAAGTGTGACGCGGTTCATGTGGAATGACTCACTCAGAGCAAAGGTGTAGCTGGTCGAGGTGAATAGGATATGCCCGTAGAGCATCAGCAAACAGGTATCGAGCTGCTTGGCCTCGGCAGTGCTGGTGCGATCACCGACTGCAACTTCATAGCCCCTGTCCGTCGGTGCCGCGCCAAAGTGAGAAGCATCAATGATCTTGATCTGGCGTAATATGTACTTCTGTGCAGGTCCTGAATTGTACCAGGATGCCGGAGACTGGCACAGTCTGCATAGAGCGGCGAACATGCGGTATGAATCCGAGTCCAGCTGCCGTACCTTCATAAAGAATCGGGCGACAGCTACACACATCTCTTCGTCAGAGAGATATATAGCGCATGCTGTTTTATCAGTCAGCCAATTAGTCATTCAGTCATGCTTCTCAAACGAGACGGGGAGGAGTATAGCGTACCCGCCCATGCGATATGGATCAAGAACATGTAATCCTTGGAGTTGACAAACACGATGGAATCTCGAGCTGCTTCGCAAACTTGATAGGCCTCCTCTGCACGATTGTCGAGGGCAAGGCTGATGGCGTAGTCAAGAAACAGCTCGAGCCATTCGCCGAAAGGGATCCCTCGATAGCCGTCATCTTCATACGCCACATTTATTCTCCTCTCGTCCGAGAGGGATGGTGCCATATCTGTGAAAAGTTAGCATGGGTGCACCGGCCGGAGTTGATCGGGAGCCGATGAGTGGCATACTTTTTGACAATCTCTCGGCCAGTTCAGATAGACCAGGCTGAGTTCGGGATGAAGCGCTGAAGACAACATCGTTGGCAGCCCCAAGAAACTTGAGGTATTTGTCCCAAGGATAGAACTTCCTAAAGGACCTGAACTCGCCCACGAGGTCGCCAGCAGCGGCCATCCATGTTGGTATCAGTGAGTGGTCGCCCGCTTGAATCTCCTTCTTCAGACTGCGCACAACCTCGTAGCGCCTAGTGAGCTCATCGGCCCGGGCCCGTTCTTCTTGCATCCGTTGATCGGGAGCGACCAGCCGCTTCGGGCGATATCTGGGGCGAACAATTCCGCTACTTGCCGGCCGACGCTTGTATTCCCGTCTGCGCCGGGATTTGGCACCATCGGCCAACCCAGAGCCTAGTGATCCCGATAATCGGCGATGAGAGTCGCCGCCAATGTCTCCACGGCCACCGCCGACGAGGCCTCCTTCGTCGTTGATACCTTGAAGAGCGATCGCTTCGGTCACGAGAATATAAGCCTCCTCCTCCTCCTTCGCCTTTTCATATATCGTGGCTAGTTCATAACGGGCGTCGATGTTGGTCTCGTCGACCTGGATGGCCACAAGAAAACAGTCCTCCGCCGCCACGTTATCGAACTTTCTCAGGTAGCAGCGGCCAAGTTGAAGTAGTAAAGTGGCGTCTTGTCCGTATATGGAATGACGCAGCAGTTCGTAGTAATCTAGTGCCTCCGGATGCCGCTGGACGGCGCAAAGTTCATCTGCAATATCTCGAACGAGGTAGGGAAACCCCTCAATCGCGGTGGCCGTAGCGGATTCAGTTGGATCCAGCCACCGAAGATGTAGCTAGTAGAATATCAGCAAATTCTTGATGCTCCTTAATCAACAGGACACAACAGTGAACATACATCTGATTCCTCCCCATCTCGGATCTTCAGCCGGTACAGAGCAAGACGGGCTCTGAATTCCAGAGGTAATCCCAGGCCATATGTATATGGACCGTAGGCAGACGGATTGAACGAGGGGAGTTCAACACGGCGGGTGTGATCACGGTCCCATTCTCTGTCATCGATGCAAGCATCCCACGTTTGATCGTTTCGTCGCCCGAGCAGCCAACGCGAAAGCGCCTTGAGATCTGCGATGGCGTTTGCAAAGTCTCCAGCGCAAGCAAAGAGTTCCACATAAATGCTGATGTCGTGCCATGACAGCTCCCCCTCCCCTTCCTGTTCGGTGCTTCGTGCATGTGCGAAGTACGTCTTGTAGGCTGAAACGGCCTTTTGGACATCTTCCATGCCTCCGGAGTCGGCGCAAGCCTCTGCCAGCCGTCTAACGACATCTATGTCCAGGGGGCGACGCTCAATGACGAAGGTGAACTCAGTAATAGCCTGGGATAAGAATCCCTGGCGGTGACTTGCTTCGGCTCTGCCCAATCTCGCTTCAAGGTTCGTTGGTTGAGCCTTGATTGCAGATGAGTAACACATAAGGGCCGTCTTGAGGGCGCCATCTTGGCCACCCTCGGCGAGGCTCATGGCAAAGGACGCACAATCCATCCAGGCTGCGAAGTCTTTAGGCCTTAGATGAGCAGCAATGACCATGGCCATCAAAGCCTGGTCATTGGCGCCTTCTTCCCGGAAGATGGAAGCTAGAACAGTCCATGCTTGATGAGTTTCGGCGTTGATTCTGATGATCTCAAATACAAGATCCCGAGCGAGGGCATAGTCTCCACTCATGAACGCCTGATTCACTCCCGCGAGACGAAGCTTGATGTCGCCTCGGGGCTCAGCAGCCTTTCGAGGACCTCGCAGGGAGCGCGAAGCATTTTTGCTTCTCGACATCGGCGGAGCACTCCTCAATGCTCCGTCATCGCTATCATTGCCGGCGCCAGCGCTGCCCCCAGCACCGTGGTGTGAATAGAGGAATTCTCGGACGGACTGTTCATACTTTGCGATATCGCCTCTGAGTTCCATTTCGTCTGAGTCGGCATCTGAAACGAGATCCTCATCGTTGTCAGTGACTTGATCATCGTCTCCAAGGTTCGCAACCTCTGATTCTTTCCATGCTGGGTCCATGATGGCTGATGTCGACAAAGCCAGCCCGTGTTGCTGATCGGTCGGATGGGTTGGGAACCTGACACTTGGCGAACGAACCGAGCTGCTGAAAAGGCAAATACTGAAAGGTATGAGTCCAGACGATCAGAAACATTTGTCTTGGAGATGTCAGTCGAGGGACGCCTGGACCTGCAAGTTTTTTTTGGTGGAAGGTATGATCAGATGAAGTGGCAGGAAACGAACAAATTGCCGTTTCGTTGTTTATTTTTGGTGGCAAACGTCGAGTCACTAAGAACCGTTCTGTGGCGCGGCGTGTTAGGTTTGACTGGGCGATTGGGAAATGATTCAGATGGCACATGGATGGCTGGGTAGCTCTACCTAAGGGAAACCATACCCTGCCATTGATGTTGAGCTGTTTCTCGATAATTCGGGCAGACTAGGTAACATGTCCAAGGTTTTAGTAGAGTGTCCCTTGAGACGCGGGGAGGCACAAGGGAAAAATTAAGAGTGAAGAGTGCGCTGTAGCAGGTCAGTGTAAAGTTGATCGAGTACTTCAAATGGAAGAAAGAAGGCAACGGACGTGCACCTGCCTAACCTTACATTCGCATTTTCCCCACCCGAGTTCTGACTTTGATCTTCGAAATACCTTTGCGGACAGCCATTTTTCGGCGGGTGACCATTCTTCCAAGCAAGGTAACCTACCAAGTACGAATTTTTTTTGCAACTTTGATCACATGATAAGTGTATGGGTGTACTTCATTCCTAAAGAATCATCTGTTCGTGAGAATCAGCAGACAGACTGATGGCAAAACCAGAGGTACGAAGATGACTGTCCCAAACTGAAGTTGAGCACTGGCACAATCGACGTGAGCAGCCGATACATGACTGCTTTCCATAGTCATGATTGTTTACAACAAATGAGGCTCTCATGAATAATTATCGGCGACGCACTGCAAAAGTGGAGGCACTCCCTTACGTGCAGCCGGACACAGACTGATATCTTCATATATATGTACAGAAGCACAGAGTGAACGAGAACCAACTCTCAGTAAAAGTTTACCTACACCCGGGCTACTATCTGAATACACATCCGCGATATTTCATGCTTACCACCTCGTTATGCTTGTCGTCTATCCAACAGCACATCGAGTCTCGTGGTCGCACGCGTGAATGTGTAAGTGTCCGTGTGTCCGTAGTGGCGGAGGGGTAACATGAACTGCGCTAATCTTCCTTGCGTCAACCCCCAAACCACTTTTCAAGCAATTTTGCCATCGTTTTTGGCCTCTGTTTACGTCATGTTAGCCCCGGTGCCTCAAATAGCTGGCCAAGAATGGTACCTACCTTTGACTTGCTCAAAGACCTTGAGCATCTTCCGCCGAGCTCCGAGAGCGTTGACTCCGCGGTCCTCCAAAGCCTTGTCGTCGAGCTCAATCAACTCATGCCACTTCATATCCTTGAGATTTTCCGTGTACTTGTGCAACCGCAGGCTCCTCAGCCAGCTAGGGATGTCCTGAAGCAGTGTCGGATCTGTTGGGTCTTCAGGCGGCTTTGAGCTGCCTCTACGGCCCCGAGGAGACCGGCCACGGACCATATCGGAGTGGTCTGAAAGGTATCCTTCGTGATTGCCTACACCCAGCTGGCCCACATTGACTGAGGGAATGCCATTATTGAGAAGAGGAGAGGCGCCATCATAGGCGCTGAGGAAGCCATTGTTTTGCGGAGAGGCGAATGCCATGGGCCCAAAGCCACCGGGTTGCATGGCAATTCCCGGCGAGCTGGGTCGAGACCGGTGTTGACCGAAGCCCATATTTTGTGCCTGCAGAGCAATCATTTGCTCGCGACTGAGAACCTGGCCATGCTCGTTGATCATGACCACGTTGGAATTGGGAATATGCGCGTTGTGAGGCAGACCTTGCTGGCCCGGAGCACCCGGGGCATCGTTGGATCGGGCACGGCGATACTTGCGAACGTCATCAAGAGCGAAGCGGTTATTGACTGTCGACAAAGCTGCTAGCTTCATCGCGGTGGCATTTGCGACCATGTCGGCCTGTGTACCGCTGGTATTGGCGTTGAAATTTGCAACGAGCGGCGTGTTGACCATTGACGCCCAATTGCCACCACTTGGATTGTACGGGGACAAGAGAGGAAGGTCTGGCGGCTTGTCATTGGTCGTCAAAGTAGTGTTCTGAATATTCTGGTTGCCCGAGATTTGCGGCGGGCGTGGAGATCTTAAACCACTCGACGGGGGCGGCTGGACGAACTGACCCATCGGGGGCTGACCGCCGGGAGCTTTGGATCCCTGGACCGACTGATCGCCTCCAGTCCACTGGTTTTGGCCATTGGAGTCGTGGTTGTCGGCAGGGGCTGCGATTGTCGGAGCAGCCAGGGACTGACGAGAATCACCGACAGCGCTGTTTCGATTGGAAGAGGGAGGGTTGCCTGTCTGCTGAGTGAACTTGGCCTTCTCGGTCGCAATGGCTGCGGCGGCGTCAGGAAACATTGCGTTGATGGTCGAAGGATCGAGTCCCGACTGCCGCTTGCCGGTCGCAGTGCTTGAGGGGCGGGTGAGAGAGTTCCGGGAGGAATCAACATTCAGCTTGTTCATAGCATCGCTCAGGCGGTTCGACATGGGGTCTTGAAGGGACACATCAGTTGACGGCAAGCGGGACAGCATGGTGTCGCAATTGAGCTTACCTTTGTCGAAGTTGGCCGGGGACAAAACGCCCGACATTGGGTGGTTCTTGCCCATTTGCTGTAGAACCTGAATAAAGAATCGAATCTGGACTTGAGTGGTTTGCTGCAGCAAAGCGTACAAGGCAGCAGTGCGCTCGGCCTCGCTGAGGACTCTGAACCACTGCTCAATGGCACTCAACTCGTCCTTGAAGTCCTGGTCGAGAGTGGCAGCGGCCATTTCTTCCAAGGTTGTCTCATACTGATCGATATCGGCAATCCACTGTTGCGCGATCTTGTCTTGGGGATCGGTATCGGGATTACTGTGGCCTTGGCCCTGCTGAGAGCCATAAAAGTCGGAAGACGGGCGAATTCGGCTCGAAGGAGATGCGTTGGAGAGCGCAGCCATATCGGCAGAAGCTCTAAGGTGGCTGTTGGCGCCCATGACTCTCGAGGAGGGGGGGCGGAGAGACGGGTTGGTGTTGGCCTCCGGGGTACTATTGCGGTTTCCCGCAATATGACTGCCAGACATGTTGAGCATTGTCGACAGACAGCGCAATTATAGCGAGGCAGGAATCGCGCTGGGAACGGCGGCGAAGGTAATGTCAAGGAGACGATGGAAAATTGACAGGTGGTAAATGAAACGATGCCGGCGACCAGTGAAGGGTGTCGTGTCTTTGTGTGGTGCTGGAAGGGGGGTCGGCCCGGGCAAGGAGGGACCAGCGCTGTTTCGAGATTTCGAATGACGGTAACGTCAATCGAATCAGCAAGCAGACGAGCCTAGCTAGCCTCTCTGACTGTGTGACTTGAATCAAGAAAAGAATGAGAGAGACGAACGGAAGCCACAGCAGCAGCTATCAGTGCAAATCCACGTGAGCGATTTCGATCGCTCGTCAAGAGTTAAAAGGCTCTTGTTGGCTTGGTTCGTTCAAGTAAGGCAACAGTCCCAAACAGCCTGTTCTTTTCCCCCCTGTGTCTTTTGCTGCGGCAGAGCTTAGACGGTACAAGTAATGAATCGTAGGGTACGTGTTCAGTGCCCAAAGCTCCTGCAGAAACCTGCTGACCTCAAAGGAGTCGGGGATTAAGTCAATTGGGGACCTGCTGCTTAACACATGTCTCTGTGTGGGGGTAACACGGTCTGGTTATCGGCCCAGGATTTCAATTTCTTGGGTAGGTAGCTGGAGAGTAGGATCGAAAGAGACGGGAGCCGGAGTGAGAAAGGGGGCAAGCCGAGGTTGCTGAGGTGCGAGTCGAGACGAGCCGCGCCGTGCTTTGTTCTGGTTTTTGTGTGTTGTTCTCTTCCGCAGTGAGCCCGGACGGCGATAGCAGCGCTGCGTTTTCCGATAGGCCGGAGGAATAGGTTGGGGGTGGCAGGAGGAGAGGAGGGGGTTACAGGCGGAATGAATTTCTGGCAAGCAGGCAAGAATTATTCAAGAAATGCTGCTTCCAGGCAGGTAATACGATATTCAAGGCTGGCGTCGTCTGAAAGTATTACCCAAGTGTTGCGGGTGGTGGGATCAAAAGGAGCGCTGCTTCGCGAATTTGCAGGAGACGTACTCCTTCATGTACTGCGCGGCGGCTGGTCAGTGGGAGAGGAGGGTTCAGCAACGTGGCGTGGTCGGCTGCTTAGTCAAGTGGACGGCCATGTGCACCCCTTACCACCTATGGTAAGGGAAGGCCCTGTTCCCTCCACCAACGCCTGGATTGCGGTTCCCACTGGTTCCCAATGAAGCAAACTACCCACCAGCACCTAAGGTAGTTGCCGATCTCGTTCTCTACAAGCCTTCCAGGTATTTCCAGTTTCAACGTTAGGTATCTCCAGAGAAGGAAGTTACGTGTCTTGCTTAGAACCCCTGCCTGGGCCTCGAGGGAATGGCAGAGGAGAGCGAACGCTACACGGACATGAATCCTGATCATCAAGCGGAGGTAGCTGCTGTAAAAAGGAAGGAAAAATGTAGGTGGCCTTCAAGAGAGGGTGCGAAACGCCGCATTGATCAAACGGCAGAGGCCGTCTAGAGGTGTATTGATTCTCCAGCCACCGCGCAATTTGCCCTGGGCGATCAATATCGCTCCCTCTTTTCCCAAAATACTACTTCCGCACTCAGTCACCAGTCGCGGCATCTCAATAACAACATATATTCATGCTGCTTTTACTGGGCATAAGCAAAGGCACCTTAGTCAATGTGAGGGGAACGAGGCAATAGGTACCCTGGCGATGCGATCTCATACCTCGCCGGGCCAGTCCAGGACTAACGGGAGACTGTCGGAGCAAAGCGGGGTCCTGGTTGAGATGGTAGCACCACACTCGATAGGTGGTCGAATAATTTGGAGGAGCCATGAAAGTACATAGAGCTACGTGGGAAGGTGACTGCACGGTTGAGTATTGTTCATTGATCATCGGCCGCATTGGGCTGCTGTGAAGAGCCGGCGCAGTGTTTTCACATAACCTGGTAGGAACCCTGGAACGAGCCTTATACTGCTCTTCACAGGCGATACAGTTGGCCGGTCCAGAACAGAGCCTCAACGCATCCATCATCCCTTTGCTACCGCCCAGGGAGATTCGTTTCTCTGACCTGACAATTCCCTGTAGACCTCGAAGCAGCACGTGCCTGTTTCTTGCACTTAGGTGATGATTCCCAAAGGGATAAACCGTGGTTGATTCGTTTGCTGGCTCTTTCAACCTAATTGCCAGTTCCAATTGATTCCATTTTGCCCCAATGCGTCGCGGCCGTGCTGTAGAGAAGACCAATAACCGTGCGTACAATTTTCCCGTCTATGCTGTCTCACGCTTGCCTTCCTTAAGCTCCTTCTGTAAGACTTGTTAGCAGCCGTTGCGAATGAAACCGCAATAATGGGGTTTCCAGGTTTCTGCTATAGTCGGAGGGTTCGTACCAGGGCCTTCATGGTGCCGTGCAAAGCGTGGCGATGGTTGCGGCGGAACTTGGGGTCGGTACCCTTGAGGGAAGGGTATCTCGATGTCTTGGGCTTCTTGATACTACACGATGGGTGAAGAGAAACCGTCAGCATGAGGACATCTCGTGGAAGAGGTGGTCTAGGCCGGGAGGGAGTTTGAATCGTACCCGTTGCGGTGCGCCTTGCGCGACTGGTTGTGCTGCGAGGAGTTCTTGGACTCTGCCCTCAAGAATTAGCCAATCTCTTCCGAAGCAAGCAAACAGGCCCGCGATAAGTAGATATTCATGACATACTGGCCATTGCTGCGGTCGGAATGTGCCCCTGACGTTAATACTGAAACCTAAATTTCGTGATGCGATCGAGGGGTTTTCGAGTATTAGGATAGCGAGGCTGGCCGTGGTGTGGTTTGGTGCATGCTAGGCTCTTCGGTGTTGTGGGTCAAAAATTCCATGCCCTAATGGACTTCCTGAGCCTAAGGTAGGTGTGGCTGAGCCGATTCGCTGTACTCTGCAATCTCATCGCCACTAAGTGGCTTGCTGACATAGTGCCATACAGTGTTTAAATTTCAAATGGCACGTATTCATTCCCTGCACGTATAGAGTGAGTAGGGAGGTATGTCTTTGGTCGTTTCTCATTCGCACACCAGGGCTCAGTAAAGTATCAACTTCGAAGACATACGCAACTGTCTACCAACACGAAATCTGGGTGAACTGAAATAGCGTTTGTTCCCTCTTAACAAGCTTGGTAAAACTAGTGATTCCCAACTCTCTCGCACAAAGTTGCTGTACTGCCCATGCAGTGCTTCCTTATTCTATCCTTATTTCCACAGAGATGATTCCTCAGGTTTGCACACGACTCTGTCTACACCCACTGGAAGGTCGTTTCACTTCGCGATATGTGATTTCAAAAGTCTCACTGCCTTTGATCCCTCGATGAGTCGATGAGGTTGGTCTATTAGATGTATGCACGTTACCGTATATCTCTCAAAGACGTTTAATGGCAGATGCGCTGCGAATAACTTCGGCGCCCGGTGTAAAGGCTTGCAGCCGTTTCGTCCTGAGTGTCCTCAGGTAGCGGAAGAAGAGCACAAACAGCAACTCCATGCTATGCCTAGGTTAGCGCTGCCATGACATCTCGTCTTTTGATAGGGTCACATAGTCTCGTGCTTACCGCTCCTTTGTCATCATGAGGATGCCCTGGACAAGAAGGCCTTTGAGGATCTGTGGCCCCATACCCTTGAAGAGACCAGCCACGCCCTCTCGCTCCAGAATGAAGTTCATGACCTCGACGAAGCTGCTGAAAGGCTTGCCCTTCCTTTCAGGCGGCGGTCTGGACTGCAAACCTACCTTGGCTACAATCAGGGGCTGCGTGGCAATCGTTGCAAGAGACTTGGAGGCAGCTCCGAGAACTAATTTGAGGTCAGTCAAAGCCGATCACTGAGAGCTGTAAAGACAAGGGGGAGGCAGAAACATACGAAATGCCTCCCAAGGCTTGAGATTATTCTTGCCAGGAAGGATAACTTCCTTGAGCCTCTCGTAAGCACCGTAAGTGATGGCCGGGTTCACAACGAGCACCAAGCTAGCTTTGAGACCCCTCCAGAGCCCGAATGGGCCATCTTCACCATCGATAACTTCCCGCGCCGTGTCAATAAACCCCTTCCTCTCGGTCTTCCGCTGGGTTTGCTGCCTCGTCGTGATAACAGCGACGGGAATTGTGCAGAGCTGAGCTACAGCACCGGCGACTGCGCCGAGACTCAGCTCGACGAATGTCGAAGGCGGCGCCGAAGTCTTGGCAGAACGCAGGTAGAGGGCGCGCGCAACGGAGTACCAGTAAAAGTATGCAAAGTTGGTAGATGCGACGCCGAGAAGAGAGCCACTCATGCCGGCGTAAAGGCCCTTGACACCATCGTCGGCAACTATCTTGCTAAGTGCATCCCAGGTAGACGAATAATGAGGTTCGGCGGGATCAGAGGGATCAGATGGTATAGTCGCCGCTACTGCGCCAGATTGCGACTTGACTTGGACCTGAAGGCGTGTCTTGACGCTTTGTATCAAGGAAGGGTCAGTCAAACTTGTTCGCAATGGAAGAACAGGATAGAACAGAACGGGCTTTGAGACGGTAGGAGAGGGGACAAGTGTGCGAGTGTTATCATCGTGGCGGCACCGTTTCTCTCACATGTCAAGAGGGTAGACTAAAGCGTTGGCGAGCACAGCACCGGATGCGCCAGCAACTGCTTTGCCCCATGGCGAGATGGGAGCTGATTTCGACTGGGCGGCCATTGTACTGTTTTGGTTTCCAGAGTGAAGAAGCAACAAACTGGCAAACTGATCGAGTTTCTCTGCGAGTTGCACGGTCGGAGAATCGGGTTACGGCTAGGGAATCGTCACTGGCAATGTCGGGAAGGTAACAGTGACGGACGGTGTCGGCGTCCGGGTCATGCGCCGATCGAGATCCGAGGCAAAAGGCGGGAAAAGGGCAGGAGGGCAGACGACAACGGAACAGCAGCGGAAAGCAGCAACGAGTTGAGAATTTCGTGAGGATTGGTCAAAAAGGTCATGGGCAACGAGTAGATGTGTATTTTACTGTGCACTGGTAGGGACGAAGGGTCCAATTTGTGAAGGAAGTTGACAGACTGCCGTTCAATACCCCATGGTGACAAGCCGGCCGCTGCACAGCGCGGGTTGTGGCTCTGGGGACTTGAATCGACGACCTCGGCCTTTGGAGACGACGCTAGTTGACTTGGCTGCTTTATGCTCGGTTAACCGGTGAGGTCACCCGGTGGGGTTTCGGCACAACGATTGGAATGCTTAGGTAAGGTAACTCGACCTGCATGTGCAATACATGTTCCAACTATGGATAATAGGCATGGGTTTGCCACGCGGAATAACGGCTATCTGGCTGACTTTGAATAAGGTAGTCTTGGAGACATATGTTTGAGGTAGAGCATGCGAAAGCGAAACACTTGGGGAAACGCGGCTAGCAGTCACGCAGTCCATGGCAAGGGAGACAGGCTGCCAATAGCCCAGGGCCGAGGTGATACAATGATTCTTGCTCAGGTGTTTCATTTTGCCCAACGCGCCCGTCTCAGTGCGCTCTAAGGTAGGTATTGTCCTCCTCTAGTCAGTGTCACCTGAGGCACCTAATGGAATTTTACTACCTTACTTGCTTACTTTAGTAAGCAAACACGTTGGGTGATTCCTGACTCCCAAAACCTCCATTTCTTTAGGTGTCGTGGGTGCCTACCTGAAGGTAATTTAACTTCAGTGAAGCCTACCTATGTAGGACCTCAAGCTAAGGTAAGGTATCTTAGGTATTGCAGTACGTTACCTTACTACCTACTCCCTCATATCTTTGTTCATCCAGCAGATGACTTTACACTATTCAATTCATTGGATACCTTCAACGCCTCCAACCACGAAGCCCCCCGCCTTGTCTCCCAGGAGCAGTAAGGTAGGTATACTGCCAAGCTGGTCGAATCTTGGCCGACGACGCCAATTGACCTCCTGACTAATCCTCCTCTTCGCCTTGCCCTCTCTCGTCTCAATTGACACTTCTCTGGTGTCTGCCTCTCTCTCTCTCTCTGGTGCCTACTTTGCTTCGACTCGACTCGACTGAGCATTCTTTATTCGTAGTCTTGGTGTGGTTGGACCTGCCCCCCCTTTGTGGTCTGATCACACCTGGTCTGGTTTGTTAGAGCCCTGGCTGATGGACTCTACACAGTAGTTGAGCACCCGAGGTATTCTAGCAGTCTGGATCGTCCTTTTTGGGTTTTGCTTTGCACAGCCTCAATTTGGTGCCCGTTCTCTTTCGTCCCATCCCACGACGGACGCATCTCGCGCTTCATCGACTCATCCACCCCGCCCGTTATCAACCGCCAATGCCCTCATCGTTGAAATCAACGATACTGCGTTGGATATCGAGTTAGAGCCAGGACGGAGGTCAGAGTGAGGCAGAAGAAAGTGTGATATAGGGCACCTAGAGGCAGAGGCAGACCCAGAAGAAGTCTAAAGAGCCATAGCCAACAAAGGCCAGCCCCTCTTCTACTCCATCCACCCTCTCTCCACTCCTTCCTTCCCCAATCTTGCCTTGTTTCCCTCCGTCCCGAAGCATCGACTACCTTAATCGTGACCTCGACATGCGATTCGAATAGGTCCCTGTCCTGGTGGCCTACATAGATACTCCGTCACGCTGGATCCGCTGGCCGAATCATTTGCAGTTGCGCAACCGGCACCGGCACCGTCGCCCCGACTTGACTTTGTCGGCTGCATGCAGTTCCCGTAAGACTGCTTAGTGGGAAGTATGGAAGCCAAAGCCATTGTGAGTGAGTCTCCAAGTCAGGGCACGAAGCACCACGGAGACCCGCTTCAGCTGACCAGTGTTGCTCCGGTTATCAGAGAGAAGAGGCCTTGATGGCCAAATCGACAGGTCTTGAAGCGTTGAATCATGCCATCGCCGCGGCGGACTTATACATGAAGGCTGCACACGAAGCCACCTCACCAGCCGCCCGCTCTCATTTCAGGAGAAAGTGCGCAGGACTCATTACTCTCGCAGAACAGCTCAAGTCTTCGCCCAAGACCGCATCCCCGCCCCTGGCCCAGACAAAAGCCGCAGCCATCACCTCCGCTTCCAACACTAGCTGCCATGTGCGCCATATTCCATCCAACGAGAGGACCATTCTCCTGCGCTCATCTCGACTACATGGCAACATCTTCCCGCCCTGGCAGACTGACCCTGACGATGACAACTTTTCCCTGTTACAGGGACAAAGTGTCTTCTCGTACGTTCGCATAACCTCTACATCGGCTAGCCAACTCATTCTTAAATCAGAGACCCTGCCGAATACAACATGTCGATTAGACAGGAGTCCATTTTGGAGGGCTGGCAACGCCCTGTGGACCAATCAAGGGGGGGTATCATGGATGAAAACTTCATGGCCTCAGAAAGCGATTGTGATCTCGTACAGGATGTGACGACCGATTGCTCGGTCGTGGCCAGTCTATGCGCCGCTATGAAGATTCTACAAGGGGGCAGACAATCAGTCAGTCAGCAGCGATGCGTAGAACACCGTTGACCGCGCCTGCTGACCAGTCTCCTCAGATACTAAGTTCTATCATGTTTCCGTATAACCACCCAAAGGGGCGACCCATGATCTCAAAGAGTGGCAAGTACATATTTCGCATGCACTTTAATGGCTGCTCTCGACAAGTTGTTGTGGATGATCGGCTACCTGTCTCGCGGAACAACCGCACCTTGTTCGTTGTTGATCGCAAGAATCCCAATCTGCTGTGGCCAGCTCTGTTGGAAAAGGCTTACTTGAAGGTACGCGGAGGGTACGATTTTCCCGGCAGCAACTCAGGCACCGATTTATGGGTAATCACCGGCTGGATTCCCGAACAGCTGTTCTTGCAGAGGTATGTCGGACCTGTTATTCCGGTTGAAGGCAAGACGACCAACGGTGATTACTAACGGCAAAACGCAGCGAAGATGTAGACCTTGAGGGTGAATGGGATCACATCAAGGAGGCATACCATGCCGAGAATCTGATCATGACGCTAGGAACCGGTCGGCTGACGCAGTCTGAAGAAGACGCCTTGGGCCTAGTCGGCGAGCACGACTATGCTGTGTTGGAAATCGATAGCTCGCCTGGGGCCCGCCGCTTGCTGGTCAAGAACCCGTGGTGCGACGGCCTTGTCTGGAAAGGTGTCGGTTCATCTGGAATTGTCGAGCAAACGGCGGCCGTGCCATTGTCAGACCATTTAGTCTCGATTGAGCCAAGGTCCTCTGAACATACCAGGCCCGTCGGGTCCTTCTGGATATCGGTGGAAGATGTCGCGCAGAATTTTGAATCCATGTATCTCAACTGGAATCCGGATATGTTCACACATAGGCAGGATCACCACTTTACGTGGCGCGTGCCTACCAAAAACATGACGTCCTCTCTTGCCCACAACCCGCAATACTCGGTCTTATCACACACGGGACAGACTGTGTGGATTCTGCTGAGCCGACACTTTGCAGACGAGGAACTCAACATTGCACGGAATAAATCGGCTTCTTTGGCAGCGGTATCAAGACAACTCGGCTTCACGAGCATTTTCATCTTCGAGAGCGAAGGCAAAAAGGTCCAGGTCAGGGAGGGCTTCGTCTACCAAGGCCCATATGTCGACTCGCCGCAAACCCTTGCCAAGTTCGAACTTCGCAGGGGCACGCCTTACACAATTGTCATGGCCCACCAGGACCTCCCGCTGGATCACTATTCGTGTACATTCACTCTCTTTTCGAAGGCACCCCTCGAGGTCAAGCCAGCCGAGGAAGCAATGAGCCACTATCAAGAGTTTTCGAGTACTTGGACCAGGAGAACTGCGGGAGGCAATGCGTCGTCCATCACCTACTCGCAAAATCCGCAATTCAGCATTTCCATTCCTCGAACCACGCCTCTCTTCATTCTACTCTCGTCGGGAGATCGAGAGGTAGCAATTCATGTCGATCTGGTGTGGGCACACGGCAAACGAGTGACATCGATCGGGGTCAAAGACGTTGTGGCTAGTTCCGGCGACTACCGACGGGGTAACGCGCTCGTACAGGTCCCTTTGGTGGAGCCGGGCACGTACACCATCGTCTGCTCGACATGGGAGCCCGGGCAGCTCGCAGACTTTGGCATGCGCGTAGGGTCTCAGGTAGAATGCCAGATAAAGCCCGTACTGAGTGACAGAGCTGGTCTTTTGCGAAATCTGGCGCCGGCCTTCATCTTCAGCGAAGGGGAAGAGAAGAGACGGGCGTTGGTCACGGTATCGCGGCTGTCTCGGGCCCAGGTTGTGGCACGTTGCCCGCCGCAGACGGGACTGAACAGTCAACCCATTTCTACCACGGCTGTCCGCGTCTCCCTCGTCTACGGCCGAGGGCCACAGGAGTCGGTACTTGCCATGTCAGGCAGCGGCGAATTCCGGGAACTCACCACGGCTGTCAGGACACCCGAGTTCGACCTCGAGCCAGACCGTCTCCGACAAGATCAACTGTGGCTCATTGTGGAGCGACTCGGGAGTCAGCAGGGATGTCAGAGCATCGTGGTGGAATTCTTGAGCGATAATCCGGTCCACGTCAGCGACTGGCAGATGGCATACTCATAGTAGCCGTGGCATGGGTGGAAAGCCAGGCGAAGATTTCGTCGCGACAGGTGGAAGAGGGGGGAAAGGGGGTTGTCAGAACGGCTAAGTAGCCTTTCTCATAGAATGTACTACGAATTTACTACGAATCGGCCTCCACCCCCTCCTCCTCCTCACTAAACCCCCCACGTAAACTAAAGCAGACGAAAGCCAGGGAGAAAATCAACATGCCAAGAAGATGGATGCACATTTACCAAAATAAGAGAAACGGGTCTTTCCGGCAATTGATGCGTAAACAGAAGGCGACCCTATGTCGGCTCTTGTAAAAGACAGTTCGAGAGTTTGACATCTCCCAGCCAGTCCCCCGCGAACCATGAGAAAAGGGAAAAAGGGAAAGAGAATCCGGGAGAAAAAACGGACAAAACGTGACGTGACGCGGACGACTCGTCAATGTGGTATATGATCCACCGCAACGCCAGAATCCGTGCAGCCAAAGTCAGAAACAATCAAATCCCCGTCATGAACTCGTGCCGTGCCAACTCAAACAAGCTCCAGAACTAGTACCAGCCCAAGACAGCCGCCTCCTCCCAAGAGAAACCAAAATCAACACAGGTTCGTGACAACAACCTTCCCGGCCTTTCCCCTTTCCCTTTCCCCCGAACAAAAAGAAAGAGGGAAAAGAAAAAAAAACCAGAATGGCAGTGATATTCGGAGGATTGCTCCGAACATCCTTCGACTATTTACAATAAATCTCGTCCCGCTTGCTGACTCCAACATTTCGACACAAAGGTCGTCGATGCCGAAGAGCCCGGGAGATAGAAAAGAAGACGAAGTATTTACGTGAAAAGTATCAGCTAGCGTACTGCTTAACTGATTAGACAGGTCCTCCTCTGCGTCGTCGGCCGCGATTTGGTCCATCTGGTCTCTGTGACAACACATCCCGCAAAGCTGGATCGTCCTTATCCTTATCCACATGGTGCACCCGGACATGTCTGCATACTCGATTAGTTGGGTCCCCAACCGAAAGCAATCGCCTGACAGCCACAATGAGTTTGTCGGGTTGGGGTTCGTCAAGATGGGCGACAACCTTGGGGGATCATCATACCTCTGAAGATTATCTGGTCTAGGATACTTATGCTCTCGATCTGGACAAAAGGGGCAGACATAACCCGGAGATTCGTGAACAAGCCCGTGCCTGATCATTTCGTTCTTTCTCTTGAAACCCTTGCCACCTTCACTCCGAGGACAGCCTTTGACAGCGCAGTAGTGTGGCCGAGCAGATGAGTGTACATTCGCATGCGAGTTGAGTAAGTACTGCGTCTGGAATGGCGCTGCATTACAACCCGAGAAGGTGCAGACGTAACCTACCTGAGGATTGGTGAGACCGTCGATGCTCATGCGGTCTGCCACAGAGGTGGCGGGCGTTGACGTGGTCTGATCAGTGCTCGGTGTTTCTGCCGTACTGCTACTATAGTCGGTACTTGGTCTGTGATGGCCACCGCTCGACGAAGACGGGTAGTAGTAAGGACTAACACCGGTCAGGGGGTGCGCGGGCGACGGGTGATCTCTACGAAAGCCCTCATTAGGTGAGATTGGAGGTGATGTTTGACCGATTGGGAGTCCGGCTAACGATGGTAGTCGGGGGATGTTGGCAGGCGGCGACCGGGGAAATGAAGTGGTGTGTCGCGCGGAACCCATATCATGCTCAGGACTTCTGGCAGTATCTGCTAAGTGCTGCAAGTCCCCAAGCTGTGATCTTATAGATGGCAAGGGGCCATGACCGCTGCCATCAGACTTTGGGGAGTCCAGAAGAGGAGGTAGACCACTGGGAGCAGACTGTGGAGGGCTCATCGGGGACGTGACTTCGCCTTGGCAAAGACTAGGTGCGGAACGACGAGAAGTGTACTTGTCCCCAGCAGAGTAAACAACTGCTGGAGCAGCTAGACTTGGGCGCTCGTCACGGATTGGCAACTCCCGACTGCTAATCCCCAAAGGCAACACCTCGTGGTGAACCCGGGACCCATCTCCTGAGCGCGACTGATCGATTTTGGGCGTCCCAGCGGTGGGTTTGGTAACTGGCGCAGAGGCTTCGGGGGCGTCAGGTGAAGTGAAAGCCAAGGCGCCGGCAGCGAGGATCTTGAGATCGAAAGGTTCTGTCGATTTGTTCATGTCGCGCTCAGGAGACGTCGGGGAAGACGACTCAGATTCAGATCCGTTGTCAGAGGCTAGAGGTTCACGAGCGGCGGTCTGGGCGACTTCTGGCTGTCTGCCGTTTCCGAGGTGAGCCACTAACACCGCATCGCCTTGAATGGGCTCGACCCTGCGGCGACCGTGGAACGACTTCCGGCTAGGGCTGAGAGCAGGTGGAGGACTGGGTGAGGGCTGTAGTCTGGGGCGGTGAGCTTGCATTTGTGGGCTATTGTGAGGAAGGACGTCATCGGGGTCGTAACAGTCGCTCGCAGCTGTGTGGTGCAGGTGGCTTTGAACAGCCGAAGCAGTCATAATTGTCGCTACCGGAGAGTGTTGTAGCTCACAGCGCAAGCGATTTCAAGCCGCCATGGGGCAAGTTGAAGGGCTATGGTTCAAGCAACGACTAGCGAAATGGCGATAACGACGGTCACAATGGTCGCAGTGACACCGACAACCACAACAGAGGCAGAGCAGGGGCGAATTTGGCTGCGGCCGTGAGAAGCAGGCGATTGTCGCGATGCGCCACGGGTAGATCGTGTTGAGATGGTTTCTTTCGCAAGGCGGCAGCTGTTGGGGCCGAGAAGAGCGACGAAGACAGCGTCGCTGCGAGCGTAAGGAGGTCGAAGAGTAGCAGAGGGGGGAATGCGCGTCGCGAAATCGGCCCCGAGACAGCTATCGCCGCCGTCGTGGGCTCCGGAAGAAAGCAGCCGATGAGGGAGGGAGTCGAGAGCGTGATAGGCAGGTGCAGATGGGAGGACTTGGAGAGAGAGCGGACTGGATTATGGAGGGCGGCCGGGAGTTGGAGGATGGGATGCGGCGACGTTTGGATGTCAAAGACGGAGGTCGGTGTGGCCTTGAGCAGGGGGTGTGGAGAGAGTGAGGAGCAAGCGCGGGAGTCAGTCGGGTGCGTGATTCTTTGACGGATAAAAGAGGGCGCCCAGGGGACGGCAACCATGCAGATGCACCAGGCCGAGCGAGGGTCAGCAAGTGAGCGAGCGGCAGCGGCAGCGGTAGCGGTAGGACGGATGGTCGATATCTGGGTCCGTCGTTGTCGGGCCAGGCACCGGTGAGGTAAGCTGGGTGAGAGTGACACTCTATAGTACCGTCGTCTCGACAGTAAGGCAAGTTAATTGCGAGGCAGGAGAAAGGTTGAGGGGAGATAACATACCACCTCACTTAAGACAGGACTTGAGCGAGTTGTTTTCGTCGCAAATGTGCCGTCCGGGTCTTGCTTCCGTATTCTGGGGAGGGAGGCTGCCCTTTAGCGCATAATTTCTTGGAAGCGTATGAGAGACTCGCCCAGTGCCACAGATAGATTCAAGGGACCGCGTGACCCTAGCGATGAACAAAAAGCGGACTTGGGACTTGGGGGGACGTGGAGGCGAGAGAGATGAAGAAGCCGAGTTGCTAAGAAAGTGGATATGGGATGGACGGAACCGCGCATAGGGATTGGGGGCACAGATGACGGGACGGGGTAGGGAAAGGATACCTTGAAGTATGAGGCTACGTAGTAAGTAGAGATCACTGGTCAGGCATGACTTGGCTCAGCTAAGGTAGGTCGAGGTACATGAGGTAAGGTAAGGTAAGGTAGTTCTGTGCTAATAAGACTCTACGTACCTTTTTCTCCTTTCTCTGCCGCCCTCCCTGCCCCTCCGCTGTCTAGCTCTGTCTCTCTCTTTCTCTCCCTCCCACTTTCCCCTCGTCAGTGTCCTTCTCAGTCTTTCTCACACCCCCACTCACACACACACACACTCTGACTCTCTCTCTCCCCTTGACTTGCCCATTTATTCTCTCGGTCCCTTAGCCCTCTGTAATCGCCGGTCCGTCTCGCCTCACTCTCAAGCTTGGGGAGCACATTCGGTCGGTGCAAGGCAAGGCGCCTTGAGAGCTGTGGGCATGGCGAAGCTGAATGACGCGCTGCTAAGCCAGGAGGGCAATGCTGCTCAAAGCATTCATTGGCTGGGCCATCAAGAAGGTTGGCTGACGGTAATGCTACATGCCACGAGACGTGTAAGAATGGGCTGCTGTGCCTCTAGGTCAAAGAACCACGAAGTCCTGATCCTTAAAAGTAGCAGCTTGCCAAGTCTAGCGTATTCTCGTCGCATGGGTCCTCAACGTGGAAATGCTCTAAGGCGGTAAGGCGGTTCATCAAAGCTCGATCTGAACGTTAGCAGAACGGATTTGCTTGCGGTGTTGGGCTCAGGAAAATTGCTAGTCCCCCAATCCCTCCCCGCGATTAGGATCGATATCTTGGGGTTATGGCCAGATTGATGGGGCTCGGCGCGAATCAAAGTCTCGCACAGCCCCAGGCTAAAGAGTTCAAACTCGAGGTACGGCAATGCAATGGTGTGTTGTACGGGGTTTTCTTGGCAAGGAAGAACTCAGGAGAGTTACCGTTCCGATAAGCAAGGTATTTGCGGCTACCTAGGCGAGGACGGCGTCGGCGTCGGCGGCAGCGGCAGCGGCAGCGGCAGCGGCAGCGGCGAGGCAAGGCATCGAGAACTTGGAGCAACAGTACGAACTTGACCAAGTATGCCCTGGTTGATTTGTGTCTGGCGCGGAGACAGAGAAGGCGGGGAAAGAAAGGGTTTGGTCTGGTCGAATGACAGGCAGCCGAGGAGCTGGTTTCTTTTCCATGCTTGTCGCTGTCACCCAGCATCGATTGACATCAAGAGTCAAGACGCTTGGGGAAACCCTAGACGACGATGTGGAACGATCCAATGGGAGCAAGGCATATATATATGAACGGGCACTTGGTACTTTTCTCGAATAGGATGATGCGTAGTAGGGTCAAGATGGGATAGAGTGGCAGGGGGGATCGGATGACAGTCACCAAAAACTTGGGAGGGGGGAGGGGTATTGGAGAAGAGGGGGAAGGAGGGGGGAGGATGGCAGTCCATGGATCCAACCCAGTGGGAAGAGGCCTGATAGCACGGGTTTGGATAAGGTATTTCCTACGTGTTAAAAAAAAAAAAATTAGCTTCTCCCCCTGGCCTTGGGCGCAAACTCCAACTACCTTACCTTAGGTCTTTTGGCGAGATGCCCACCGCAGAGTTTCTCATCCTTTAGGAATTGTAAGGGCAGTCAATCGGTACTCCGCCATCCCATTCATCCTTCCTGCGCTTAGAAAGCAATGCACCGTCGCGGAAAGACGGCACCGTAAGCCAGTCCACAATCCACAATCAACAATCCACAATCAACAATCCACAATCAACAATCCACAATCCACTGGGACCTTCAGCCAGGAAACCAGCATCATGCGCGAGAGTAGAATCGAGAAGGAACGAACGGCACGACTGTATAAGGTAGAAAGCCGGTGGCTGGTGCGAGCACGGGCACGAGATAGATCCTGGAGGAAATGAGGGCTGACAATGACCGGGAATTGTGACCAAACAAGACCCCTGGCCAGGCTGCCAATCCTAAGGCACCTAAAGTACCCGTACATTGAGCACCAAAGCACAAGATACTCTGCATGTCTGCCTAGGTCTTGGTCTCTGGCAGAATCACAACACCTTGTATCCGTATTCCAAGCGTATCAAAGAGCCGCCCCAAGTGCAATCGATGGACGAACGGCACGCAAGTGGAGGCTCAATCCGAGGCATGGGGGCCATGTCCCTGCGGTGTTCAGTGGTCCACTGGTCGCTGGTCGCCGCGGGGCCAGGCCCAAGGTTGAAGGTGGAAGCCGTGCTGCACTTCCGTCTTCACCACACCTAACAATACCGATCACTTACAGTGGAGGCATGTGATTGATCTATCCCTAGGTGTGTTTTCCCTCCACATAGACAGGTCAAACTTAATCTTAATCAACCCATCGTCGGGTGTCCTTTTTCGCCCTCGGCTGATGTGCAGACCAAGTGGTGCGCAAGGATCCGTGTGAATGTACGGAGACGCTCCTTGATTATCGTTACCCCACACTTGAGGTGCCCCATTCCAGCCTCCACTAGAAGTCCAACATTACCCCTCATCAACTTCCATGCGAGGCCTGCCACTCGCTGGATCAATCTAGGTGGTCCCACCGCTGCTGCTCGGTCCAATCATTCAACGGGACGACCGCAAGCCCCCTCACGGTGCCACCAATGCCCGCGATGAATCCATGCGCCCATGCCGCTAAGCCTCTAAGCCTCATTCAGCTGCACATACAATTTTTCAAGGGCCGGCCTGCTTTAGAAAATTACCTCATCACCGGCCATATTGAAAGCGGTCAAGCAAGGGGACCTTTCTTTTCTCAATTTCTGTTCTTTGCGGAGTAAAGTTCCTGTACCTCTCACCCTCTGGCTTTTAGTTGACCCTCAGGGAGTCACGAAATTCCACTCAACTCTAGGTATCTACCTTACTATACCAAATCTAGACTTGCAGCCAGCGACTGGCAGTAAGTAGTGCTTCTGCCCTGGGAATGGTAAGGTAGTTTCTAGCTTCCGTCTGCTGTCGGGTGTGGTATCCAAAACGTCGGTAAACCCCGCCCCCTTCTTTCCCAACTCGCCCGAGGAACATTCTGCATATGTACCTTAAGGTAGCCCGGTGGGTTCACCAACTATTTACAACACTGGAGACCGTCACCACACCTGAATTCGATGAGAAAATTTATCATTCTGACCCAAGCGAATTGAAAGTTGCCGAGTCGACTGTTCAGATGCATCATGTCGCCGTTTTCTCAAGGTTTCGGGCACGTTGTCTTTTGTCGCCAAGACGGCGGCGCCCCGAGGCATTTTCAGTTCCCTGATGGGAGGGACAGTTAATCCCTACCTTACCCTCTTACCCCAGACGAGGGGTTTCTTCAGTAAAGTGGTCCCCGATTTTTGGACTGGTACGTACGAGCGGGGGATCTGGCTCAGCCGGTCAGGGCGGCTGGACCACCACCACCCACGGACACGGGCAATACTAGGGAGGTTTCTAGAAGGCGCAAACCCTTCCAGGCATGTCAAGGTTGTGAGCTGTCAGACTGCATACCAATTACCTGAGTAACAACCCAGTAGGTATTCGTAGATCAGCCATGGCAACTTGCTACTTTAATTTTTTGGGTGTCTCATTGGACGTCGACCCATATGAATAACACCCCCGTGTTTCATTCTCATTACGGTGCTAAGAAATCAAACTCGGGGCCGCGGCAGGTCTACTCAAAGCTCACGTTGCTTGCTTTCCTCGCCCGCCAAGTTAATCAACATAAACCGCAGCCACCAAGGCAACGTCCATACTACGGATAGGAAGCCATGGGTTTCTTATGCCTGACTTCCATCTTGTCTTTCATTGATAAGGAACAGTTGGAGCAGGAAGCATAAAATGAAGGGTCAAGCTTCATATTGTAGCGTCTGTATCCGTATAGAGCAGAGCGACTATAAAGCTCTGCCGCCCTGCTACCTGCCGATCCCTGGTCAAGTTCTATGTAAATCATATACCTATATACCTAAGCAAAATTTACCATGCCGGTGTTCGGTTGTCGTCTTCCAAGCACGCTGCTACGCTCGCTGTCTGACGCAGTAAATACACTTCGTTCGTCTGCGACATTTCACGCCTTGTTTGGTAAAGCGCGCAGGCAGATTGATCCGATACAAGTTTAGCTAGATGCGCGGGGTGGACCGATTCTGTTCCTCATTCTCCTCTTCATCCCCATCCATGTACGTCAGCTGTGTAAGACACGCATCCATTCGCACAGTGATGCTCCGATGAACGGCAGCGGGAGCGGGGCCGAGGTGATTGGACCATCGTGCAGACCAACCGTGCCTCACTACTACATCATCCATCATCACCGAGGATCAATCGATACGATTTTGTTTCTGGCTCTGTGCCTCGGCTTCTCATTGCTCCTCATAAACTCTACTTCGATTACCAATAGCCTGCGATTCTGGATCATTATCATTTAGAAATCTTGCATCTCCAATATTGTCTCTCTTGCTTCGCGATTAAGCTCTAACCCTTTCCGAACCCCGCAATGTCTCTCTCAGGAACCATGCGCGCCGTTGTCTTCAATGGGCCTCAATCCGTGTCTGTCGAGCAACGCCCGATCCCTACCAGTCAGTCGATACATGCTTCTACCCTTCGATAAGATTCCCTTCAGCCTGAATTTCAGTCTTCGCTGACCAGTTCAATAGTCCAAGATGACGGCGACGTAATTGTCAAGGTGCAGGCGACGGCTCTCTGCGGCTCGTGAGGCAACTCTGGAACCAATGTGCTCCTATTCCTCCATTCTCACACTAATTCCAGGGAATTGCATGTCTTCCGCGGCCACCAACCATCTGAGACGGGCTTCATCATGGGCCATGAGTTCACTGGCTCAGTTGTCGAAAAAGGCGCCGCTGTGACCTCCTTGAACATTGGTGACAGGGTTGTCTCTCCCTTCACCTCGTCGTGGTAAGTCCTCCTAGCTCTCTCATGCCAAAGGAAACCCTAACCTGCTTCTCTAGTATGCAATGCTTCTATTGCAAGAATGGGTACACCTCCCGTTGCATCCGTAGCAAGCTATTTGGTTGCGGTGTGTTGGACGGTGGCCAGGCCGAATACGTGCGTATCCCCGATGCCGACGGAACCGCCATGAAGGCCCCAACCACCATCTCCGACAATGCTCTGGTTCTCATGGCAGACATCTTCCCCACCGGCTTCTTCGGCGCAAAGTCTGGCTTCAACTTGCTCAAGGAGGAAGAGAGATCAAATGCCACAGCTGTTGTCATTGGATGCGGACCCGTCGGCCTTTGTGCCGTCATTTCGGCCCTTGAGTTCCGTCCCAAGCATCTTTTTGCCATTGACAGCGTAGACAGTCGCCTAGAGCTTGCTAGGAACCTTGGAGCAGAGCCCTTGAACTTCAAAACTGATCGCGCAGGGATGGAGAAGCGGATCAAGGAGGTGACTAACGGCCGTGGAGCCGATGTTGTTATCGAGGTTGTCGGTCTGAGCCCTGCTCTCAGAACTGCATTCGACATCATCAGGCCATTCGGTGTTATTGCAAGCATTGGTGTCCACAACGGCGAGGTTGGCGTTGATCCAAATCATGAGACTTGATTTATATTGCTGATGCATGATTAGATTCCATGGACCGGTACCGAAGCGTATAGGTAAGTATGATATTGACATCTACTGGGAGGACTGCTGGCACGAACTGTGCTGAGTGCCTCCGTAGCAAGAATCTGAGGCTGCAAATGGGCCGGTGTCCTGTTCGGGCCATTTTCCCCGAGGCTCTCGCCCTGCTGGAGAAGAAGCAGGACAAACTTGGGTGAGTGATGACCATATCCCATGGCCACGTTGATTCCCGCGCCATTGGAGCACACACCTCTGGGCCCCCATGCTCGTCCTCGTCGGGGAACTGATGTCGATTAGGTTTATGTTCGACCGCATAATGCCATTGAGCGAGGCGGTTGAAGGATATGCATTGTTCGATCAGATGAAAGTCCAAAAGGTCATTTTCACTCCTTGATTTGCAGCGCCCACCTCGTAGGCACGAAGGAGGGCCCTGTCCCTGCCTGATAAGACAGCAGGGACCATCTGAGATTTACGCTAGCGATGGTCGAACATTGAGATAGAAATAGTAGTGATGCCTTAATTCTGTCGTGGCTTGACAATGCCATCGTGAATGAGGTAATAGGACACCGTCGAGTCATCGTGGACCACAGCGAGAAGGAGTCTTTTTTGGCGGTCTGCACCGCGCCAATCCCGTTTTGGAGGTTTGTTGGAAGTATTTCCTGGTGCAAGTTGCCGCGGTAGAGTGTTGATGGAGTCGAAAATCGTAGCCAAAGAGCTCAGGGTCCATTGCTCACTCAAATGCACGGGGAGAACCCACTCGTATTCGGGCGTCTGGCTCGGGCGCTTGCCGGCGGACTGTTCCAGCTCCAAAGCCTCAATTTGTTCGTCTGGGTGCATATACAGCCTAGTAGGCGGGAGGCCGGTCATAATGGGACGCGGTCGGTTTTCCCCATCACTGCGAACTTCGACATCGGTCCAGTCATGCTGATCTCGAAGGTTGCCGAGGACCAGTGCGGTAAGGTTTGTGAGATGCTCTGCGGCTGCCATCGCAAAACGGCTTTGGGAAAGTGTGAGAGTAGTGGGTTTCTGGATTGGAAGTCGGAGCATGGAAATCTGAGCGGTTGATCCAATTAACACCCTAAGGTATTGCCAGGTAGATAGGTGAGTACGTAGATATGCGTGGTTGTTGAAGAGTTCTCAAGGTTCATAAGGTAAGTGGCTCCGACTGGAATGCTGTATACCAATCAGACATTGGAGAGCCACTTGACCGACGTCTTGTATTATCCTCGTCAACTACATAAATACCTTCTTACCTGTATGATACGGATATATTCATACATGTAATAGGCAGAGTAGATCCATTGCACTGTGAGGCTCCTGCTCTATTCATGCAGAAATCCCATCTAGCGAGGTCAGTCCCGTCGACCAACTTTTGAATGCAGGCGGAAGCGGCCTATGAGAGTTCGCCAGATGGGTTTTCTCCCTTCTGCCCTGGTCCAGCGCACTCTCATTGCTGAGCAGGTGTGATTATTTGCACATATGTAAATAGCAAAACGATCCGAAGTGTGCATAAAATACAAGGCTTGTCTCAGCCACAGTTCGGTTTCCACTTCTCAGTCCCGCTCTAAGGCTTGTGTGTCTCTGCGTTTCCCTGCTAGGTAAGGTACTCTCCTGGGCCCAGTTCGCTTTTAGCCAGGCACTCGGCAACGAGCTTGTCTCGCCCGGGTCAAATATAGTATGTTTAAATTGCAGAGATACTGGGTGAGGGCTGTGGTGCTCGTGACTTGACATCTCGTGGTTTTCTCCCAACCAAAAGCACAAGTACTCATCATCATCGATCTTATGCCCGCGTCAGAGTCTGACAGTGTCCATCGGGAGGCCGGCAACTCAAATTCAGATGAATCCCCTTGAGACTTGAGAGATGAGACAAGACCGACAGATCACAGATCACAACACGGCTCATCCACTGCTGATAATCCTGGCCGACCTACGTAACCAGCCGACAATGTGAGCCAACCAGCAGCCAAGCTTTGGAGCAGGTGCGTGCACATCCCTCCCGGAGTCCGTCATAGGTACGTACCCATTGGCAAGTTGTGTCGCTGACCTCACTGCACGTACACAATCTGCAGTGGCCGTGGTTGTGCAAAGAGCATTCCTGGTCGGTCGTAATAAGCGTGTTGACGTAAGGGTCCAGCTTGCGAGGGCTGTTTAGTGGTTCCCGCCCCAAGATCTGAAATGGGCACCAGCGTTTCCATGCGGACCTGCGTCTATTGGCCGGAGCCTCCTCAGGTGCCGACCTGGATACCTACGTAAATGGGCCCAAGTAAGGTAGAGAAAGATACTTTGAACCCTCCGGGTGCACAGGCGCTTCTACAGCAGGCATAAACGGAGAGGTCCATCCGTCCGTCAATGGAAATCCAATCTACCTCCACAAGGTAGGTGCTTAGCGTCTATTACGCATTTCGCATGTCCCGCCCCTTTCCACCAAGGCCTAGACTCAGCCCGTCTCTTCCCACCAAGAACTCTTTGTTATATCCTCCGACCCTGGCTCAATATTGTGGCTTGCGTTTCTTCCTTTTCTCTTAATTTTCTTCGAACTCGACCCCACATACCCATCCTTTGACACCCGCCCTACCTTGCTTTCATTTCCTTGATTGAATTCTAGCAAAACCTACTTGCTGCCGCGCTGTCACCCGCCTTCCCACCAACGGGATTCCCATAGATACCCTTTATAACCACAACCGTCATTCCATCGCCGCTTCTTGGACACGACCTTCTGCTACTCGGCCAGTGGGCTGCCATCTCAGTGCCTACCAGTTGATCTCACCTCAACACCTGGTGGTGTATTGTCATTCATCGAAAAGACTACGAGTAGACTCAGCCTTATCAGACATCTTTCTATCACGCACCGTCTATCGAAACCACCACCTACACCCCTCTTTACGTCAGCTTCCAGCTCAGGAACTGATCCTCAAAAAATCTATTCAATCTTGATCTTTTGGCGTCTGGGGCTTGTCATACAATCCACACCCTTTTACTTCAACCAACACACAGCGCACCAAACCGAACAATAACGATATTCATTTCGGCTCAGGAGAGAGATACGTACCCCGAGGGACTGTGGGCCCCATAGGCTTTATATATCACCGAGCAACGGAAACCTCTAGGCTTTGCCGCAATGTCTCGCCCAGACACTTCGCTGGACAGCAGTGAGAAGGACAGGAGCGCGCCGCTGGATCATCCCAATTCTGACCAGTCCACCACCGAAACGAGGTTTTCAGAAAACAACAACAATATCGAAGATAAGAAACAAGATGTCGAAGGAAGAATACCTACCAGTGCTGCCTCCACTGCCGTAGCTACCGCCGAGCACGACCTGTACGAACCCTACGATAACGGCTACCACTTCCCACCCGCACACACCAAGACGCAGTCGACGAAGATAGGTGCAAAGGCGTTTTGGAATTACACCTGCACACCGCTCGGCTTTTTCGTCGTCCTCTACGGCTTGAATGTGGTGGCTTGGGGTGGTATGCTGTTCTTGCTACTCTGCAATGCTTCGCCGGCCATGTGTTACCCGACATGTAATGACATCAATTCTCCCCGCCGCAAATGGATCGAATGGGATTCGCAGATCTTGAACGCTCTGTTCTGCGTTACAGGTTTCGGATTGGCACCGTGGAGATTTCGCGACCTGTACTTCTTGATGCAATATCGCATTCTGAACAAACCCGAAGCCCTCGGCCGGCTTGCGGGTATTCATCGCGGATGGTTTCGATTGCCTGGCTCTGACCAACTCCCTATCCACATCGGCCCCGAGAACGTCGCTGAACTGGCAAACGAACGGCCAGTGTTGCATATTCCGCACCCAGAGAAGGCCATTCCAAACGCGCCCCTCACAGGTGTTCGGGCCCCTCCCACACCAATTTGGAAAATGGACTTTGTTGTCTGGTTCAACGTGTGGAATACATTTCTGCAGTGCGTCCTCTCCGGCTTCATGTGGGGAATGAACAGGTACGACCGACCCAGCTGGTCGACGGGCCTTTTTGTTGCGCTCGCCTGTCTGGCGGCTGCGATTGGGGGCTTGATGATGTTTTTTGAGGGCAAGAAGGTTAAGAGCATTGAAGGAGTGCCGCTAAGCAGAGAAGACGAGGAGCGTCTGGCAAAAGACAAGGAGATGGGGGTCCAACATTACAATAACATTAAGGACAAGAAGCCCAAGGAAAAGAAATAGGGGTTAACGCGGGTTTGGCTAATAGGCGATACTTCCATACACGAAGAGTAATATAATACCGGGAGCACAGACGACTTTATCCACAAACCGTGATATTTCCGATCGCTGCGGCATTGTAGTACCGCGGTGAATAGTTATGAGCTACAGATGACTTCCTTGTATCATATATGGCGTACATGGCGAATAGTACGTGATGCGGGCGGGCGGTAGGTAGTATGCGGGTGGGAACGACGGACAATGATGCTCATTCGAAGTGTGCTGCTTGCCAAGACACAAAGACATCGGAACCAAACAATGGAGGGTAGGCTATAATCATACTCAAATCTGACCCGGTCGTGTCTGTGTCAGCATTGCCGGCCGCTGTCAAGATGAATTGGATTACGGATACTCCTAACTCATTTCACTGTCGGAGCGGGAACGATACGTTGAAGCTATCCTCTTGGCTTCACTGACCCATATTCGCGCTGCCATTGGTTGAGATTGAGACTGCCCTGTCAGGGTTCTACATGGACGCGTGCGTGAATTGCTCCGTAACGCTAAACAACATACCTAACCTGGAAATGGAGTGGTGGTCAGAAGGTGCAAACTATGCACGTAGGCACGGGGCCACGGGCGTCCGCTTTGAAGTTTAAGGATGCGGATACAGTTGAGGCAGTCGTTGGGTGGGCTGCGGAAATGCCACTCCACTGGCTGTGCTGAGGTACCCTGGCACCTAAATATGGGATAGGAGGAACCCGAGTTACGAGCCCAACGATAGACGCCTATCTTACCCACTGATAAGCCGATGGCTCCAGCTCGACAATTCCGCCACATCCAGACTCCCGACAGCTACAGCCGCTACCTTAACCTGCATTCCGACCGCCGTGCCACTGTGTGCTGTCTAACAACCGTCTCTTCTCCCAGCCTCTTCCTTCGATTTACCAAGTTCGGGCTGTGCGTCTCCTCATAGCGGACTTGATCAATCTCCCCATTAGCGAATACCTCAAGCGGATACATTCATTTCTCCCTCATCATCTCTTCTTTCATAACTCCATTCGCCCATAGACCCTAGCCGGTCAAGTTCGACAGCTCGTCTAACATGGCTTCCCGAGCCCTTATCCCCATTCTCGTCGGCATGATGCTGTTGACGGGTGTTTGCAATACCCTTCTTACAAAGTATCAGGCATGTCGTAACTCCTTTGCTCTTGGAATCTGGACGCTAATTTGGCTTCCTCTCTCAGGACATGCAATGCGTCCGGAACTGCGATGCGAAGGACCCCACGAAACGGGCCTACTTCAACCAGCCCGTCCTCCAGACGGCACAAATGTTCGTTGGAGAGATGGGTTGCTGGCTGGTCATCGGTCTGATGAAGCTATATCGTCGCTACAGACCCGGAACAGACCCCACGGCCAATGGCTACGAGGCCGTGAACACGAATGATACCGATATTGCGGATGCCCCTCTTGTCGGCAATGTCGATGGACCTCCAAAACCTCAAGAAGATGGCAGTGATGCTATCCTGCGCGGCCCCCGTATCTTGTTGTTGGCGCTCCCAGCCATCTGCGACATTCTCGGCACAACGCTGATGAACATTGGTCTCTTGTTGGTTGCAGCCTCCATCTACCAAATGACTCGCGGCGCTCTTGTTCTTTTTGTTGGAGTTTTCAGCGTTATATTCCTCAAGCGTCGACTTTTTTTGTTTCAGTGGCTGTCTCTAGTCGGTGTTGTCACGGGCGTCGCAATCGTCGGCTTGGCTGGTGCCATCTACCATGAGAACACGAACGAGGCTGAAAGAAGCATCGAAGAAGGCTCTCCCGAGTCCAACGCCTTGCTAACTGTTATAGGTGTTCTTCTTATTGCTGGCGCGCAGATCTTCACCGCTACACAATTTGTTCTGGAAGAATGGATTCTGGAGAGGTCATCCATTGAACCTATCCGTGTTGTTGGATTTGAAGGCCTTTTTGGTTTCACTGTCACTGTCATTGGCATGATTCTCTTGCACCTGGTCATTGGACAAACCGACTCTGGACGCAACGGATACTTTGACATGGCAGAGGGCTGGAGGCAGCTCACACAGAATAAAGCCATCGGAATCTCTAGCATCCTGATCATGATCAGCATCGGGTACGTTTGCCTTTCTCGACCTGACAAGCAGCTATCTTACTAATTTGCTCGTCGATGTAGTGGTTTCAACTTCTTCGGTCTCTCCGTCACCAGAAGCGTCAGCGCTACCTCGAGATCTACCATTGATACGTGCAGGACTCTCTTCATCTGGATTGTCTCCCTTGGACTGCGCTGGGAGACCTTCAAGTGGCTGCAGGTTGTTGGATTTGGTCTGCTTGTCTACTTTACCTTCCTCTTCAACGGAATTGTGCAACCCCCGTTCCAATTTCTTGTCCCTGATGAAGAGGTAGAGGAGCTACTACCGGAAGAGCCGATCGAACATCAGTAACGAGGGGGCCTATTATGTTTAAGTCAGCAGGGCTGAGAATGGCTACTCGAGCGGCAGGAGTCTGTTTTGTGTTGTAGCTTGAATTAGACTAGCTTATGGAAGCAGTTGTGTTCCACGTGTTCGAGGCTGGGATGCTCAACGACGTGATTACAAGGAAATGGTTCGCGTACACAACGCGAGTCGTCTGTATTATGCGCTGACTCACACCGAATGAGGAAATTCTATGCACTGTTCCCAATAACCCTCAAAAGATTCCCCAACTTCTTGGCTGAGTGGGATGTCCGTATACTGATAGAATCAGGTGGTCAGCTGGCAGCCGACTGATAGATACGTGCCACTCTTGTGTAGTCAGATGAATCCCGATAGTCCAGCAGAATGCTAGGATCGATCCCAAACGAAAACCACCGTATACACCAAGAAACGCCGCCCGTATGCAAGGCATCTTGGTGCCTTTGCCCCCCCCCCAAAAAACCAGACGAACTGAAGCTCAAACGCCATATCCCAAGATAGTGCCCTCTCCCAGGAAAATCTTACTTCTCCGACAATAGTAGAAAATCTACGTGACGTTGCAGAGAAGCTCGGCCTCGAGTATGAACTTGCCCTCCTTGTATTTCTCCGTAGCCTCATAGGCTTTGTCGTACTTCCAGCCAACGGTCTCTTTGCACTGCTTGCAGGTGATGTCCCGCACAATATGCCGCCCCGTGGTCATGTTTCGCTCGCTGGGTTCACCCGTCTCGATGTTGACGACGCTGTTAAACAGGTAGGCCTTACCATGCTGGCCTCGGAAGTTCTGATGGAAACAAATTCGTCAGTAAGAGAACCTAGACGGCAATCCGGCATGTTGACAGGTGGCTCCTTAAACTGTCCAAAGCTTGCTGGAGCCGGTGATGTTGAGGAGAAAATGTCATGATAAAACGTACCCGGCTGATGATATCCTCATGGTTCGACAGATGCGCCTTGCACGTCTTGCAGCCGTAGACCTTATTGCTGTTGAGGTAAGTGTTATATGCGAGGCCCATCGTGTGCAAAGCTTCTTCCTATAGAGGCAGGATACAGCGGGAGACGGAATGGTTGGCCTGATGGAGAAGCCTCGCCACGCGGTAGAGGCAGGCAGCTACGGTGTTCGTCCCGTCGTCGACAAGCCTGTTGCAAAGTCGCAGAGAGGGAAGAGAGCTGCCTCCTTTTAGCGCTCAACCGAGAGATGGGGTGGGAATGTCGTGGAAAGGCCGTCGGGTTGACGTGCCAGGTCTTTTGAAGTCTGGAAAACGACGGAGGGAGGCGGATGTGCAAGGGATGGATGAGCAGCGTGCCAGGTTGGAGGGACGAGGTGGGCGCTCAGGTGATGTGAGGGTGCAGGTGAGGTGAGGTGCAGGTGAGGTAAAGATAAGATAGCCCGCTGAAGCACGCTCTGGACCCTCCTGGAATTACCAGTCTGATGTGTGCCCGTCGGGTGTCAGCAACGTTCGAATACCTTGGAATGGGGACCGACCTAAGCTGGACCTCGGAGGGGAGCACTGGGGCCGGGTTTGGTCACGCTTCAACTGTCCACAGTCGAACCAGGAGGTCTGTTAGCTGGTTCGCTGTTTCCGTCCTAGGAAGAAAGGGTGTAGATTCAAAGATTCAATCATCAATGGAGGGATGCGGAAGTCAGGGAGGGTTAGAGGGGCAGCTGGCAAGGCTTGGCTTAGGCACAAGGCAATGGGGGAATGACCGAGGGGACGGCGGGGATGTCGGTGAACCAGTCGGGATCGGGCAGGGGCTGGCAACCTCCACTGGATTACACTGGTGACATTCCGATGATACATTAAGTCCCTTACCTAAGCTACCTACGTAGTAGGTAGGCGCGTAACTTTTGAGTGACGTGCGTCGCATGGTTTCCCGATTTGGGTCTCTTAACTACATGAATTGTGTAATGCTGTACAGATATAGAACTACGGTCTAAATCGATCCCCTATATGTACATTGAACTACCCCGCCGTTATATGTCGATTCTGAGGTACCTAATCCGAACTTCCGTACCCTTGGCGCTCCAGTCGGCTTGAACTGCTTGGCGTCATTTGATGCTTGGTATGCCCAGGAGCATTTCAATTCCGACCACGTCCACGTTGCAATTGTGGGAACATTCCCTTCCTATCTTAATATGAAAAGGCCTCCTCGTTGAAATCAATGGCCGAGTCATGCTGGCGATCGCGAACAGCGCGGCGCACTTCGTCGCTGAGAGCGCCAGGACCGCAGACACTAATGCCCATGGTGCCGACTTGCGACTCCTGCTCAGCTTTGATGAGAGTCTCGATGTTGGGGCGGCCAGGGAACATTTGAACAGTGGACGAAGGACTGTGAATCTCCTTGGTCGATCTTGGCCGACTGACGAAGAGCATAATGCGGAGGACATCCCTTCGCTTCTCCATAGCCAAGATTTCTGTCATCCAAGGTCGGATCCACTCGAGATGCTCGGGGCTCTGGATAGTCCAGATGAGAATTACCTTCCTCGCGGCAACCGTTCCGTTCGCATAGCCGGCAACAAGGTCACGCACGTGAGGTACTTGATGAGTGATTCCAACGCCACCAGCAAACAACATAACGGTGCCATAGGAGCGCATGCTGTGTAGTCCGCCGTAGGGCCCCTCCACCATGCACGTCGTAGTCATTTTGCCCTCAGGGCAAGCCGCGGCCTTGCGATACAGTGTGTTAGTCATGCCAGTGCGGGCGCGAATTACGAAGGACATGGTGGTCTTGCGCATGGCGAGAATGTCTTGACGGTTGAGAGAACCCTTCTCAGCCATGGGATCCTCAGCCTCTTCGCTCCAAGCAACGGAAAATGGATGAGATTGCAACAAGCTGAGGGACGGCATGTACACATAGGCATGCTGGCCGGGTCCGAAGGTCCAGGGTCTAGCCATGGTCACCGTGACGCGACAGGCGTTGCCGGGCAGAGCTTCAACAAGCGCCTTGCTACCTCCGTGACCGACGTTGCCGTAAAACACCCTCCAGGCGCGCCAGACGCGGTCACCGGCCCAGAAGATGACGACGGGCCACATGTACTTGAGCTGGGGGAGAGCCTTCATCTGCAAGTGGTACCAAGTACCTATGACAGCCGTGATGGCAAGCAAGATGTGGAGGAGCTTGAACGTCTCGTAAAAGGCGTGTCTGATCGGGCTGGAAGCCTGAAATCCGATGGCCACGAACGCACAAGTGGCCTATCATCAAGGTCAGCGTCAACACATCAAAGTTGTTTTGCTACAGAATCTTTCATCCACTTACAACAAAGCCGAAGAGCAAGAAGGGGACAGTGGTTGCTGAGGTGATTGCGACCTGCCAGCTGCTTTGATTGGCCGTGTTGGCCATCCAAGCCAGCGTGTGCGCAAGAGCCTCCAGAATCACAATGCGACCGAACCAGCGATGCAACAAGTTGAAGGTATCGAAGGACATGCCGAGCATCGGAATCAAAGGGTTGTTTCGTCCACCCATCAGGAACAAGGGAATCTGCACCTCCGTTAGAATTCATTGCATGGGTGTTGTCTTAGCCTTAGCGAGCACAGATATTCCTATTGTCCAAGACTATTGTCCAAGACTTGTTATTGAGGAGGTGTATAAAACGCACCATGTTCACAACGGCCAAGGTGCCAGTCCGGTTTCTAAGCATCGAGGCGGCCGCAGCAAAGGAGCCAGCGAAGGGGATGTTGATGACACAGAAGGCAATGTTTGTAGCGAAGTAACCGGTGAGAAATAGCAGCTGGAGTCGGCTGGGCAGTGTGCCAACGTTGATGGCAGAGCTGAGCTGGATTTCGCGGTTGTGACGCTTGCTCATGACCGGGGCGTAGAGGATGTTCTTCTTCATCCAGGAGACCTTGGAGTCCGACTGGGCAAAATATCGCTGGTTGTCGTTGTTGAGACAGGCGACGGTACGGACATACCTCACAATGACGGTCCATACTCTCCATATGATGACTGCCGCAGCAATGGCGGCGCAGATGTAATACAGATAGTTGGAGAGGGAGGTGTTCTCGTTGGCCGCATCGATAGCCGCCTGTTGCTCCTCGGGAGACTTTGTTGCGCCTCCACCAGCCATGGCGATAGTTTTGTTGAAAAGGGCGATAGACTTCGACCAGAAGATAGAAAAGAGAGTGATTTCGTGGAATCAACCGCCGCTATGGGTGTCCCTGCTTCCAATGTCCCTAAGGAGTTGCACAGCAAGTTTATCGGAAATCAGGAGAGAACGTAGCACTTTGCCCGTTGTCGAGAGTGAATCTTCTACTAGGAGGTGAGTCGAGGCAGTCGATCGGACACTATATCGTAAAGGTGTTTTGTTTTGTTTTATTTCGCGTTGTTCTTTCTCTTCTTTTAGAGGTACCTCGAAGCCGGCACGATAGTACTTCCAAAAGGGGTGGGCCACTGGAAAGAAACGTCAAAAAGTGCAGTCAATGCAGGGAACGAATATGGCGGCAGTGGAAGAGAATTGGAACGTTGTTGGCTTAGAGACGTCGGCTGCCAGTCCAGGTCTGGTGAGACGAGGGAGTTGGTGAAAGAGAAGGACGAGAAGAGAACAAATGGCCGTGAGGCAGAAGGAGGGAGGAAGAAGGGAAGGGCAACAGAATAGTCAGGAAGAGGCGAGAGATATCGGTGATGTAAGTACTAGACAGAGCCGGGCCACACACCAGTAAGGCACCATGGGCGAAGGGGACTCAGACTAGGTAGGTATTGCTATTAGTCGACCCCAGGCCCTAAGATGTTGCGTTCCTGGTTCCTCTTTGGGATGGCTGTACCGTGTGGGTCGTCGCCCGAGAGTGTGTGAGTGGAGGTAGGTGAACTGATACGGCCCAGTTGATGGGGACTAAAACACCGGTTCTCACAACACAATGAGGGATTGCGCTCTCCGCAAATGTGGGCGTCCCCAGATAGACAGAAAGGAAGCGCCTCCCAGCCGCTCCGAGGCACCACGGTCTCCTACTACATTGTAGTGCACATGTTGTAAGAGTGGGGGAGGCATGGATCCAAGAGGGTTGTCCCTTGACTTTGGGCACACAGGAAAGACAGACGGCGAATTGCAGACGACCATTAGCAGGGTGTCAACTATTCCACCCGATGACCCGACCAGGCGCGGTCAAACAGAGAACACATCATATTACGCAAGATTCCAGCTATGTCAAGTCGAGACGAGGCGTGGCCCTCGGGGCACGCAGGGCAAGGCATGACCGCGCAATTGCAGGGTACATGTTGACAGGCAAACAGGGTTGATCTCGGCAAGGGAGTCCGACTTGAGGTTCATACACGGCATTCGTACGGCAGTTAAAGGGGGTGTGCGCGCGCGCGCGTGCTCGTGGGTGTGTGTGACCAGAGTAGCTGAGAGATCAGACAGTAAGTAGAAGGGCCATAGAAGAGGCACAGAAGCTAAGCCAGCGAGGGCACTGACAGGGATTGGATGACATTGCTCGTGTAAATGTAAATGAGAAAGAGAGGACGACAGCCGGCAGGGGTAAACGATATGAAGTCGAGGTACGTACCGCGGAGCGGACCAGCAATATGTGCCGCAGCAGATCAGGGAGCCACGATGCAGGGGGCTACATGCGCAGTAGGTGGAGTTCCAGGTTCCAGGTTGCCCGAAAGGCAGGGCATGTACTCGGATGTACGTACTTTTCCCAAGTCTCTTCTTCTTACCTTAGGCTGTCCAAGGAGGCGGCGACAAGGGATGCACGCTGACGCAAGGCAGGGCCCTAGGCAGGAAGGCGCCCAGGCAATTAGAATGCGGGACAGTGGCCTGGCCCTAATCTGTCTCTTGCACAACTGTGTCGGTACCTATGTCAGTCTCTTCCACATGTTACGTGCCTGAACTACGGAATACCAAGGGCAAAAGGACGTTCATTCCGGGGTGGCAGCTAATCCCGGCCGCACCAGGCGGTTGCGAAGCTGATTGGCTGCAAGAGTGACTCGTACCTTGCGGCAAGTGAGCTGGTGTCGTAGAGGGGCCAATGCTGGTGGGGAAATCAGGGGCCAGCACTCTGCACACAGCGCCATCAAGTCTCAACCACGTTACCACACAATGTACAGCACACACAACGGGCCAAGACTAATTTAACGGTGTCGCCGTTATTCATAGCATTGCAAAGGAGCGCGTATCCAAGTTTGTAGGAAGGCGAAGCTGCTCTGTTGTCCGGAGTTAGAGTAAGACAAGGCACCCACAAGGAAGGATATCCGAAAAGGGGAAACCTTATTGCGCGCCCATCCCGAGGATCCTATCATCACTGCGTCTTGTGGCCGGCGTCAAGTGGCTTTCTTATACGTTGGCTCTCAGAGGAAGAGGTGGATGCAGAAGCAACTATGGACATGGTCACTGCTCCTACCGTCGTCATGTTTATAAACCTGGTTTCTATCTTCACGTCGGTACGGATAGCCTTGGTGAATATTAATATATCCCAACAATAAACACCCAACCGGGCTGATATGACGGACTGCACCGACATGACGTTGTATTCGGTAGTAGCAGAAGAAGGAAAGAGAACCCACTTTTCCTAGAGCCTCTGAAACAAGCCGCGCTCGATCTACGGCTGCGCTACGCCAATTATGGGAGAGGGCCGGAGGAGTTTCCTGCGGGTGACGGGGCTATCTCCCCTAGTAGTCTCGCTAGACTCTACCTTAGTCAAGCGACCGGTCAAGTACTGTGGTACCGTGCCTTACCTTACCGCGTAAAGTTGCGGGAAGATGGACGCCCCACGTACAATGAAGTGCACTACACAGCGCTCGGTTTTCTTAAAATCTTTCCCTTCATACCACCAACACGGCATACTCCTGATCTTGGCACCAGCTTTGATCTCCAAGCGGCCGTCAGGTCAACGCTGCCAGTCGGTTATTACGACATACTTCCAATTCCGCATTGCGACTTGAGTGTGTTGGGAAAATGCAGGAACCTGTGCGTCTCGGTCTTGTCACACCAAGGAAGCACCGGTGGAGGGCCGCGAACGCGCCTTGGATTATCTCCATGAGTCCATGGCCTTGGGAAGAGGAACCTTGGTCGTGGGCTTGAACCGATCTTACAGAGTGCATCAGGAAACCCTCCCACACCACTACACAATGAGTTACCAAGGCCTGTCGATCGGGTCCGCGTCTCATTCGCATCCTCGTCGTCCGGTCTTCTGACACGCACCCAGGCACCAAATCACTATCGTCACATTCTACCTAACCAGCCAAAACGAGTGGCACGCCGCCCACTTCACGCCTCTCTGAAGCAAGCTGACCCGATTCCCCTCGGTTATACTTGTCTTCCTGCGACGGGACGTGTCTGGGATGTGCTCTGGAGACGGCGGGAGAGTGGGGGTTGATGCACGGCAGAAGCCAACGAGAACAAGGGCATCGTAGCATCCCCCCGGCCCCGAAGAAGTAGGCGTTGCGCGGCGTGCCTTTGGGGCTGATGCGAGAGGCAAGCAAACAATGAGGGCAAACTGCGATCGGTCTCAGTCACTGGCCAAACCACTGTATGGAATCATCATCTGGAGTCACACAGATCCCCCGACCCGCTATGTCGATGTCAATTCGTCCCCCCTCCGTATTCCGCTAAAGGTTTTTTCCCCCTCAAGAGAGTTCATGCTAGACGTCGTATCGTAGTCGTACCGATACCCCCTTGTGTGCCTGCTCGCGCGAGCGAACTTCGGATCATCGCCGCCTGCGCTGCTGGAAGCATGTGGCAAAGTAAACCAAGTGAACTCGGTCTACGAAGAGGAATACGCCCCGTACTTTAATTGTCTCTTGAGAATCATCTTGTTTACTTTTTCTACCATCAGACAAAGCTTGAAACTTCAGTTGCACACCAGTGCCAGGGAAATCACAAGGAGCATGCATTAGCTATTATGAAGCCTTCAGTCATAAACAGCAAGTCGAATGTCTCACTGCGCCACAACAACACCGTATGTATCACTTCAGCAGGCTTGGTTTACCAAGCAGCAGAAAGCATAGATGCTTCCCTTATCGTTGTTTAATCCCAAGTCATTTTCTAGTGTGACACCACTCGGAATCTGACCGGCGACAGCAAGTGTTTTCCATTCTCCAACAGTGTGCATGGCAATTCGCGCAGACACGATACGCCAGAGTCCTTTCGTCTTGGGATGACGGCGTTTCAGTCATGAAGAATTTCGCATGATCCGTGAACATGGGATAAGTCATCTCCTCGGTCCTAGCCTGCGCGGGCCTTGACTCGGACGATACAGCGGAAGAAGAAACGCCCCAGCCTCACGCAAAATTCGATTTTGCGGGTTGCCTGATTCGCTGGGCGGTCAACTACTTACCACCCGGGCGGTCTACGAATACATACCGGCCGTTTATCACGGCTATGCCGTCGTCGTCATTGGACCGCATTCTGAGACGGGTGCGGTACTAGAGATGTGTAAAAGTATCGCGCGGCCTTTTCATGACGATCCCCACCTCCGTCTCTGTTTCTAAACGTACTCACCATCAAGAGAATATGCAGGTTTCATGCAATCGCCACAACGAGGCATGCGACTTGCAGTGTGCCACTGTGCGTAGTGTGTTGCGAACACCAGAGTGCAGAATTGCAGCCACTAGTAACCAGACTGTCTCCAATTATGGCTTAGTCAACGGCTGCCTGTCCTCTCGCAAGCCCTTGCTCTGCATCCCTGGCATCGTGGCATATCATCAGATTGCCTCGTTCAGCTCTTCAGTCTATGTCGTGCTCCCCAAAATACCCACCAATGATTGATCAGAGCTGTGCTAGACTCTCAGCGAACCGCCAGGAAGAGAGTAAAGATGGCCAAAAGGTTCCAGTCATTCTTGTACGGGCAAACGGCACAGCAACATGCCTCGCATCTACATCCTTGCAGTCCTATCCTCTTCAACAGAATTTACCAGCTAAATTCGATCCACGGGACAGACACTGATATTCGCACTCGCCGTTGGCCTCGATGATCTACAACGGTTTTATAGTGTTTTTAATAGTCGTCTATCGCTCATGCGACCCGTTTATTCCCAGTGATATCGTGGCCGGCCAGTCGGCCCAGCGCGTACGCAAAACGTACAGCCCTGACAAGAAACGCGTCAGGCTTGCTTTCCATGTTGCCCGACTAACCCAGCCCGTCCGATTTCGACAAATGTTCTTCCGCTAGCCGCCGTTGGGCTCAACTTTTGGACCTTTCAGCTGCTGTAGTGCCCACTGGCTCGCCGAGTAATACATCCACAGCTGCTTCTGCTTCACGAATTGCTCCGTCTCGATCGCTCTGCTCTGTATGGTCTCACAAGCGCCTATCATGCACATACATCCATTTCGGACTTCTACTCACCCAAATCCCGTCATCATATCCGTAAACTGTCAAGTCCGTAAACTGTCAAGTCCGTAAACTGTCAACACATCTTCTGTTCATGCTGCCAAGGATTCGCCGCTCCGTTTCGAGAGCTTCGGATAAGAAACACCACAAGAGACGGGTGATTGGAGGCAAATGCTACACTACAGAAGAAAATCCCACTTCCCCATCGTGAGGTCCACATCGATGACAACCCTATGCGATGTTCCTAGTCGTTACTCCACTCACAAACAAGGATATGAAACGCAGCTGATGACTGTTTTGTATCCTATTGACTCGCACGAAATCTGTTGATATGTTCATGCCCCATAGGTTGGACTGAGATGAATAACGCAATCTATTTGTTGCAGCCGTCATTGTATTCCTAGCTCATCCTCGTCGCTGCATCCATTGGCGATGGCCTGCACGCTCAATCCCGCCAAAATCTTGCGAGATCTTATCTCGCTGCTCCGAATAACCCGCCGACACCCGTCCCGTTTCCTGGATCCTGCAACACGGCTTCCCAATTGGGACTTGCCTAGAACTCGTGGCCAGTTCTCCAGGCCCATGCCAAGCTCGTCAATTCCGTCAATCCCAGCGCGCGAGTCTTGCTTGCCGCTGCCATGATCCTCGCTCTGTGCTCTCTTCCTTTTCCCCGCCGGTCGCTTGCCCAGTTGGTCACCGCCTGGCTCGATCGCCGCCGTTGCCGGTCTTGCTACCAGAGACCCGCTTTTCTCTATTCCTTCCCTGGTCGGATCCGATCCCGATTGATCCGCCAGGACCCGGACGTCGTCTATGCCTTTGGCATGTCTTCCGCTTCGGCGTCGCTGTACAGTTCCTCGCGTTAAGGCATCTTGTCTTCTTGCCACTGGGCTGACTGCAATCCACTCGCTGATGCCATGTTCCCATCGAAAACCTGCAAAGTCGCCCTGGGCAACGGCCACATTATCTTTCTCCGCCAAGTTGTCCTTCAATGTCTCCGCAAATACAAGATCGCGTAGGTCGTCGGTCTTCTGAGCCAAGAGAAAGGCCCCATCAGCTCGCAATGATGCAAACCTCTGTGTCTCTAGCTTGTCGACGAGTTCGCAAACCTTTGCGAAATACGGATGGGATGGCTGGCCTGTGGCTCTGCCACAACAGTGGGCAATCGAGCAGGTGAGATCGACGGTAATGTCGAGAAGGTGGCTGTCGTCATTGCTAGTGTTCGAGACTCTGCCCAGACCCATACCATTTCCAAAACCGTCAATCGCCGCCTTCAGTCTTATTCTTGTGGCCTCGTGCGCCGCTTTCGGGGACGAAGACAAGAATAAAGCCAGTAACAGGGGATATGCGGCTTCCTTGCTGCCGACACGGTTTCTCAACAGTCTCAGTGCTTGATGAAGAATGTGAACTACCGCCCTCTGGACCCGACTTTTCTGACATCCATAGGCGTCATTTGTAGTACCTCCAAAATCCTGCGAGATCATAGCCATAGCCGACAATGCACCGAGTACACTAATCAAAGTGTGCCTCGCAGAAATTGGTCTTGTTGTGAGCCCCGAAGAGTGCCTTGAGCGTCTTGGATATGCGGTTGCAGACAAGACTGCAAGTCCTGTGAATGTGAATTCGGCTGCAGAGGAGTGCTCTTTTTGCTCGAGTATCGCGGAAGCAGCTGTGCTCCATAAACCCCCAAAGGCCTTCGTTGAGACTGTGTCGACGAGGGACCGCTTGTGAAGTAAAAGCGATGAAAATGTTTCAAGCAAGTGAGATTTCACAATCGAATTGTCCGCAAGGTGCAATAAATAGGCTGGTAGCTGGCTTTGCGTGTCTGCTTTGGGCGGCTGTCGTACTTCAGGAGACTTATCATAGAGAAAGCGAAGCCAAGCATCCGTGAGGTCCGCTGTTTCGTGGAGAAAGTCCATAGCCTTGCAATGATCAATCAAGATGCGAACGAATGAGACGTCTAGTAGTCCGTCCTTAATGACTCCGGTTAGAAGATGTATAGCATGTGCTCGTAGAAGTGTGCGCAGATGACTCCAGCCGTTATCGGTGCCTCCTAAGGTCTGTAACTCATCGTATACTCGTAAAGAATAGGCCATTCGTCTGATAGACGATACCGGTCCGTTGTTTGATTCCTGAGACTTCTCCCAATTCTCGATCTCCGTCGCGCACTGGGGCACTTTGTTGAGGCACATCGACAACAACGACTTCTTGCCGACTGCAGTATGGTTGAGCATTGTCGAATGTAACAGGGTATCTAGGTCATGTAGAATGCCCTCATAAAGCTGGTATCTCCCAGGTTGCAATATGTATCTGACGCGCTTTAAATTGCCCATGGAGATGTCCAAAGGCCCACGTCTCGCAGTCTTGGGCGGCGTACAAAAGCTCCCTGTCTCTTGGCATTCGTATAGGTCCATCCTTGGTGATGTTGCGATATGGGGCCTGACTTTGCGTAGAATCGGCGTTGAGACTACGGGCAAGTTGGAAGAAGAAGTCGCGTTAGGCTTTTGACGAAGGTGGCTCTGGGATCGATTGGTAGCCTTTGAGCCCATGCTGCTGTCATCTTCTGTGAGACTAACTGACCTCTTGGAATATGTACGGCGTGGGCGCCGCCGCTGTCTCTCGGAAGAGTGCGTTTCGTCCACAGGCTTCGGTTGTTTCGCTGTTGGGCGATACGGCGTATCGTCGAGGATTCCATTATCAGGCACATCCTGTCCACAAGTAGTTCTCTCGGCTGCCGCAAGCCTCTGTAGCAAGGCAATCCGCGACTGAAGAGGGCGCAATAGTCTTTGACATCTCGAAGAAGTCCAAGACATACCAGAGTGAGTGGCGAATCGAGCACCGTGTTTTGCTGCCCAATTACCGGTTCTCTGATTCGCATTGCCGTCCCTCGCCATTTCTGGTTCGCCGGTTCTTGGATTTGAATCAACCGAGGCACCCTGCAGTTGATAACGGTTGTGTTCAAAATGCTTTCGCGTTGATCCAAGATACTTTATTATAGATACCCCTTGCTGGAGAATGTTCTCGGGTACAGTCAACCCGACTGTACTGCGTCGCTTGACGATTGTCGATGTCGATTGGTGATGGCGAATAAGACTGAATCTGCTCAGGGATGTAGGCTGAAAGCATGCTGAGAAGTGAGCGGATGTTCAAAGATACGAGTGCAAATTAGCCTCCAAATCAACAACAAGTGAAGAAGGGAAATAGTGTGCTAAGATTGGGGATTTAGTTCAAAGCGTGCTGGGTAGTTTAAGGATGAAGCTGGGATGTGATATTTCCATCACAGTGAGTGTTTACAAACTCCTTAATCAGGTATAGTGTGTATACTGACATGGGTAGAGGGGTCACCAAAAGGGATAAGATTATCCGTATTTAGCGCCATAAATTGGACGGTCACGTGTACTAGCCACCCCGCTCAAGAGAGCCTGGTCTTTGAAGATTGCCTTACGGATACAGCGTAGGTACGGATAAGAACGGAGGCTCTGCCATGGTTCGTCACCTTCCCGGGGTACCTGAGGGGGACGGACAACGACTAAGAGAGCTCCCCCAAGCGGAGTGGGCCCGAAAAAACCGACAGCTCCAGCTTTGCCGGGCCGGTGCATTGCCGTCAATTGATGAATGACAGCGCGACTTTTTTTCTGCCGTAAATTTTCTTCCTCCGATCGTTCCCAAAAAGCACCCTATCCTCTCAACGTCCCTCTATCAACCCCCTTCCGATCCGAAACTGGCTGTTGAGTTGAAACTTCATACTCTTCCTCAGGCCGAGTATTTCTTTCTGCCGCTCGTCACTTCGGAGCTGCGCATCCATCTTCCATAGATCGCTTCTTACACCGTTCTGCCCTATATTAATTGCGTATCTGCATTGGTTTGTGCGATTGCTCAACTCTACACAACCCTCTCCACTTCGAAGCTTCGATTATATACCTATCCCCTACTCAGGTCTCACTTCTCCGTCAAGACCACGCCGGGCATTAAATCTATAGATCACTTTGGTTCTTTCACTTAAAGTCGAGTACCAATGTCCCAATCCGATCAACCTCAAGGCAAAGGTACCAAACACCCACGATCAAAAGCAGCATACACGTGGCACCCCCGGTACAGTCACAAGCTAAACATGCAATATTCTCAGAGAATGCCGAGAAGGAGCCAACGCCTCCCACTGAGGCGGAGGCCGATCTCCAGGTCGAGGGCGAGATCGATCAAGGCCTAGACGGTGAATACTCTGAGCAATCATGGAACTGGGATGCCAAATGCTGATATAACGTAGCCTTGGTAACACTTACGATCAAGCTTCCCAATGAGCCTGGTCAGATGCAGATCACGGTAAGCTGTGCCGAGTCCACTTACGAATGCGTCTATTGACTGGTTCTTTACAGGTGTCCCCCCAAGAGCAGGTCCACGAAGTTCGGCAGTCCATTATCGACCTTCCCGTGGCGTTCCAGTACACTTGCTTTCACCTGGAGCACCGCGGGCAACGCATCAATGACTTTCTACCGATATCCGACATCGAAGGCCTCGTCGAAAGCCCCGAGGTCATATTGGTTGAAGACCCATACACAGAGAAGGAGGCGCGTATACACCTAGTGAGAATCAGAGAGCTCATTGGTGCCGCTGGAGACCGCACCGACGCTGTTCAGGGGATTCTGCCTGGTCTTTCTCTGCTTGACACTGTCTTGCCGCCGTCCGCAGAACAGTCCAACAGAGAGCAGAACGAGGCTGCCAAGGAGACAAAAGAGGAGTACAGCTTTGGGGTGCCGGTTCCAATCTCGACTTTGCTGCCTCCCGTCGAGGAGGAAGAAGTACCCAAGACGGTCAAGACCATAACTCTCTCGCCGTGGAACCCGCCGCCGCCCCACCTGAAGCAAAAGGGACATCTTTTGTACCTGCTCGCTACTACTAACGAGGGTGAGCAACACCAGATCACAGCCCACGTTGGAGGATTCTTCATCAACAAGTCCTCCAATGCCAAGTTCGATCCTTTCCCTCGACCGGCACCTAAGACAGCCTCGAATCACTCTCTGCTCGGGCTCCTCGACCAGATATCGCCATCCTTCTCAGCGTCTTTCCTCAAGCTCCAGGAGTTCAACAACCGCAAGGACCCTTTGGCGACTTTCCAAATCACCAATGCGATACCCTCTGCGCCATGGATCGTGCCGTCATCCAACTCTCCCCTCTGCACTCACACTCCTGACTGGACACGTTCCCAGGAGACCTATCTCATTGCAGGCGCCGATAACACCGATACGCTAAGAGACTGGAACGAGGAGTTCCAGTCTGCAAGAGAGCTCCCTAGTGAAACTGTCCAGGACCGAGTTTTCCGCGAGCGTCTTATGTCCAAGCTCTTCGCCGACTATAACGACGCGGCCACTCGCGGTGCCGTGCTCGTTGCCCGCGGCGAGATCCCTCCCCTGAACCCCACGGAATGCAAAGATGCCCAGATTTTCGTTTACAACAACATTTTCTTCTCTTTCGGTGCCGATGGCGTGAAAACATTTACTTCCGAGGGAGGCGATGAGGCAGCTCGTGTTGCCACTGGCAAGGATGTTGCAGGAGTCAGACTAGTGAACCAGCTTGACATTGACGGTCTCTTCACCCCTGCCACAGTCGTTATTGACTACCTTGGCAAGCGCATTGTTGGCCAAAGCATTGTTCCAGGTATTTTCAAGCAGAGAGAGCCCGGCGAAAACCAGATCGACTATGGTGCTGTGGATGGCAAGGAGAACGTGGCGGCGGACGAGCGATTTGCCAGCGTTTTCTCGAAGCTGTCCCAAGCCATCAAGGTCAAGAAGCATGCTGTCTGGGATAAGGATGGCAAACGGTTTGATCTTGAGGCCAGTGTGGAGACCAAGGGCTTGTTAGGAACCGATGGACGAAAATACGTACTCGACCTGTACCGTGTGACGCCTCTGGATATTGACTGGCTGGAGGAGGAAGGTGACGTCGAGTACCCCCACCGTATGGCCGTCCTTCGCCCGGAGCTGATCGACTCATACGGGAGGAAGAAGATGAAGGCTTGGGTTGACGAGGAGCTGGCACGCCGTGGGCAGACTTCCAAGGGTGCAACTGGGGATGAAAACCCGGCCGAGCCCAAGAAGAGCAAGGATACTTCTGCGAACGAGGAAGACAGTGACGAGAGTGACGACAGCGAAGAGAGCGAGAGTGAGAGTGACAGCGAGAGCGAGAGTGAAAGAGAATCGGAGCCCAGCAAAAAGGTGGTCAAGGCGGAGAAGTCCAAGACAACGGAGCTGGAGGATTCAAAAGAGCCGAAGGATTCGAAAGATCACATCGACCTTTCCAAGTTCGCATTTTCTCTTAACCCCGATGTCTTCAGCGGACAAGTACCCCAGACCGACGCTGAGAAGGCGGAGATGAAGAAGGATGAGGAGGATGTTCGTCTTGCGTCTAAGTACCTTCGTGACCAGGTCATTCCTGACCTCGTCCGTGACCTCACCGATTGCGATATTAGCTTTCCTATGGATGGTCAGTCCCTGGGACGTCTCTTGCACAAGAGAGGCATCAACGTCAGGTACACTGGAAAGGTGGCAGCGCTCGCCTCCGAACCTCGCCTGCAGTGCCTAAAGGATATTTGCATCCAGGACATGGTCGCTCGATCCTTCAAGCATGTCGCCGCAAACTACCTACGGCACTTGCCGGCACCTTTGTCATCGGCCTGCATCTCTCATCTTCTCAACTGCCTCTTGGGCTACAAGCTGAGCCCTCAGCCAGCCGCCGAGTCTGACGCTATTCTGAAGTCGCTATACGCTGACGCCGACTTTTCCTACGAAGAGGTAACGCCGGAGTCCCTCCGTGCCAGCATTTCCCAGGAGACTCTGAAGAGATTCCGGTACAGGCTCGATGCCGACTGGTACACCAACCTTAAGCCCTTGCAGGTGCTTCGTGAGATCTCCCTCAAGCTTGGTTTCCAGCTGCAAGCAAAGGAGTATAACTTCACGGACAAGCCGGTCGAGCAGGCGGGCTCACTTCCTGCCACCAATGGTAGTCCTGCGACCAATGGACAGACCAATGGAGAGGGGAGTAAGAAGAAGAAGAACAAGAAGGCGACAACCAAGGAAGCGATTCCGACGACCCCGACCCCTGCTCCTACGACCACGTTCACAGCGGACGACATTGTCAACGTTGTGCCCATAGTAAAGCACTCATGTCCCCGCAGCACTCTTGCAGAGGAGGCTCTGGAGGCTGGTCGAATCTCCATCATGCAGAACCAGCGCAAGCTTGGCCAGGAGCTCCTTCTCGAGTCTTTGTCTCTGCACGAACAGATTTATGGCATCCTTCACCCCGAGGTCGCTCGTGTCTACAATACCCTATCTATGCTGTACTACCAGCTGGATGAGAAGGAAGCGGCCGTCGAGCTCGCCAAAAAGGCTATCGTCGTCTCCGAGAGGACTGTCGGTGTCGACTCGGCGGAGACCCTGCTCAACTACCTCAACCTGAGCTTGTTCCTCCACCAAGCTGGCGACAGCAATAGTGCGCTTATCTATGCCAAGCACGCGTTGAAGCTATGGAAGATCATCTATGGCGCCGACCACCCCGACTCTATCACAACCATCAACAACGGCGCCGTCATGCTCCAGCACCTCAAGGCGTACCACGAGTCCCGTCTGTGGTTCGAAGAATCCCTTCGCATCTGCGAGAGCGTTTTCGGCAAGAACTCGATCAACGCCGCCACCCTCCTTTTCCAGCTCGCCCAGGCTTTGGCTCTGGACCAAGACTCCAAGGGAGCCGTCAGCCGGATGCGCGAGTCCTATAACATCTTCCTTGGCGAGCTCGGACCCGAGGACAAGAACACCAAGGAGGCCGAGAGCTGGCTGGAGCAGCTGACGCAGAATGCTGTGTCAATTGCCAAGCACCAAAAGGACGCGCAGGCTCGCCGTCTCCACGCGGGCATCCGCTTCACACCCAAGGGTGCGCCCTACCAGGCTTCCGCTACTGCCCCAAGCGTTTCAGCTGGACCAAGCACCAACTCGCAGTTGGGCAACCCTGCGGGCATGGACTCGCGCAGCATCGACGAGCTGATCAAATTTATCGAGGGTGCCGACCAAAGTAAGCCCTCAAAAGGAAGGCCGAGCCGAGGCAACCCTAAGAGGAGGGGCAAGTCTTCGAAATGAAGGGAGCAGAGCTATCATCCGAAAATTGACGGTTGCAATTGTCTCCAAGCTTCAGACCATGACAGGACGGGGTAGCAGTTCCTCTGCGGGTGTAGTTGACTATCTAGGCACTCGCGTTTGAAACGTTGAATCTCTGGTGATGGCGCCTAAGCATTTGTACTTGTAAGCAATCGGACGGGAGCAGGAAAAGCATTGGTCGGTGCATCTGTGGATACTACGATGTATATATTCATATATAAGTAGCATGTAGGAAAGGGGTATGGGCGGGTGGAGCCCTTCAGAATTACACTATCTTCACTCTCACAAATGCTCTCATTTGGCACAATAACACTGCGGAACCTAATGGCAGAGAGGCGTTGGCTTCATTGTCGTGATACATGCCAAACCTCTATGTTTCAAGAGTGACCGTTCATGGCGCTAGCTACTGACAAGCCCCGGCCAACGGGTGCGTGATATGATCCAATACTTTGGAAACCCCTAAATCGAATGTCAGTCAAAGAAACAAGCGCATACAATTATGCTGCCAAGACGTACTTTGCCAAATCAAAACCTTGGTCTTCCTCAATCTCGGGTGGGTTCGGCGGCTCACTTGGCGCCTCCCGTGACGATTCCTTGTGTTGCGATCTTGTAGGGCTAAGATTTGGTGACTTGGCTGGAGGTGGACTGCTGCTTTGCGGTATGCCGCCCAAAGACGGCTTAGATGGGCTCATATCGAAATGGGCAGCGGGCTTCAGAGGGGTGCTGCCGATATCTGCATACTTCCAGAAGGGGGCTGGTGAACTGGTCGGCATGTGTTGGCTGGGCCGCTGTGCGGTACTTGGAGGCGCCAGTCGGGGATGAACGCGGTGAGGGGCTGGCGTGACGAAAGACGCGCCTTCGTCTGGTAGGTAGGATGAGGTTAGTGTGGGTGATTGATCGTGATAGTTCGTGGATGGAAAGCTGTTTGACGCAGACGTGCCGCCCTTTCGCGGCCGCGGAAGAGGACTGCCGTCGACCGTCATTGCAGTGCTCGGAGGGGCAAGCCGGCGCGTGCTGCGATCTGGAGTTGATTGCACGGCGGCTAAAGAGGAACTCGGCGGTGATCCCGTTACTGACACCTTTCTCTTCCGCGCCGACGCAGGCTCTCTGGCATTTACGTCCCTTGGTCCATGAGTAATGTAGTTCAGCTGGCTTGGTGATGATGGCGCAGAAGAGCCTCTGTGGCCGCCTCTTCCGCCCTTGTACGCGCTTCGGGTCATCTCCTCTCGGGCTTCTGCTACAATCTGCCACTTCATGCCCTTCCCAGGTTCATCTGTCGATCTGGCCACCTTATCAAAGGCCTTATTCAGCGACAGATTGTGGCGAATTGAGTTCTTCGCAAATGTTAGTTAGAGCAAGCTTGAGCGGGGAGTCTGGAAATAGTAAGCCATACTTGCCAGCCAGCAGCTTGCTGGTGTCTGTAATATGCATAATTGCTCATGATGAAGTTGTAAATCCCATTGAGATTGAGCTTTCCCTCGGGCGTATTGGTGATCGCTTGGGTTATCATTTGCGCATAGCTGTATTGAGGCTTAATGTGTTTGTTCTCGTCTAGGCTGAGATCAAGATCGTTTGAGTTCAGTAATAGCGTGCCTGAGCTTGAGTAGTGTGGTGACTTGTGTTGAGAGGGCGTGGGCTTGCTACGGATTGCAGAAGGAGGGGTACCGGGACGCTTGTAATCTGCTGGAGCCGGCGCAATGGGTTGGCGGAATTGGGAGCCTCGAGAACTTCGTATGGTCGAGCCCAGTGCTGACGATGGCTCATCCGGCAGATCCGTTCTCGGCTGAGGACTCGTCATCTGTTGACGCGACAGTCCAGCCCTCTTGAGATACAGAGGATCGATGTGTAGGGGGCTGATCTCGGTTGGAAGAACAAAGATCATCTCCGTGCCACCTGCCTCCAGGACCTCACCACCCTCCAGACGTCTCAAACTCTTTTGTTTCAGGCCGACATTATTCACCTTGACCCCATTTCTTCCCTTGACTTCAAGGAACCAAATCTCTTCCTTTGAGCTGAAGTAGATACGAGCGTGCTGTCGAGAGATCATCTTGCTCGGGCCGAGATCAATGTGAATGAAGTCTTCATCGTCCTCGGTGACGCCCTCGGAAGGACGTCCAATGTTGACGATAAGTTTTGTGATGTAAAAAGTCCAGTCCTGGGCCGCGATCTTGGCATAGGCCTGGACGCCGCTGCCATTGGCTTCATGTATCGAGTTCGCATGATCCTTACTGGCTTGGGGTGGGCCCTCCTTGGGTATTTGAAAGTGCTGAACTACTTGAGCAAGCAGCTGGTCATCGTCGCTTACAGGCTGAGCCGACAGGTCAGCAGTGAGGTTGGACTCGTCCTCGTCGGCGGGTTCGGTAGGCGGAGGATCATCAACCTGGTCGAAGCGGTGTTAGTGTCATCGATGAACAAGAGGGCAGAACGCCAGATTGAGCAGAAGCATAAGCCTACCTTCTTGCGGCGCTTTGCTGGCCGAGTTGGGGAGCTATCTTCTAATCTTGCGGGGGAGGTATCCCGGCGAGTGTCGCGACGAGTGCGCTGGGAGCGCTTCGCTGATGCGGGCATGGTGGAGGAGCCTCTAGCATGCGGCACCTCTGTGCGAGAAGGTCCTGAATAGGACAGGAAGCGGAGAGCGGGGAGGTATAAACAAAGACAGAAGCGTTGATTGAAGGAGTTGGTCTCAGACGTGTAAGGAATGAGGGAGCCGGAAAGTCGTGTCTCGTCAAGTCGTGAAGGGCTGGGTTGGGTCAAGGGTCCGGGGCTGGCAAGTGCCACAAAGAGGTATGGTATCTATATAATTTCTGCGACAATGTGAGACGGGGGTAAGGTGAATGTAGTAAATTTCGGGCAGTCCTTTGTGGAAGGATAAAACGGTGATGGACGCCGCGAGGTAGATTGAGGTAGGCGATGGTGTTGAGCCGCGCGCGCTTGCTACACGCTTTCAGGATGTATGGCAGAATACACGAGGCAACTAGGGACGTTGCTTGCAGAGAGGCACCTTGCTTTTGTCGTGACGGTCGTGCCAGTGACGGCAGCTAAGGTAGAAAAGTGGTAGGTAAGGTATAGTGGTGGTGGGAGCTGAAGTTGTCGGAAGGCAATTGGATGTGCAAGGGTTCGAGAAGATGCTGGTCGCGAAATTCTGATAAACGCGTCGCATTTTCTGGGAGAAGGGGGGGGGAGGCGTTAATTAACGGCTGCACTGTGCGGATATTTTTGGACGGCAAGAAAAGGGGGGTGACTGAAGGAGGGGCGCGGCATCAACCCGCCTCCAGGTACCGTCCTAGCTGATCCGCCCGTGCTGTTCGCCCCACAGCGCACGCCTTAGAGTCTACTCCCCCGCTTGCCCTCCCGTCTCCGTCTCCCGAGGTGTTTTCAGCTTGTTCTTCTGGCTGCGCTACCACTTCACGCGTACAGTGTGCTCTCCTCCCAAAAACAGTATGCCACCCTAAAAACCTGGCTGAGCTCGGGCATCTCACTGAACCTAGATGGGCTTTTCTTTACAACTCACCACCCACTCATTCACTGCCTTGTCCTTAAGCCAAAGCGCCAAAGGCCAGTCAAGGATGGAAAGTTGGAAACCAGCCTAACCGCTTCTACCCCTTGACAACTTGTCTGCTTGCTCTTGCACATCCAAAGTGGTCGTGGTGGCCTTGTCCGGTCCAGCACGATACTTCGACATCTCATTCCTCGCCCTGGTGCAGCGGTGCATCTCCCTCGCCGAGGTTGACTCACCCTTGGATGTGCACGACCTCCTGATAACTTGTGTGTGTATGACCTCGGAGCCCGACTAGCCCCCAAGCCCCCAAGCCTCCAAGCCCCCACTCAAAGGGGGGAGAATGTCTGCTCTCATTCTGTCGTATTTCTCGTCTTTACTGGAATTTCTAGCCTCCGTGCTGTGAGACTACTCGGACGCGTGCCAGTCAAAGTTCCCGGAGACATACTGGTGCCCCATGTCGGCCTCTGCCACCGCATCCCTTGTTTTCAATAAGGAGGAGCACGGTTTCGCCCTTGACGAGAAAACCATTAGTTCGTTCACAAGCTGATCATGAGCCACCTACTTGCTCGTGGGCATCTACCTGAGGCAACCGCCGTTCGACCTACAGCGCTTTTGAGCAACTGTCAATATCAAGCAGGCACCTCAGGAATCGGGATGCATTGTCATACGGAAGACGGCATTTTAGTGTGCGTCCCATACCTTAACAGGCGGGGGTCGGATGCCGTTGCCCCTAGCCCGGCCCTTGCCCAAGTCCTACCCCACCACCGGGTTCACTTGATGCACTTTCGACGGCCCTAATGGACTTGGCCACGAGACTGCAAAGTCCAAGTTCCGTTCCGTTCCTTACCAGCCGGGATCCATCCGCCGCAAAACCCCCGGCTCACTTCGCCGGACCTTCCATGAATGGTGCAGCCCGGCGAACCCTTCTTAGGAAACATTTCAGTCGGAAGAGAGGATGCACGAAATCATCACTCTCCAGCTAGGCCAGTTGAGCAACTATGCCGCCACTCATTTTTGGAACGCCCAGGTATTCAGTTATATAGATTAGCACAAACGAATCCCAACATGCGAATCCCATGCGTCTTTTCTCATTACATACTGACCCTATGGCCAGGAATCCTACTTCACCTATTCTGACCAGGACGAGTCCCCGGTAAACCACGACGTCCACTGGCGTCCGGGCGTGGCCCTAGATGGTTCCGAGACCTTCCTTCCGCGTACCGTCGTCTACGATTTGAAGGGCGGCTTCGGCTCGCTTCGCAAGATCAACGCCTTGTACGACGCAAGCCAGGAAGAGGCACCTGCTCACTTATGGTCCGTAACGCCCATCTTGACACAGCCGCTACAGGCTTTCCGGATATACCAGCCATCTGACATGCCAGTATCGGTTCCAGGGAAGGGTCTCCCCAAGTACACAAACAGCCGCCGGTAGAGCCAAGCGCCTACCAGCAGAGTCTTGACCTAGGCACGCCTACGCCAAAGCTCAAGCCCTCCGACGTGCGGTACTGGTCCGACTTTTCGCGTGTCTACTACCACCCAAAGTCTCTTAATCAGCTCTACGACTATGAAATTAATTCCTCCATCAGGCCTTTTGACAAGTGGTCCTTGGGGAGGGAACTTTTCGATTCTCTGGACAAGGAACATGATATCGTCGACCGAGACTTCCGTCCCTTTGTAGAGGAGGCCGATCAGATGCAGGGCCTCCAGATCGTGACAACCATCGACGACGCCTGGGGCGGCTTCGCGACCGATTATGTCGAGCGCCTGCGGGATGAGTACGGCAAGACTACGATTTGGGTCTGGGGGCTGCAGACACCTGTACCCGCTGCGCGCATCGTGAGTTCAAGAGGTTTCTTGCGCGCTTACCACCCTGCGTAACTAATGACCATGTCAGGACCAAAGGCGCCTCCAACTCGCCAATACTGCGAGGACGGTCAAGGATATGTGTGAGCATGCCTCGATGTTGGTTCCCATGGCTCTTCCTCAAACCCGCCTGTGCTCCAATATCAATATGGACATGCAATCGCCATGGCAAACCACAGGCCTACTGGGCACTGCCATGGAGACTGCAGGAATTGCTTCTCGACTTAACTCAAGAAGCGCTGGCAGTGGTCTGCAGGCAACGCTCGGCGAGCTGGTGAGTGGGTTGAATCTACGCGGCAGACAGACCATGAGCCGTCTACAAATGAGCGTTGCCGGCCCAACATTGGAAACGAAACAAAGCAACCCCGTAGCAGAGCCAGGTCTGGACGGCGGCGAGGTTAGCGAGAATACCAAGCTGGATACGGACTTGTTTGACATTCTACGGTCCAAATCCACTCCCGGTAAAAGGAGTAGGAACGGCGGAGGCGGCAAGCCTTACCTCTTTGGGCAGACGATTACTACTCGTGGCACACTGCAAGACTTGGAGCACGATGAAGGAAATGAGGACGATGAGGGCAGGCAGCGGCCAAGGGCTGCGCTCATAGACACCAGCACTCAAAGGTATTTCACAAAAGACAACGATGACTGCCACCTCAGAACCCCTTCGACTGCTAACCACCGATGGCAGGTATCACACCCACAAGGGTTTCCCAATGCTCGACAGTTTCCCCGATATCTACCTCAACAACGGCGGCGAGCCTTTAACCGAATCATTTGGCGTCAAGACCAGCCTTTCCACAGACACCTCAGTGTCTGCTGCGCTCAACGCGCTGCGTACCACCGTTGCATCCTCCATTGGTGTAGAGGACCGAGAAGACATTAGCAATGAGCTAGCTGACTTCGCTGAAGCGTACCGAGAAGGATGGTCGAGTGGTAGCGATGACGATGATGATGAGTGATGGGACTCGAATCCGTTCTCACAGGCCCAGACTAATCGATACGTCATGTGAAACGGCTGAAGTACGAAGAAACTCTTGATTGCTAGGCCTCGTTCCATGTCACATTGGTCTCCAAAACACGCCGATTGAGCACAGAGGTAAAGGTGCCAGTAGTCAAAGGGGCCCTCAAAGCTACAGGACATTAGAGCAACAGGCAAGCGAGGAAAACTGGGCACAAAGAATAGTCAATCCTCTAAACCGATGGTATCTAGTATACAGCTGGCCTCGCCTGGACCAAGTGGTCTGCCCGTCTTTGGGCAAAGAAGCATAGAGAAAATGAATTCACCACGCATTACAAGGCGTACGTGACCCCAATCACATCCTTGTGGGTGACAGAGTTGTTCCTGATGCTCTTTAGTAGTCTCCGCTCGTCTCAGGCCAGAACGAGCAACCTACCCAAGCCAACAAGACATATCAGGTATGTTGCGGCCTTTGCTTTTGCAATTTCCACCGAGATCCGGGGGTCCAGGGGGAGGATTTCTGCAAGTAACTTTGCGGACACATTGCCACCGGAGTCTTGCAAGGCCGTTGATGGTTTTCTTTTCTTTTCTTTTTCGTTTCTCTTTTTCTCCATCTCGTCCCCCCGCCCCCCGCCCCCCCTGTGATTCACTTTTGGGTGAGGTACTAGACAGGCTGTGCCAAAGAAGGACGTCAAACTTGACGACGTGGTTTGCCTATTGGTCAGTGGATCAGAGGCAAAAGACGCTGCCAATGCTGCCGAAGGTCGTGGTAGGATATGACCCCTTGTTAGGGTCGAAAACAAGAATAGGTAGGATCCTTAGGTCCAGAACCCCTGTTCAACCGGCAGCCGTGACAGAAGCTTGCTGTCGCTTGGCTGGTGGTTGTTGGTTTTCCTGTGCAGTATGTCAGCCATGCGCCTATTAAAGCTTCGCTGGTCTTGCGATAAGCCCTCCGGCGTGACCGTGAACTCGACCAATGCAGTACCTCTGAAGCACTCCTCTTCTTGATCTGTGCCGCGCCATTTGTGTTGACACGCTTCTTTTGAGGCTTCTGAGGCTTCGTTTCGTTTGGTTCGAAAACATCATCGGGAAGGTTGAAGCTGCCCTGATTTTAGTGAATGCTACCAAAGGGAGCACCTTCGTCTGGCCTACCTCCGCACATGCTGGACATTCAACGAGTTGAGATTCGAGTCATACTTCTCCCATGTCGTACAAAGAGATTTGAAGTTCTCGACTTGATAGGACAGATCAAGCGATTTCGCGCCTGCATAGTCAGCTTCCATCCCACCGCAACCCACACTATAATAGAAAGCCTAGAAGGCCGAGTATTGATAGCGTTGTCGTCCGCAGACTTACCTTCACTCAGGGTCAGCCCAATATAGTGCGTGGTGGTAAAAACGTCGGTATGCGGGACAGATTTCACCGCGTCTTCCGCACTCGGTATCTGATTGACAGTATTTGGCTCGTCGCCTTCCTTCTTGACTCTTGGGGTCGTCTCAGTTCCTTCAGTCTTGAGCCCAGGTACATCATCGGGTTCCCTCTTCAGCCATGGGATGCTGCTCAATTCGGCTTTCGTCTCAACCTTGACCTCTTCCGGTCTACTCTCATGTTTGACGTCGCTATCCTTTAGCAAGAACGAGAGATTCCCAGCCTGAACCTGAGAGACTTCCCCCTCGTTCGTACACCTGTGCCGCCGCTCGTATCCTTTGTTGAATGCATGGGCCAGAGCTATCGATTGGTGCTGTTCCAAACCTTGAACCAAAACACGAACCTTGGATTCTACATATCCTGACCAGATCTTGTGTGCTTCCTTGTCTGTGCTGGCAGTGATGACAGAGATGTAATACTTGTACCCCTGAGTGAAGAAAGTATGCTTAACAAAGAGGTCGCCCCAGGGGCTCTTTCCCAGCATGATATTGTCGGTAATGTCGCATCCCCTGGCGAGCTCTTGCTGGATGACAGTCATGGCTGATCGGGTGATGTTGTAAGTGGCGCACATGGAAGGGTAGGCCGGGGTGATGACGGGCATGAGATGAAACTGATCTCCCTTGTACAACTAAATGCTTGCTTTAGTACAAATGGAGCCAGGGCTAGACAGATGGGGGAAACCGAACCTTGGGATTCCAAACACGGACCTGTAAAGGGCCGCCTTCAACATGCTTCAGGAGGACAGGCTGTGGCCATGGCCAGCGGCGCATGATGTGGAAGAATTTATTGACAATGACAGAGCTTGCGGCTTTGGGGTATAGTTGGCAGACGCGGGCAACCAGCATGGCCCAAGCCACACCACCAGGGAATCCCATGATATTTGCGTAGATGGCCCGGCGCTGTGCCCAAAGCTTGATAGCACGCAATGCCAACTTAAAGGTGCTTTCCTCGGGGACCAAGCTGAGAATCTCGTCTGTGACTCGTGTGCCATTGAGCGATCGAAGCTCTGCCTCATCCAGCCCTCGTAGCAGGCCAGAGTCCTGAACATTAAAGTCCTTGGGCAATTGTTTTAGCATGGCAATGCGAGAAAAGATCAGGTCGATGCTGATGCCGGAGAACTCGAATTTGATAATGGGCACGAAGGCGTCGGCTACCACAGCCATATCCGTGATTGAGCCAGAGGGCGCCATTTCCTTCAGCAGGTTGGGGAAGATGTCGAAGTAGTCGGCGCGGGTAACGTATTTCGGGGCGACGACGAGGGTATCGATATCGGAGCCGGGGCCGAAGACTCCCAAACGAAAACTGCCATATGTAAAGATTTTTCCCCTGGCATCTCTGATGAGAGCTTCGTTTCCTGCCTCCCTCTTCCGGGCCACTCGTTTCACGAACTCGTCGCATATCAGCGCAAGGTGTTCAAGGACCTTGTGTCTGTATTCAACCGCAAAAATCGTTAGCAAGAACAGTCTCGAACTGTCTGGTGTTTGAGTAGAAAGCTTGCCTGTTGGCAGTATCCGCCGGGCTCTCAAAAGTATTCTGCTTCCTCAGCTCTTCGATGAGCGTTTGCTTTGCTTGATTTTCCGCCTCGGTAGGAAGAGCAGTAGAGATGGGCGGCGTCACGCCCAACGGCCTTTCCTCGCTGGCCATGACTGATTCTTGATTTAGAAGAGATTGGAATGATATGTAGAAATGACAAGAGTGGCCTGGCTGAAGAAGCGACGGTTGGGCGAACCTGGCGATGGGAGCAAGGAAGGAAAAGCAGAAGTCAAGAAGAGAGCGAAAGGTCGTCTGAAAGGAAGCTTGCTCTGCAAAAACAACCAAGCTAAAGTAAGCGCCGCTGCGATAACTTAGTACGACCTAGGTAGGTAGGCACCTACCAAGCCCGAGGATATAAGTACCTTACAGCTGAGGAGCCTAGCACCTTTCACCTCTGGCTGGGACGCGAGGCACAATGGTCTGGATAAGGTAGGCAGTCAAGGTTGCTGAAGTGGTAGGGAAGGAGGCGCGTTTGTACAGCGGAGACCTCAACTAAGGCAGGACGGCCTCAACTACCCACCTTGGCCAATCAAAGGTGGCTAGATCGGTCCACCCCCCCCCCCCAGTGGACCTCCCAAGTTCCAGGTGGTCGTCAACTGAAGGACCATGCGGATCTTACCTTACTGCAATAACAAAGAGACTCTTCCTGGAACCGCAAATTACCTTAGTATCCAGTAGAAAAAATGAGAAAAAATGACCTCACACGCATTCTGGGACTTCTAATGCAAGGAGACCTTGCACTCGCTTAGCGGGGTATACTCCTGCATAATCACGAGTAGCTTGCTACCTTAGTTGCTCTCCTTTTTCCTGTCTTCGGGTGGCTGCGTCATTCATTACCTGAGGTACGGCGGACCGCGACTCTAGACAAGCAACCACGCTAAACCTCCTAGGATCCCGATGCCGCCAACCATTTCCAACGTCTTCCAACCCTGCCATCTAAAATCGGCATTAAGCTGTAGCAGACCCAGGGGATCTTGATGTCTCGCAAGTCCCCAATTTAGCCCAGAGCCAGTACTATGTCTCCTCTTGCGGAAAGACTGCCGACGTTCTCCTCGTCCTCTGGTTCGCATCAACGCCATATCTGCGCCATCACCGCCTGATGCGGCACTTTCATCTCTCCAAGCTTCCCTCGACCACGTGGCCGCCTGCTCCCATGCCCTACTCTCTTGTATTCGCTTTTCGTTGGCCAGACTGCGCTGGAGATCTGCTGCCCAGTTTGTGAGCTGCACTCGACAGAGACGTTCTTCACAGTTTGCATAGTTTGGAGCGCGACTCATGGCAAGGGGTGTCAAGGATCCGGCCCGAGGACGCAGCAACCACATATCCGTCGACCCTTCTGACTTCGAGACAAAGCCAGACACGTTACTGGACCCAGGATGACGAGTGCGCCAGCCCAGAAGCTTTGCTGCCGCAGCATGGCGGAGCCACGTCGCGCCGTTCACGCAGAATATGCTTTCCAACAAGTGCGAGAGATCGGTAGGCACAAGAGGTTGCAAATATTCGGAGCTCATGAGTAGACTGGCGTCCATGACCTCGGTATCCGATGCCAACTTGCTAGAAGTAGCATATATATGCTGTTCTCCCACGCTAGTTGTCGACGGATCAAAAGAGAATAGCCCGAGGCCAGCCTCAGCAAACTGTTGAGCTATGTGCTTTTTGATTGCTGCAATTTGCTCTGGTGTCAATGTATCGGCTTGCGCGATGAGTGGTATGACATTTGTCAAGGCCTCCAGCTGACGGAGGTAATGTATATCAGTCACAGAGAGGCCTAAGATTACTTGAGTATTTGTGCATTCAACTCCTAATAACAGAGGGCTCTTACCTGAACTGGGTACCATGTAGAGCACTGCGTCAACAAGTAACCCGCCGCTTCCACTGATTGTCTTCAGAATATCCGGATCTTCTAGACCGTCGAGACGGCTCTTTTGGAGATATGATTCAATATATTGAGACACTTGCCTCACAGTATCCATAGGCTATATCGTCAGCGCATTGCGGTACATGAACGACTGAAGGCTAGCATAACATACGCGACATGTTTCCTGATACCCAGGTGTATCAACGAGACATATGTTCCTGTCCAGTATTGTGTCCTCGGATTGACCGGGGGCGAGTGCAGGGGATGTACGAGCTAATTCCTTCCACCAAGGCGGGTAAGGCTTGGTGCTGGCTAAAGTCTCAGTGATCTGGAAAGTGCCCTGAGAAATCGGAGGACTATTCGGCATTATCTTTGCTGGCAAAAAGCCTTTGGACGCCATCGCAACTGGTAAAGTAGGGTCAACATGTACAATGTGCGAGCAAGATTGTGTTATCGTTCGGATTAAGGTGGTTTTCCCTACACCTGAAGAGACATGTCTTATTAGCGACAGCTTCGTTTACGGGGGTCAGTCATTGTCCAATACCTGATCTACCAGCTACGAGGAGCTTGAGCCTGCCAAGACCCTTCCCAGCTTCTGTGAAGGGTCTTCGACTAGGGACGTTGATGGTGGGCATAATGAACTGCTGAGCACCCTCGCCATTATAGATGCTCTGGGGGCGACCAGCGTCAGAGGTCCCAAAGGCACTCATGACGAAGCTTTCCTGGTACTCGGAGAGCGATCCTGCCAGGGAGTTGGGTCGGGACGAAGAACTGCTGATAGCGGAACATGGCCCTGACACGCCATAGAGTATGGGTGTCATAGGCTGAGACAGACATGGTGGAAGAGGCGTCTGCATCCCCGCTGGCGATGGATTACTTGCGCAATTTGACCGATGAGCTACAATATCATGGGGTTGCAACAAAGATGTATGACGCGAAGTAGGTGGTGGAGCTGTGCCAGATTCACGTCTTTGCGCTGAACCATCGCCGAGGGCCGCGGATGTAGCTTGTTTCCGCTGTTCGCGCGGTCGAGGGGCAGGAGGGGAATGCGATGAAAAGGAGGCTTCCACAGTAGCTTCGTCGGCGAGGATGAAGGACATCTGGGCGGTGGTAGTTTGTGAAGCCGAAGCGAGGCTTTCGGTGGCTCCATCACCTGAGGGGGAGTTCCCCGGGAACGAGTCGCAGCCAAGCAAAGGTCGCATTTCGGCGCGACAGTATCATCAGATCGTAATCAGTTGAAGCGTATATGTGGTTCACGTTGCTGTTGGCAAGAACTTCGCAGCAGAATAGCCGAACGCCGCCTATGCATTAAGCAGCGTTGACGGGAGGCCAGGCCGGAATGGTATGGTAAGGTAAGGTAAAGTAGGTAGGTAGTGTCTGCGTTGCGCAACGAGACGAGAGGGGATGACGGCGATAAGGTCCTAGGTACGGCAAGGGTGGTTGAGGTGATAAGAGGCCCAAGTGGAGCCGTTGGCCATTTTTGCACTAGTGCGGGGTGATATGAGGGTCTCCTTTTACCGTCTCCGCAAGGTCAGGGTCGACCAACAAGTTGAATGCGACCCAAGACTGAACCACGCTGCATCCGCACCACTTTCTGTCGTCACGTCTTTCAGCTCCGATAATGATTTGAACACATGTTTGGTCATCCGCAACGCACGACTGCTTGGTTATACCATTAAAACTCAACCACGAGGCAAAGCACCTATCCCAACGCAATTAAATACAGAACCCTAAGGCAGCTTCGTGCTGATTTGTCGCGCGAGCCCCTATCGCAGTATACGTCCTGTACTGGCGCGCTTCGCAGCTCTCCGTTTTCTCCTCTCCTGGCTAGCCTTGCCGACGACTGCCTCACGATCTCAAGCCGAGAGCCTCAGAATCTTGTTTTTCGGTCCCATCAACAACGCCGAACCCCTTGAGTACCACACCCGCAACATTATTGCCAAGTTCATTCATCAGACATGGACGGCAAGAGACACCCAAGCTCTTTTCAGCAGCTCGAGAAGCTCGGCGAGGGCACATATGCCACTGTACGTTCTTTTCACTCCGCATTCTCCAATGTGCAGAGACTGACCATCCGGACATTCGTAGGTGTTCAAAGGTCGCAATCGGCAGACGGGGGAGCATGTCGCTCTCAAGGAAATCCACCTGGATTCGGAAGAAGGCACCCCATCGACCGCCATAAGAGAGATCTCTCTTATGAAGGAGCTCAAGCACGAGAACATTGTCGCCCTCCACGATGTCATCCACACCGAGAACAAGCTGATGCTGGTGTTCGAATACATGGATGGTGACCTGAAGAAATATATGGACACCCACGGTGACAGGGGCGCCCTGAAGCCACACCAGATAAAGTCATTCATGTATCAACTACTGAGAGGCATCGACTTCTGCCACCAGAACAGAGTTTTACATCGGGATTTGAAGCCCCAGAATCTCTTGATCAACGGCAAAGGACAACTCAAGCTCGGCGATTTCGGGCTTGCTCGTGCTTTCGGCATTCCCGTGAATACGTTCTCAAACGAAGTGGTAACACTATGGTATCGCGCACCAGATGTTCTTTTGGGTAGCAGGACATACAATACTAGCATTGATATCTGGTCCGCGGGATGCATCATGGCGGAAATGTACACCGGCAGACCGCTTTTTCCGGGCACAACAAACGAAGACCAGATCATTCGGATTTTCCGCATCATGGGAACCCCAACCGAACGAACGTGGACTGGCATAACGCAGTTCCCCGAGTACAAGCCCACTTTCCAAATGTACGCCACCCAAGACCTTCGCCAGATTCTTCCCCAGATCGATCCTACGGGCATCGATTTGCTCCAACGAATGCTTCAGCTACGCCCTGAACTTCGCATCAGCGCTCACGAAGCCCTCAAGCATCCTTGGTTCAACGATATCGTCATGCAACAGCATCAGCAGCAAGCTTTGCAAGCACAAGCTAGAGCCTACCCAGGACAAGGGTCTTACGAAACTTACTGATCCTTGAGCTTCGGCTCATGACTTGGCGCCCACGCATTTGTGATTTTCGGTATAACAGGAATGGGGGTCTGCTATGCATTATCGGCATCGGCAGCGGTGAGTAACAACTTTATGGCGGAGATTGCGGCATTGTTGGTAGGCTTTGCAAAGGGGCATTGTGGGCGTTAACGTGGACTGCGCTTCCTTCAGCGTTATGTGCGGAATCGAAGATGACTACGAAAGTCGCGAATATCAATCGCAACCAAGTAGTAATCAATAAATTCCAAGAGTTCCGCTTCCTGTATTTTTACAAGGTGTAGAAGATTGTACATATGGTGTTCTCTCTATGAGCCGCCATCCAAATCGAAGAACCGTCATTCCTTGTGAACCAGGCTCTTATCTACAGGACTCTTGAACCGCTTGTCCTTAGGTTCGCGTTCCCATGTCTCAGCGAGGGCGTATGCCGGGTTGTCTTGAGGGTAACCCGCACTTAGCCTCAACTCCTGAACCATGTCTCTGACAGTCTGTGCAACTTCTATACGCAGCTGAATGGCTTCAGGGTGGTTCTTCAGGGATTCTGGTACTTCGCCAACGCTCAACGGTTTGCCTCGGGCCTCCTGCTCTTTCTGCACAATACGTTTCCACTTTAAACGCTGCTCTTTGAAAGCCTCGCCCACTTCAAGAGCGTCGCCGTAAAAGACGCGGATCTTGGCGCCGATGCGTGGTAGAAATCGCAGCCGCTTCCTATCCTCTGGCATAATGTCTGAGAATCCGTCGATGAACATGGGAACGAGCTGGGGGGCTGGGTCGGATTCAAGAATCAACCGCGAGACTCCCCACTTGAAATACCGGAGGGTCCGTTCGGGATTCTGATGCGTACAACCTTCTGGGAAGACGTGAACCCATGCGCCATGCTTGCTTCTGAAGAATGTGGGCGAGGAGAAAACCTCGTCGTTTCCAGCTTCAAATGCAGCTTTGAAAGGAAACAGTGCTCCAGGGCCGGATACTAGGCGAATCGCTTGGGTCATGGTGGGCTGGAATAAGCCGCCATAAGGCGAGTGCAGTAAGCGATATGTCGGCAAGACTTGGCCAAGAGTGAAAAATGTTTTGAGGGCGCTGTAATCTTATCAGGAGCAGCTCCTTAATTCACACAGGATACTCTTTACCGGTTCTTGAAGCAAATGTCATGAGCGCCTAGGCCCCATCTCGCGCTCAGGGGGTACACATTGTACTTGAGAGGTAGCACACCCCATATTAAGGGGTCATCTAAACTGTCGGTTCAAGACTCGTCAACTCAGCTCATGCGGGGCGAACCTTCTTAGAAGTAACTCACACGCTGATGTGGTTTGAGACTGCAATCCATGGCCGTCAGTCATGAGCTCGGTCATCCATGAAAAAAAGTCCAACGGGCAGGAAGTACCAGTGATGAGCCCACGCTCAGGGGTCTCGGCTCGACGCTTGTCCAGAACCTCTAAAAAACGAGCTTGTCCCTCGGTCTGAACGTCATGAAAACCGTACAAGAAGGCTCGAGAAATGGCACCGGTGAGGCCCATTATAGCCGACGACGCCATCCGCCATGACAGGCTCGGCTGGTTTGGCCGCTCCTCCGAGGCTGTCATATTTCTTATGGATGTGGCGCGTGTCAAGACGGTCTTCGACTATCTTGGCCCGAAATGGTGAAATGAGTGAAAGGGATGAAAGTAACTAAATGACAGTAGGTGACACGGTGATTGGAGCGAACCATCCACGTCATGAATCCACCTCTTCGGGCCAATGGAAAACAGGTGGTTAGGAAAGTGATTGAGAAAATTCACACGGCGTGTATGAGCAGTAGGAAGAAGATTGTATGGGCCATTGGCGCCCCAAGTTTGGCCGCCGGTTGGAATCAAAGATGAGTATCGAAGATAGCTTTTTTCCTCGATACTCCTTACATTAGAGTGGATCGCTTTATAACAATCATTTCGATAAAAGGGTAGGCTGGCTCGATAAATGCATATGTAATGCGGATACGGCTTAAGGCGCATTGGCCCTACTTATTCCCCGTCGCCTTTCTACTTTGGTTTGAACGTGGTAACTGCCTCATCTTCCCTGCCCACTCATTTGCCCATCTACCACTCGACTTCTTAATACACTACCGCCTCATTCTTCAAACCAAGCAAATCAGGAAATCGAAGTGATTCAACGGCAGAACATTCATCAAGGTTGGCGAGTTCTTGATCGGCTTATATAGATTTGTCCAGGTTGTTAGTCACCTCGTTGCCATGGCACACAGTAAGCCTCGATTCCAAGATGACGGCCCATGTACATATCTACATAGTCCTAACGACTCTCAGGCAAACGAAACACGTCGCGCAGCGTCTTTACGTCTTACGAGCGTGATATGGCCAAGGCTGCATGGGCGTCTACCTCAGCCCGTTTGTCCCGGGACTCTTTTCTTCCCTTTGGTTCTTGCTACCTTTGCCTCGAGATAGCCCGGGATCCAGTATCATGCAGTCACGGCGACATTTTCTGCCGAGAGTGCGCCGTGGCCAACCTGCTCGCCCAGAAGAAGGAGATCAAACGCGAAGAAAAAGCTCGGGAGAAGGCTGAGCAGGTAATCTTGGAAGCGCAGGCACAACAGGATGCCGAAGCCCAGGAACGCGCAGTTAAGGACTTTGAAAACATTCAAGCGGGGCTGAAACCATCGCCTGCGGCATCGACATCTTTGTCATACATTCTACCGACCAAAGAAACGGCCGACCAAGAAGACGACGCCAACCTCGCCAGAGACAAACAGGTCACCAAGAGGAAGTTCATGCTAGATCAGGATGAGCTGGACAGAATCGCCAAGGAGGATCGTACTAAGGCTAAAAAGTTGATTAAAGACGAGAAAGTATGCTGCTGTCTACCTATGACCTGACTTACGTAGTTCTCTTCCGTGCTAACACCTCTCAGGCATCCAAGGACAGACAACCGTTCTTCTGGACGCCATCGCAAACTCCGGATGCCAACGCAGCTCGTTTGGCGGAGGGTTTAAAGGCCGCTCCCAAGAAGGTAAAGCTTGCGCCTTTATGCCCGGCTTCGGCAGACGATTCTCGACACTCCTTCTCACTCAAGAGCCTCATCCCACTCAAATTCAAAGAAGAGCTAGACGCCAAGACAAATTCTAGCCGGCGCATATGCCCGTCATGCGTCAAGACACTTGGCAATGCCTCGCGACCTCTCATGGCCGAAAATTGTGGCCACGTAATTTGCCGAAACTGCGCTGTGAAGTTCATGGCACCTGTGAAGGGCGACGACTGCACTACACCACAAGAGAATGCTTGCTACGTTTGCGACTCTGGGCTCCCCGCGACCCGCCCAGACAGTAAGCAGAAGGAGCGAAAACAGGAATTTGCCGGGCTGGTAGAGCTCAGATCCGAGGGCACTGGGTTCTCCGCCCGGGGAGCAAGCAAAGTTGAGAGGCGCGGCGTTGCGTTTCAATGCTAATAAAGGCGTACCGACGACCTGCACAAAACGAATGGCATCGCTCATACCCTCTTCAATGGCATGACTATCTTATATGCATTAGGCTGGTCTCAGAGACAGTCACGTAGCACTGAGTCCTCATAGCCCCGGAATGACGAGAGAATGAACAGAAAGCTTTTCGTCAAAGTTTGAGGAAAACCCGTCTCAGGTGCTGCAGTCTGATATTGCGCGACTGTCCCTGTAACAAGGACGCCAACAGGGTACCGAGGCGAATTACGAATGTGTGAATGACGCCTTTGGATACCATTGTCAGGCCGTGGCTGAAGAAGCTCTTGAGCACTTCGCCCTGAAGCCCAGCGTATAAGGCCGTTAATCCGTCGGATCTGACAATGGACCAGACGATGGCGAGCACGCTATTGCTAAGCGCCCTCTTGGTCTTGGCCAGCGCACCACAGCTTTCGTCGCTGGGAGGCGGACTGGGAGGCTCCTTGCGGAGGTCCTCGCTGGGAAGTCTTTCTTGCGAATCAGCGCTCCCCCGAGGGGAAGCAGAACCGCGCATCTGTAGGCTGGCCTTGGCGGTCTGCAGGGGGTAACTGACGATCGTCGCAATGGATTTGCTCGCGGCAGCAAGGAGGAATGTAGTGTGTGTATTGTGCGAGGTTTCCTCCGAGTCCGGTAGAAGGGTTTTCCCTAGCTTTTCGTTGAGGAAGAATGTGATGCTGGGGTTGATGGTCAGCAGCAACGACGCAGAGTAGCCGGCCCAAAGGCCAGCGACGCCATTATCTGCGCGAATCGACGAGAGGATCTCCCATACCGACGCATCCTGGCCCTCTTCGTTCCCTTCAATCATTGCCGACGTCTGTTTTCGCGCCACCACGTTCGCAATGGGCGTCGTGCAGGCTCTCGCGCAGGCCCCTGCCAACGCGCCCACGGCCAGCTCGTCCAGGACTGTCAACTTTCTACCACGAGAGCGACGGCGCGTGCCCCGAAAATACTCGTAGAAGAGAAAGAAGAGGAACGAGTCTGCAATGGACTTGAAAACGTCTTGAGCGAGACCAGTGTAAAGCGCCGATATGCCGCCTTCCTGTGCCGTAATGGCTCTGAGGGCTTGCACCACGCCCTTGTACTGGTCCTTTTCGGATATTGCATCCTTGCTTTTCAGCTGCCGCTGGTATTTGAGGCGTGTGGTGACGAGGTCGAGGGGATATACTGCGGCTGTTGAAAGTGCAGTTCCAGTGGCGCCTGCGAGGGCGTGGCCGAGGGCTTCGAGGACACCCACGGGCGCCATGTTTTTGGAATAGTAGTAGACGACTTCGAAGGATGAAGAACTCTGATCCAGTTGTGAGAAGGAGAACTTTGGCAATGGAGAGACGTGGAGGCGGGAAGACACTGCAGGTCGACTCAGTTCTGGAGACCCTTGTTGTTCTCTTCGACGTGTGTAGCTAATGTGCAATGCAGGACAGATATCATGTAAACCACGAAGAATCGGCATTACCGAGCTTGAAGATTGAAGACGAGATTCCTTCGTCAATGGGGCAGATGTGTAAAACAGAGGTCAGTTTGGCACCGATAATGCTTGCGGTCACGGCGGCGAAAATCCGGGGTAAGCTAGCCAGACTACAACGACGTCATCGTCGTGTGAAAGCGCTGTGGCGGCGCTGATCCGCAGACGGAGATTTCTTTGGCTGCGCAGAACTCGGGCCGACCCACCGGATGCCCGACAGGTTCAATCGTAGCCTCATAGAATGATAGGTACCTCACAATCGACGGTCGCTTGTTGGGATCCAGACAACATTTCAACACGATGGCACGCGAGGGTTGTTTGAATATTGTTGGCCCCTACTTTCAAGAACCAACAAATATAGTTTTTGACTGTCATGCTTTGTGTCTCACGTCCGAATCGCATTCTTCATATGTATGTATACACATTCGCCTTACTTTGCCTCATGTAGCAGCGAGACCTGACGCAGAAACCACCAAACGCCGCTGCTGAATGGAACCCCCCCCCCCCCCCAAAACAAAAGCCATTCGAGAAACAGAGGCAAGGTGGGGGAGACATAAGCAGCTTCTTTCCAGTTGTAATCACTTGGTATACCGCCCAAAACCATAACGCCATCAATCCTGGTCGTACACATTGCTCGAGGTCGCTCCATCACATGAAGAAAGCCCGAAGACCCCCCCGCCTGGCATAGATGTCTGGTGACAATAAAAGCCGAGCTTCTTTGCTGTAGTCACGCCATCGTCGTACTATCCTCTGCTTGTCACCGACGGCCGCCGTTGGGGATGACTTTGCATGCTGAAGCTGGAAGATCTGCGAGCGCCTCCGAAGTTCATCTCAGCCGTATCAGGCTCGCCCGGCGCGTCCTCCGTGTCAATGAGTCCCGGGTGACCGTGAGGCAGTCTCTGCGCCCCAAAGCCGTTGACTTTGAAAATGTTGGTTCTTCCACCATTCGTAGCCATTTGCAGCTGCTCATGAAGTCGAGCCAGTTGATACTGCCTTTTAATAGGAATGAGCACTGGTTGCGGCACCACGGGTTGCGGTTTCCAGTGCGCCAGCGCACTCATCACAGCAGCGGTCTCTTCGTCCGAGTCAACCGGCCCGGCATTGACTTCATCTTCGTCCTCTAGCGGAGCGTTGGCATCGAGAGCAGCCTCTGCGGTAGTGTGTTGTCAGCGAAATTCTCCTATAAACTGCTGATGGAGCCACGAACTCTGCTGTTTGGCCTGGTTCTTCTTCTGATAAGCCGCCAGAAGCATGTCATAAGGAAGAGATCTACCCGCGACAGCGCGTTTTGCTCCCATGCTATGACTCTTACACGTAAGAGACCTTGCGCAAGGCTGTCCGTTGGGCAACAGAACACCACATTGTCGTTCGACGTCCACGGGACCTATGTCCGATTAGAAAACAGGATAAAACCTCTTCAGTACCACATTTCATACCTTTCGGTTTTGGGGCCTTTGGTTTCGGTTCTTCCTTCTTCTTCTTTTGCTTAGGTCCCTTCTCCGCGTCGCCATCTGCCTTGCGCTTCTTGCCTTTGCCGGTGTCACCGTCGGTCTTCTTCCCGCCGGTCTTCTTTGCAGTTTTATTTCCGATAGCCTTCTTGTTGTCGCCGCCATCTTCCTCGCCGTCACTATCTTCTTCGCCTTTGCCATCAGGATCCTCATCTGCCTTTCTAGCTTCCTCTTCGCGCGCAGCTTCCTTGGCTCGCTCACGGGCCTCTCTCGCCTCCTTTTTCCGCTGGGCCTTCTCCTTCTTCAGTTTGAGGCATTGAGCGATGTGGGCCTTGGCGGCTGTTTTGAGGATGCTCTTCTTGCAGTGCTTGCATTGTTGTAGGTCGGGAGTATCCTCTAGCGGCCGGCCAGTGGCAAAGGCTTCGCGCGCGATGTCATCGAGGGGGTTGACGACGGGTCCGGGGGAAGCGACCGATATAGATGTGGATTCTTCTTTCTTCGATTTCTTATCTTCTGGTGCTCACATCGGTCAGCCCACAAGTCTAGTTTCCGTCGCGCGATGCAGTCGACTTACCTTCGACGATGCTGCCTTCTCTCCAATTTCCTGGCTTGTTGTACTTCGGTGCGGGCTTCTTGAGCTTGATAGGGCCATCGGGCTTGTTCTTAGGGTCCTTCTTTGATGCGACCTTGATCGTCTGCTCGTCGTCTGTATGTGCAAGTTGTGGTCAGCAAGTTGTCACAGCTGCGTAGGTGTGCGAGGATTGGGCGCATTACTCTTTTTGGAATCGGAAACGGCGGCCATCGTGTCTGTAAACTCCCGCACCTGGTAAGATTCTGTAGCGCAGTAGTGGGGGTGACTGCGATGCGATCGCAATGGAGGGGTGTGTATAGGTGATGTGGGTGGCGATGGGCCACTTCGGTGACGGAGACGCGCGAGATATCAATGTCCGGCGATGCAACTCTGCCAAAGAGAGTTACTTCATTGCAGAAAACTTGCGAGAATTTTTCGAAGTCTCATCGGATTTGACAGGCAAGATTTGGGTGATGGCTGATTGAAAGACTGCAATGCGCCGCGCCCTGGGCTTGGTGTCACGTCGTCGTCGTCGTCGTCGTCGTCGTCGTCGTCGTCGTCGTCGTCGTCGGGTTGCGTCTGGTCCGATAAGGTAAGGTATTGGAGGACGGGGGCTGTCACAGTGGAGGTCACGCGTGGGAGCCTCGGGTCTCCACATGCAAGAGCTCATAGGACATTTTCCGCCTGGGCCGTGTCATTTTACAGTACTTTTATCAATACGCACTGTAGGCATATCATCACAAAGAAACAGAATTACATTTCTCACAGGTATGGTCCCGTTCCACGCAAACCACCCCCTTTGCGTGCTCAGCAACACCCAATCCCTCCTCTTCATTTACTCTTCCTAAAGCATAGCGGAGCATGATAATAGCACAATGAACTGATATCGTCAACAAGACAGCCAAGAGTTGACATGGTTGGAAACCAATGGCTACCTCATCAATAACTTTTGCTGGTTTACCTCACATAGTCGCGCGCCCGCCAAATTGCTTCCGGATGTCTCTGGCTCCAGAGCTTTCATTAGCTTGCCATGATATTTTTAATTCATCTCGGGTGAAAAAATATCTACTTCAAATCCGATGGTATCACCCAGCCAAGCCTGGCTACTGCCCCGGACCCTTGCTAAGCCGTAAAATCCAAAAACCGTCCTTGTCCCCCCTCTTTGCGCCGTTTCCATTTTCCGTCCAGTATTCCTCTCTACCAGTCATCTGCCAATATTCCTGCTGCGCCAGTCCTCAGCACCGTGTCTTCGTGCGCTCGCATGGCTTCCATCATCGATCGCGCGTGCAACATCCCCATGTCACTCCAAATCGTTTGGATGACCCCCAGCGCCCACTCCCAGTACTCTTTGGGCACGCCAGGAGCGCAGCCCGCAACTTTCAGGTGGAATAGCAACGCCGGCAGTCCTGCTGATCCAGCTCCTCCTCCGCCGGGGCTTTCTACTGTTATCTGCGCCGGACCGTCCAGAGCCGGATGTCGCCAGTGCGTCGGCGCGCTCGCTAGAATATCCCTCGCCAAGTGTCGGATCATCTCCAGAAATTTATCCCGCGCAGCCGCTGATACCAGCGATAGACTAGACACGGGATTCTTATTCGTCAGATCCAGCAGATTCTGGTTAACCAAGATCCGTGACCAACGATAGTAATTCCAAATTCGCGCGGTCCAGACGTCATGGTATTTGTGGTATTCGCACTCAAATACCGCTTTCGGTGGGAAGTGGGTGGCATAGACGGTGCGATAAATCCAGTCTCCCTCCAACCCTCTCTCCCACGATGCCAAGTCATTGTCAAGGTCCAGAAGCTGCTGGATCACGCTGGCCGTTTTTGATTTTCCGTCACTGATAACATGGTTGTGAATGAATGACGATATTTCCACAAATCGAGCAATCAGAACGGCTAGGTCGGTCGATGGGCGGTCAATAGGCAGTTGGAGTCGCGAACCGTAAGATACCCAGTCGTAAAAATCCGGTGGCATGGGCATGCCAGCAACGTGTAGAGGTATGAACTACAGAATGAGCCAGGTTCACGGAACACGTGAGATCAGAAGGCGTAGTTACCATTGAGTAGCACAGCTGCAACAAGGCCCTGAAGCCGGCAAAAGGAGCACTGGGCATGGGGCACCAACTTCTCATCAACGCGGCCCCGCCCATGACATGGGCGTGTACGGTGCTCGTGGAATGGTGAGTTCCTTTCACAACCTGCACGGTCGGCGTATTAATTTAGCCAACGGACACAGTAGCAGCGACAGAAAGGCACGTGGTTATAGGAGAGAAGAGAGTTGGCGACGAACCTCGAACATGGCGAGGGCCACCACGGCCCTCATCGTCACATCGATGCTTGGTGTATGCGGAGGTCGGATCAGCTTTCCGGTATGTCGCAGTGCTGAACCGTACTTCTCTCGCGCGGTCGCCATCATTTCGGTATTGCCAGTCAGATTGTGCAGGCCAGCAAGGCCTACAGCGCACATGACGTCCTGTACTGCTGGATGCCATATCCAACCCTCAGTGTTCAAGTCTCGGCCGGTTTTGGGTTCATCCGGATGTCCTATCAAATACCTATTGACGTAAAACTGCACGCCCTGTTCCTCGATAGTGGGGCCAATCTGCAGCGTCGGAGGGCTGGACTCGCGGTTGTGTTCATCTTTGACAGCTGGGAGTGCTGGAGGTGATGAGGAGCATGCCGAGCGGTACGCTATTGACGGCGAAGCGGAAATGGATGCCGAGCTTGAGGCTGGCGATGGTGCGTTTGCGGCTCCCGATCGTGATGCAGCCCTCGTACTGTTTGGCGTTCCCTTCCGGCTGTGAGAGGGCAAAGAAGCAGGGGGTGACGGAGCAGTCGACGTCGAAGCACGCTCAGAATTCTCAGGGCCGTCGGCAACTCCCCACTGGGCATGGGCTTTCTTGATAACTTTGGTGCTTTCATCGCGGAACATGAGCGATAGTTGGTCTCGATACCCAGGGCATTTCTTGCCCACGCGTATGCATTGTGAACATTCGGGTTTCACCTTGTCGCACTAAAATGGGGAGCACTGTCAACCACAGTTCGAGTTTGGCTAATTTTGCTCAGAGGCAAAGCTGAGGTGTTGAATAGCGAATCCAAACTTCTTTTGAATGGCCCCTAGGGGGTTGGAGGTTGGGGGTGATGTTACACACCTTGATGCGACGGGTTCGGCAGTTTTGGCAGCCCTGAGAGGCCTTGCCGCAGTAGACCATTCTCGAGGTGGATTCTTGAGGAACCTAGGCCTTGTAGAATCGCGGGACCAAAGGATCCTGGGTTTCTTTGACTTAAGTTGTCCTTTCAAAGAGATGCAAGCCAGGAGAATGGGCGCTGGGGCACTCGGTCCATCACGAGTCGTTCGAAACACAGCGTAATGCCATCCGAATCCCGTGTCCTTAAACCCGCGGGTAGGGAACAGGCCGGACGATAGGTTGTGTCGGAGCTCGACAAAAAGTGTCGATGAACCGGAGGCTCCTGGATGTGCCCGGCGATTGAGGAGTAAGAGGCTGAGAATTGCGGGCGGTGAACGAGGCGACAAGAAAGGAAATATGGATAGTTGGAACCGTGACAAGTCTGATGGAAACCAAAGACGGCCGGTATGTCTAGTCGTGAGGAGGGTGAAGGTTTGGGAGCTGTCCCAACCTTGTACAACGTTTGCGCGGAGCACGAGCAACGAAAAATGAAGCGGAGAGCAGGCAAGAGGAACAGCAAGGTACTAATGAGGCCTTGAACCCTACATATGCGGGATGAAAGGCGTTAGTTGAGTTCAGCGAGAGAGGGGAACACAGGCGACGGAGGCTTGGAAGCTCCCGTCGCGGATCCAAATGACACTAGGGCCAGGGTGGGACAAAGCAGCTGAATCGTCAATGCTTGTGAGCCTGCAAGCCTGTCATGTAAGCCTGTGAGCCTGTGAGGCAGTGCGGAAGGAAGGCTTGAGTCTGGGTTCTAGGCTTTTTAGAGTGTCTTATTTTCCGGCTCGGTGACTAGGTAATCTTCCAGATAGGTTGTGATTGACCGGGCTGAGATGGGGCAAGTGGTCGAGTCATAGGCCCAACAGAGGAGAGCAGCGATGTCAGTTGCGGGAAAGCAAAGGCGAGTGGACGGTGAGAAGAGAGGGAGAGTATGAAGATAGAATGAAAAGTCAAGGTGGTGAGGTAGGGCAAGGAAAGTGACTATTCGTAGAGACGCGTGCGGATGCTGTACCGCACCTCCGCCAGGTAAAGCAAAGTAAGGCAAAGTACGGATACAGGGCGAATTGTGCTCCCCGGCAGACCCAAAGCTGGAGGGAGAACTGGGGACCGGAGCGCAGACGTCAGAGCTTTGTATCAGCACATTGGCTGCGCCTGCACGATGCAAAGGCTGTGCGGCAAGGCAACATAAAGCAAGGTACAGATACCTGCCTTTGCCAAAGTTTTCATTGATAATGAAACCATGGATTGTACTTTGTACGCGTATCTTTTCAACTCACCCAACTATGGGAGAGTGCAGCGGGATCTGACATCGAATCCCGCCCCAGTCTTTGCCCTTGTTACCCAATCCCAAACCCTCGTTAGTGCGGATAGTGTACTCGATACTTTTGGGGGACAGTAATTAAGGGCTGTACGGATATGTACCTTAGGTAAAGTTTCCGAAGAGTCGGTCACAGGCAGGCCGCAGCACATTATCGGACCGTCGCCTTAATTACCATTACTATATCCGTAGTACGGACACCTAGAAGACTTATGATAAGCCTAAGGCAATGAATTCTCTTTGACGACTATAATGGCCATCTTTTGCCCTTGAAAGTCGTGAGCCAATGCCGCAATCCAGAGTCTACTACTCGTCCATCATGTCGACTGCTGTGCGTAAGGCAAATTGAACTCTCTCCTAACGTGGATGACGTCAGGCCCGGGCCATATAAGGTACATGAGTATCTGATGTGCTGATGTAGGTGGCCGTAGCCCAAAGAATACTAAATCACAGTAGATAGGGCCTGGAACAACCCAAGGTAGACCTCGGAATGGGTGGGAATAGCAGGTACCTAAGCGCCTGAGGTTTTACATACATAACTTCTCCCGCCCTGTACTGTAGACTGAATCAACCTGCAGTCATGAGCTCGACACTCGGACTCGGGGCCTAAGCCCCTTGAGCATACGATATGCTGCTGCCGCTTGTGAGGCACGCTCCTTGCTACTTTCATCTGCCTGTTCTTGAAACCCAGTGATTTTGGAACAGCCCCCTCCTGCCTTGGGTACGCAAGTAAGCCAAGGAACGTAGAACTCAGCTACTCTAGCACGTCTGGGCAGGTGAAATTGGAAAACGCCTTCCACGGGTCCTTCCACAGGAGTTGGAGGGCATGTTCCGCACAGCACCCTACACCACAAGGTTCCGTGCGTGCGTGCCCCCTCCCCCTCGATGGATCACCATAGTGTACGTACAACGTGCGCGGGGTGCCAGCGGCAAGTTCCTAGCGTGGCCCTCTGATGCTCCAATCATGACAATGCAGATCTTGATGCATTACAAATGAAACTGTGACAGACCGCAGACGGCAGCCCTTACCTTGCCTGTTGTGCCTGTGCAGGAAACATGCCCCCGGTCAAGCCGTGTCTCGGGGATGGCTGCACCAGTATGCTGTCACGACTGAGGGTTGCCAGTTCCACATCCACAGACAAATTGAAGGTGTGCATCATGCAGGCCTGTAGGTACGCTACCTACCTTATACACACTAAGCAGCCACATGTATCTCGTGCAGAGTGATGTTCATCGCTGGAAATGGCAAGGCCCCGTGTGCTTACAACGTACAGAGGCAAATCAATGTGGAGGCCTGCGTTTGGACTGGGTGATGTCGTTCCGACAGCAACGCCATCGAACATCGCCCCGAACATCGTCCCGGATCCAACGGTTGCAAACTTATCATCTTATCAGGGGCTTTACTGGCTTTGGGGATCAATCAGAGGTATACAGACTATGGTTTCTTCTGAACCCAATGTTCCTTGCATGCATGTCAACAGTCAAGGTCTGGGATGGTCCCACGCTTTCCCAAACCACCCACTCGGGCGACAAAATCAATGGCCGCTTTTCCTTCCATCATCAGCAACGCAAAAACGGCCATTTATTCTGTCACCCAAGTGCCACCTAACTTGGACCTGGGCATATCGGGTCACGTCTTTGAGCTTCTGTATCAATTCACATTTGCCACAACTCTGGAGCCGAAGATGAACATCCACACGTCCTAGACATTGCCGAGTGTGGAATGGCGACTGTTGATCATTCCAAATTAACCCTGTAAAGGATTCGCCATTAATGGTGAGGATCCGTAACCACCAGTCGGGGGCACCAGCAGATAGATATCTCCGGCCTCCAGGCCTTCTACGTATTTGCCATGTCCTCGTCAAGCTATTTCCTTGACACCGGATCAAAAGTGACAAAAGGTCTCTCGATCTGAGCTAAGTCCGATGAACACGGCATCGTATCTCGGTTCAATCCCCTATCGAGAAGCGGGATACCAACACCACATTGAGTCTAGAGATACGGACCCGACAAATGAGGTTGGAGCGGACTCGTATGTAGTACTCATCGATCCGAAGGCTGCGCACTCTTTCACTGAGGGCTATCATTTGTCCATCATACCTCTTAGAGAGGCCGCCTCTCCGCCTACCTATCCGAAGTCCTTACAGCAATCTACCTAAATTTCCATTTCATCTCGGATACCTTACCCAACAGGCCAGAATAGCATCTCTCTCGCTACAGTACCGTAATGCAGCGTATTAAAACAAGACTGCGCCTGTTAAGGCAACCTTTCTATCTTCCCGAAAGTTTCTCCGGGCCAAGAAGACAACTCCGCCAAGCGGATGCATCACTCACGCAAAGGGGCCAATGTGTCACCTTCCCCTGCAGCATGGGCCCCGGTCTCTTTGAAGCATTTGAGCGGAACTTCGGTGTAACCCGCGATCCTGAGCATATAATCTCCCCGACTTGGACCCGGTGAGAAGGAGATGTGGCCCCGCATCTGCGCATCGCATCTGCGGCATTCTGGCCCTATAAAAAAACGGGGTATGATTTCCACGGGAAGAGATGAAGCTGAAATGATCGACAGTGAGTTAACCCGTATGCTTCCCGGCAGAGCGGTCTTTTCGTAGCGTGTATAAAGCATAGCGAAACTTTGGTGCTACCCAACAACTGGCGGACGCGAATAGATTCGCCCCCCCATTAATGTGCTCCTCACGTGTACGTCCTTTAGAGGTAACAGTACATGCTGCTGCACACAAGGTCTACTTCACTGCATCCAGACGCGACCAGGTCCTGTAGATTTCATCTCTAATCACCTCGTGGCCGAGGCTCCTCTATAAGTTTTGTCAGCTGCAGTTTCAGGAACAGCTGTCAAAGTGGGAGAGCGAAAGCTTACTGGATGGAACGTCTTCCCATAATACGTCGGGACGTACCACATGGAATTCTGAATCATGACATCCTCCGCGGCAAATTGCAGTGACGGATCGTCGCGTTTAGCTCTCGCCATGTAACACAGAGCCAGCAGACCCCAGTCTCCCGATCTTTCAGCCGGCCCCAGACATGTCTCCGGGTCCGAGAGTGGTGACAGCGGGGTCAAGGTCTGGCTACCCACGCCCTCGGTGCCCTTTATCGTACGATTCGGGGCCGGCGTCGGATCCGTTACGTTCGGATTGTTGTCTTTGCCTCCGACGAGGAAGAACCAAGTCTCGGTTCTATTGTATGCTGGTTCCATTACGCCCGGTTCGCAGAAACGATGGCCCTCAAACTTGGCGTCGTAGTCGACGAACAGAACCTTTGGGGTCGTGAACCTCGAGTTGACGGCTTCGATGGAACGCCTCAGTTTGTCATTGACTGCCACGACCATGTCGTTCATCCTCTGGCGTACGTCCCTCTTGAGTTCTGGTCCCTGCCACCAGACACCAAGAGTACAGTTGTCGCATTCATCAGTTTCCACACTGAAAAATCGAGCATACCCGGTCACGGTAATGATGAACCACGGCCGCTTCTCCCATTGTACTTTGTCCAGTATTTCCATGATGACCATCTCCAGCCGCTGCGCAAAGTCGGAACTGTCGATCTGGTCGGTTACGTACTGCAGAGCCGTCTCGCAACTGCCGGAGTTGAAACTGTAGAAGCGGAATATGCAAGCATTCATCACGGAGAAAAAGCCCAGGTCGTTGCCTCCGATAGAGAGCACCGCGAAGTCGGCGCTGATGGATTTGTTGAATCTGTCGACCTGGCTGTGGTCGCCACCAGACAGAACATTGTTGGTAGTCGATCCGGTACAAGACAAGAACTGGAAGTTTGCTGTTCCTGGAGCTTGGCTTTCAGCTAGATCGGTGAAGATCAAGGCGGGATATGCGTGGGATCCCAGCCGGCATTCATCTTCGACGCCATCGACGCCGGTGCCGATGCCGGCACTGTACGAATCACCGAATGCAGCAAGACCAGCCGCCTGTTGGGACTGGTGGCGGTCGTTCGAGAGTGAGTGCTTGAAGTAATCCGACGAGCCCACTGCAGGACGTCTCATTAGACCGTCTGGGGAGCTACGGTATTTGTAAGGGATCTTGGGGCCATGCCTTTGTCAGGAGAAAATATTACATATTGATCTCTGGGACGGCTTCCGAAAGACGTGCCTTGCACTGCGAGGATCACCCTAGCCCCGACCAGCCAGCAAAGCCCGAAAATGACAGGCGATATGAGAAGCATGCTGAAGTTCGTGGCAAGACAGAAGGGGGAAAAGGTGCTAAATCACCGCACGCAAGAGAGGACTTCGGTGTGTAAATCTGGATCCATTCGTTCGAGATTCGGTACGAGTTGCAGGAGGCAACGAAACAAACAAACATGGACGGTCTAGAAGTTGTAGATAACGGTAAGTATCTTCCAGGGGGGAGCGCCGACGGATGACATGCTGCGTCAACGTGACCGATGATGTGCTTACCTCAGCCATTTTAGCTCATTGAAAATGTAGGGCGCTGGACCAGTAACTTACACGAGTGACTGCACGAGGGACATTTCCGACCAACGGCAGGCCCTGGCGGGCACCCAAAGATCGTGGCCCCCACTCATTCGTTGGGTAGGTAGTTTGTGCAGGTAACGAGAACACACACTCTCTCTTCCTCTAATTCCGGCGTAATGAATCCGGAGGCGGGCCGGACGCAAGGTCTTCGCCGGAGTGGAACTGCGGTCTCTTCCGGCTCTTGCTGAACCGTAAGGTACTATCTGTTCGGATCGGCGATATCACATGGAACCTAGGTACAAGGGCAAGTTCAACGTTGAGTCTTGCCCTTGTTCCCTGGACGCCATGCCATACAGCATGAACGAGGGGAATCGGTCGCCTTTCGGTCCATCTTCATCTTGACTTGTAGCTATCGGCGTCCCGACTTGGCTTGCATGTGACAAGAGGAGCTACGGCCTACTAGTGTCCTGGCAAGACAGCTTTACCGTCGCGTAGTGCAAGCAGCGACGTGCGCATTTTCAGGAACATCTTAACAGCCAAAGCCAAGTTTCGAGAGTACGGGGCAGTTGCGGGATGGCGTGCCCGGGGGCCTAAAGTTGGTGGGTGAGGTGGATTTCGCGACCTACACAGAGTGTCCCTCCCCCTGTCGACCCATTCGATCATACTGCTGTAAACTTCTGGTATTTGTAGATCTTCCCACAGACAGGCGACCAGGTAGTGAAATGCACTTTGCGAACACCACCGGTTCTTCAAAGGCCGACGAAAGGCTTCTGAATAGATTGACGGGAGGGGTTGGGTAGCCGTAGGCACCTCCGCGAACCGATCAACAGTAGCCCAGTGACGTAATCGCAGCTTCGTTCTCCCGCCCGGCCTGTTTTTCCCGTGACTGTACTTCCAACCGCGCCCAACGTCATAGCTTTTAGCAGTCTGGACTCGTCCACCCCGCCAGCTGCTGATCGCCAGATCCCGCCCAGTGCTTTCCCCGTTATACTAAGGTAGATGCAGGGTTGACTTGGCACATTGGTGGACAACATGACGACCTCTACAAACCAACTCGCTAGCTCCAGGCCCGCTCGTTGGCTGGCCCTCCTCCATGTGCCACATCGGGAGCCACCGCAACTCGTCCGTTTGCGCCAGCTTTGACGTGATCTCGTCTAGCATCTCGTGCTGGGCTACCGACAACCAATACCAGGTCGCGGATGAGCTCATTTGCATCTGTTTCTAACCTGCAGTGCCTGCCTTGCTTCGGCCATGTCCAAGCCACCTTTCTTCCTCGCTTCTTACGTGCGGCAACGATAGAATGAGGTGTGGCGGCTAGGATGTACATGCCTGGATAACAATGGCATTAGCCTGGTCAGACCCCTCACTCCCCTTCTCTCGCGTCGCTTGTGCAAATAATTGGCTGTGAGGCATACGTGTGCCGCTAGCGAGCCTAGCAAGTTAGGATAGTAGGACAATTCGGGCCAAGATATGTCTCCTTCTGTCTGGAGCCGTCGTACCCGTCAGGTACATACATGACCACGTTCTCGTTTGCCTCGGGGAGGGGGTACCCCTCTGCCGTAATTACCTGGCCATCCGTTTCGCGCCCACCCCGGCCGTCCAGGTTCACATTGTGATGTATTTGGTATCAGAGACAGGCGGGGAGGTGTCGAGGCCTAAAGACGTCAGACTTGCAGGCTGCTGTCCAAGATCTGCCACGCTTGCCTTATAAGAAACCTCTTTGTCCAGTCTCATCCCGCCTTCCCAGAATTCCCTTTTTTATCTAGAAAGCAAACAATCGAAATTCGTTGACACTGTCCCGGGCATCCAAGGACTACATATATCTTGGCAACGCCCAACTTCGCAAATCACAGAATACGCAGACTACCATACAAATATACACCACCAACCGATCAATATGGAGACCATCAACAACATCGCGGGTGCGGCGAGCAAGGCCATCTGGGGGACGAATGAAGCCAACGAAGAGCCCGTCTCTGGTGTCAAGGGTAACACCAACCAGGGTGAACCGTACGACGCTGGCAACATTGGTATGTGAGAATGGTGGAACAAGCGACTCTCAATTCCCTCACCATCGATGCTGACTCAAAGGTAAAAGATTCCTTGAATAAGGAGAAGAAGACGAATGTGGCAGATGCCCAAACCTCTGACTCGGCGACCGCGTCAACTGCAACCACGACTACCGGGCCATCTACCACCACTGCTCCAAACCAAAGCACCCCGGCAGCTGGTACGACTGGTACTGGGACTGGAAACGAGCACAGCCTGACCGACAGGTCGCGTGCTACCGAAGAAGCCTCGACGCACAAGGCAACAGAGGAGTCTGCGGAGCACAAGGACGATATCGGCAAGCCCGAGCTGAAGCACACCTCGCCCGATGATGTTCCCTCGGCCGACAGCGCCGCAGGCAAGACCGAGACGCGCGCCCCCAGCGACCCAGCTACTGACCCGGCACCTAAGGGCCAGGACGTCGATAACAAGGCGTCCGGCCCCACAAGCGGCGGAGACAAGCTTGACGGCCCTGGCCCGAGACCTCTGGAAGCCGTTGCCAGGGAGCGCGGGGGTGACGCAGGCAATGTCGAGGGATCTGCCAAGGGCGGTCTCATTGGAGAGGATGGGCCCAAGCCTGATGCTGAAGAGAAGAAGGAGGATGATCCCAATGCTAGCCAAGGCGAGGAGGGCACAGGCGAGAAGCTTGTAAAGGCTACTGGACTGGCTGCGGATGGCGGCGACTTTGACGCGACGAAACCTGGCGCTGGCCGCGAGGCAGATCGTAAGTGTATCATCCGGAACTGTGATGACATCATGGTCAACTGACAAATTATGTAGGTCTCTTGGATGAGAAGGACCCTGCTCACGCTGCAGCCAAGGCGTCCGCCAAGACTGGCGGAGACAAAGCCAGTGACAAGATCAGTGAGGGTCAAACCCACAGCTCCAGCCCTGGCGCGGAGAAAGAGAAGGAAAGCCTCAAGGACAAGATCAAGGCCAAGCTCCATCGTCACTAGGGGATGGTAGTGTTTGCCAATGATTTTTTCGAGAACCATGTTCATTTGTGTATCAACAACGACTTCTAGCAACAGCGCCGGAATATGATCATGACGGCTGTTTGTAATGACTTATAGTACTGAATGATAAAGTTAATGCCTTGTACGACTACCAGTCATGTGAACCTCAGCATAAATATCAATTGTGCGTGAAGTACTAATCTTAGGGTGACGATGAAATAGCTTTCTCACAATCGGCCATGCCCAGGGAACACGTAACTGATACTGGGCAAAAGTCGCACACTTCACCATCCTTTGAGTCTTCATTTCATTTTCCTCGATTTTACCCCAGGTATTATCTAATGAACACCCAGTGTGGCTCGCATGGCTTCGTAAAAATCCTTACCGATGTTTACCATAGAAGCGCTACACCCGACCTCGACTAGACTTTGGAGTGTCTCCTCCGAAAACGTGTCTGGCTTTGGCACACCTACAGGCGGATGCGTTGACAAGGGGAGAGAGCTCTCGATTCATGATTTTCAGAGTCTTTGATATTATGAAAAGCCACGGCCCAACATTGGGATGGCAAATCAACCCACCGGCTGAAGTCTCACGCTCGGGTCCTACATCTGCCTACATCTGATGCCAGTAATTTTTCCAGCATGATATTCATCCCAAAAAACCATATACCAACATGTCTCGTTCATGTTCACCTGATGCCGTACGAGCTTTTTTTCGTTTTCCGTTTTCGGCTGGCTTTCATCCCAAACATCGGTTGCCTCGTGTCTTTCATTTCCCTGCAGGCTCGCATGCGAATTGACCAAAACAGAGTCAAGCGGTTTTCTGACACCGCGCTTGGTTTGGTAGGGTTGTGACCCTGTCGACTATTATTCAGCAGCAGTGATCCAACCAGGCCTCTGTCGTTATTTCGTCCAACCTCACTGCGTCGATTACCCCTTCTCAGAAGAGCAGCAGCTGACTTTTATTCCTCCTCTTCTGCATGTAGGGAGTGAGTGTCTCCATTCGGCCCCGTTCCGTCGGATTTGTTATCCATCGGCTAGAGTGCCACGTTGGAGACCCATCTACTCTGCACTCCTGGATTAAGCAAGCTCTGAACCTGAGGTTGGGATCACCCGATACGCAGCTGGCACGTGACCCAAGCTCTGTATTCTCATCGCGACCCCAGCGGACCGCATCGCAGGGCTCAGGCTCATATTGTTGCTGAACATCTTTTGCACCTCGAAGATCCCTTCGATGTGCGCAGCGCCCAAACCTGTCGCAGGCCTTTAATCATGCTGGAGCTGCCTGCAAGAATGGCGCACGACAGGATGCCCTCTCCATTCCAATAATTGCCGATCATAGGAAGCCAGATTCAGCAAGGACTCTGCATCAGAATTAGTAAAGGTAAGCCAATGTCTCCGATTAACGACCCGGTCTGGTCTTTGAGTGCTACGTACCTCACAATCTTTTCATCTTCGCGCTCGCGTGGCTCCACTTGCAAGCTCTTGTCGTACATCTCATGCACGTCTCCAGCAGCTTGCATATTACTTATTATGTAATCCTGCAGCTCCGGGACAGGCTGCAATGAGTAACCAACAGCTTGGTACTGTTGGATGTCACGGATCACTTCCGCCGTCTTTGCCCGCTTGGCAAAGTTGATGAGGTTAGTCTTCTTGATAATGGAGGGAATTCCGTCCTCGATGAACGTCAAGTCGGTGAGATAAACACCTAAAAGTGGGGGTTGTCAGCATCGAATTTTCGGTTCTTCCGTAGGCAGCGAGATCAGGCAGAATTACGTACCAAAGAAGGGGATACATGGCGGATTCGCCACATGGAGAGCCTCTCTGTACTCGCCAAAGTTCTTTGTGCTAGCCATGAGCTTTCTCATGGTTTCCAAGACACCCTGAGTTCTTTGCGGTACTTGGTCCCAAGTTCGCTTCAAGCGAGCAATCGGCGCTGTGCCGAGAGCTGAAATAATAGAGGTTAGTGTGGAAAAGTTGTTTAGACTGCGGCATTTCTGCGATTTGTTAGCTTGAGACTCAATTCTTGGCAACGAGTTTCTACTCACGTCTGCGACAGAAACAAAGTGCTTGATTACGATCACACGCTTCTTCACATCCATCTGTGCCAAGATCATCTCCGCCACCCAATTCGTCATTTGATTGGAGTGCAGAATGAGAGCTTTGACATTGGGTGCCGGCTCAGGTTCACCTTCGCCCACCTTCTTTTGCCATGTCTTGTTAAGGCATTCCGTGGGTTTGATCTTGCCGTACAACCGCGATTCGATTATGGTGAGCTGGCGAGCGAACTCCGTAACATCGATATCCAAGAATTTGAGTTTCTTCATGTTCTTAGGCATGATGGGCGACGGCGTGTTTTGGTTGAGCGTCTGTACCATCCGACGAGCTCCAGCTTGCTGGCCACTGAGCCGTTGATCCAGGACCGCCATCAGTGGCGCAGAGCCTGGTGTTTCTGTAGACTTGACGGTGTCCCTCGCAAAGGTGTACACATCTCGGATGAGCTGCTTTGATTCCTCATTGTGCTCTTCCATCCAGAAGTTATCGAACCAACTCTTCAGAATGTTGACGACTCGGAAGCGAATAAGTTTCTGTTTCCTGTCTCGCCAAGCTTCGAAATCCGACTGTGACAGACCTTCAGGTGGCTGAATACCAAAGCGGCTCACAATCAGTTTGAAAAGATCTTGAGCGGTTGTGAATGACCTGTATGTAAGCAGGAAGGTGTTGTTGAAGTTCGAGTCAAGCTTGTCGTGTCGTGTCAGTTGCTCAACGAGTGCCTCCAGGGTACCGCCCTTGACGATGGGAGGCGTCAGCTTGTTGTCCCAGGCAAGATCTGGCTCATGGTCCAGTTTAAGGAACTCCGGCGTGTCATCAACAGGAGGCATGTTGCTCTGAGGGTTGGGATCGTCACCCAAAATCTTCTTAACTTTCGAGTAATCGCCTCCTCGGAAGTTCCCAGTGCTCTCTCCCTCGGTAAAGGACTGCGAAGTGATCATCGGGGGTCGCGGTGCCGAGGGAGTGGTTCGTGATTCCGTACGCTGGTGGGGTCTGTCGTACGAAGCAGTTTCTCCCCGGCGGAGCTGTTCGCGCTGCATAACATCCTCCCTCTGCCTCGAATCGACTTGTTGTTGGATGTTAATTTGCACCTGTTCAGACAACAGCTGCAACGAAAAGCCGATGTGTGAGGAATTTGTCTCGAGGGCCTTGGCGCACTGTCGGACATAATCCAGTCGGTTTTCGAGGGCCTCACCTCGAACCTCAGCCCATTCATCGGCCAAAGGCCCGGCCACGGCCTGGCAACCTAGCAGCAGATCTGACATGTTGTCATATAGGCTTTGCTTGTTGGCTGCGAAGTCTGCCAACTGAGGCGTTTGGAAACTGTTTCCGAGCGATGAAAGGTCGATAGACTCGATGAGTGCAATCCAAGGCTTGAACGTCTCCAAGACTTTACCTCCAGCTAAACAAACGTTATTGCCAATAACCTCGTGCTTGAAAGGTGAAGTGATCTTGTCCGCCACAACTAGATTCTTGTCCAGTTCTCTTATGCTGAAAACAAGCATTCGTTTGAGCTCGTCCAACCTTTCGAGTTGCTTGCCGTCTAAAATTGCCGTAGGCTCGACCACGCCCTCCTCATCTTCCAAGAAGTTTGCGGTGATAGGATCGCGAGTGCCCAGCCCGTTGTTCTGCCAGCTGCCGCCAGTAGAACTTTCAATGACAAAACCAGGGAAGAGGCGCGGAATCTCCTCTCCTCGTTGTTGACGTGCAATTTCGACATAACTGAAGACGCCAAGCAGTACTCCATCCGCTTCTTGGAGACACTTCTGTACGGATTCGGCATTGGGCCAGTCAGCAGCAGCGATATGAGATGAGATTACGAGCTTCGAGAATTTTGACATCATATCTCTGAAATGGGGATAAAGGGCCTTGTTCGTAGAGATAATGGAAGGCTGGCCAGAATGATTATCAGTCGTGCCGGACCCAGCAGCAAGCAGTAGCCTCAGGTGGTCGGAGATGTCCTCTGCGCGCGCAACATATTCGGAACGATTGCCGCTTGTGATGGCATCGCGATAACGGTCAACAGCTCGGCGCATGTTGGAAACCAAGCGCGTCCAGGTCAATGGCGGTGCTGAGCCATCGTCGAAGAACGAGCGAGGCACGGTACTCGTTGGCGGCGTATTGTAAGACGTGCTGGTGAACGAAGTTGCCGATGCAATCATTGGGGTGGCGTTAGGTGCCAAGTTTGGGTTCAGATACGCGCCGTCCTTTTGCCTGACGACAGGCGCGGCACCGTTCATGGAGTCCATTGAAGTGGAAGGTGAAAGCATTTCGCTACGAGACCGACGATTGCGAGGCTATCATGCACATGCACAGGTCAGCAAAGAGCAACCCACGGCGTTGCGGGTTTTACAGCACGAGCTCTTACCAAAGACCCACGGGATGCGAGCATCAGAGACTCGCCCTCCAATTCGGACACGGAGTTTGCTTCGGAGTCTTCGTCCTCGTCTTGCGTCAAACCCCTGGCCATCATCTCTGGCGGTGGCCGTGTCTTCTCGGGGACATTGACGTTTATCCGGTTACGAGGTCCTGTCTCATTGGTAGATACTGGAGATTCCAAAGGCAATTCCATGCTTCGATCGCCCGTCATCATATTATAGTAGAAAAGGCGCCCATCTGGGGTTGCTTGCGGGATCCAGAAGTCGGCCCTTGATTTGTCGCCGAGATCCGTGCCTTCGAGCGGGAGGCCGCTGGAGTCGTCCAGCTCCGACTCGTCATCTTCTTCCAACTGCTCGTCGTAGACCTCCTGATTATCCTCCTCATCGTCAACATGGTCAAGGTCGCCGTTCTGGTCATGCTCAGGGATCTCGTCGGGACTCGTTACGATTTGACAGTAGTTGCTTGGGAACCAGCCGCGCACACCGTTGATAACGCCGTCCCACCATCCGCTTTCCAGCTGTGTTATAACCTGAATAACGTCTCCTTCGTGGAAACTGAGACTCGTGCGGTCGTCGGCCTCGTAATCGTACAAGGCTCGGACGTACATGGTACCAGGCGGGGCAGTGCCCGCAATACCGTTCATTATGGACGAGGAGGTGATGGCCTGTGAATAGGGTGAGAAGGCGTGGCCGACGTTGGGTTGGTCCAACGCCGGTTGGGAAGGGTAGTAGTTGGTAGCGTCCTGATTGAGGTTTTCGCGCGAAGGCTTTTTGCGAGAATTGTAATTGTTATTCTGACCCTGGAATAGTGCCGGCACTGCGGTCTGTGTCATCAGCATGATGAGGCGGTCGCGCTGATAACCCAAGGAGGGGGAAAGGGTCAAGTCATGATCCGGGCACGTCTACTCTGTTGTTGCTGGGACCTTTTCTGGCGGCGTCGGCGAGGAAGATGAATCGTCAATCGTGAGAAGTCGTGAAGAAAGCAGAAGAGAGCGTAGCTAGATGGGAGGGAAGCGACAGGCTGTTGAGTTGCAGTAATCCACAATCCAGGAGTCGCAGGTTTGGAGCAAGGGGGGGGGGGGGGGGGGGGGGGGGGGGGGGGGGGGGGGGGGGTGGGTCGCGGCCCGGGCGCCGCGCGGCGGCGTGGCGAGGGGGCGGGCGGGGGGGGCGCGCGGCGGGGCGGGGGCGGGGGCGACGTTCGTCTCGTCTGGCAACAGGCGCAGCCGTGTGTCGACGAGGTCGGTCGTTGGCGCTGGCGCTGGCGCTGGCGCTGACAGTTGTTGGGCCGGTTGTCGCGTTAAAGAATTCAAGTAAGAGGTCGCGACTCGAGGAGCTCACTGGTGAGATGAGATGAGAAGAATCAGTCGGCGGGTAGAAATGTGTGGGATGTGAACGACCATTCGCCGGATATTTTTCTCGCGTCGTGTGCGCTGATGCTGCTGGACAGTCGGGACGGGAGGGGACTCGGGAGGGGAGAGGGGGCATGAGGAGGAGGAGGATCGCCTGATGAGGGAAGGCCCCCGAAAGACCAATGTCGCCTAGGCGATCTCTCGGCGGGTGTATCAGACCGTCTCTGTAAATGCCTCTCTCTCGCGCTCTTTCTTCAGGGTCAACCTTTGCTGGTTGGCGACCAGTGTTGAATCCCCTGCAAGCGTCACGGTGACCGTTGAAGGGAGGGTGTATAGATGTCCTTGAATAAGGTATGGCAAACAGGCGTCTATCAACCTCGTAGTCGTTTTCGTGGTGGTGGTCAATGGCTGCAGGCTGTGTGGGTTGCGGAATTGCAGAGTCGAGGGGATTCGACTGGTGACAAAGGTGGCCCCAGGGCCCACGGTAGGTAGGGCACCTAATCGAGCGCGATAGTACGGTGCGGTTGCTATACCTGCAAATGGTTAATGGCCCGGCGAAAACTAAGGCATGGCCAAGGCGCTCTGGGGGATGGGCGTTGGATGCCGGCGGTACCTCGACGGTGGAAGCTTAACAGCCCGTGGGTACTCAATAGGACTGAAGGATTGGAGGAAGGGGACGGAGTTGGGACCTCCCTCAGGTTTGCTGGTCCCTTAGGTAAGCTCGCTGGCCTGGCTCCCGTCCCGTCTTGTCTCTTTCCCTCGTGCTTTTCCCAGGATCCTGCTTGTCCGTCTCGGTAAGGCGGGCCCTTGATCGTTCTTCTCGAACCCTCATTGGCCAGGTTGGCAGCAGCCTCTCCCCCTCCCGCTCCCATTCGAGGAAGCACAACGTGAAGTGAAGGACAGCGCGGGTTGAGGCACAGCAGGGGACCTGTAGCGTCGTGATAGGCAGGGCACTTTGGTCGAGTAGGTAAGGTAAGCCCGGGACGCGTGTTTGGCATTTAGGGGTGTCCTCGAGCTGTTGGGGATCTTCGTTGACGTCTGTGTTTCTTCCCAAAACCATGTTTTGATTAAGGCCGAGTTTTCGTTTGGTTGACTGCTCTACGTCGCAAGCTACGTCCTCGACAATGACAATCAATTGCTCAAGGCAAGTTTCATTGAGTCCTCCGCACATACGGAACGGAACGTAGGCAATCATATTGCAAACATCCATAATCCGCAAGGCAACCCATCAGACATTGCAGTCATTACTTTACCTACCTTCCTTGCCTGGAGCTAGGACGCTGTGCGGTCGGCAGGTGAGAACGTGAAAGGTGCAGGGGCCACCATACACCGATGTGGAGCCCGGGCATAAGCCTCCATGACTAAGGTACCAAGGTACCTACCTACCTAGGCACCTCTCAGGACTTAGGAACCCGACGGAAAGGCAAGTGGACCCCGCCGGCTTTTCAACTTTCACCTCATCCACTCGCACTGTGCCCCGTTTGCCTTTAAGTTTGAAGGACGACAAACAGCGCTTCGTCCATACACCCAAGCTCGCCTTGTGGTACTGAACCTCTCGAGGCCCCCTCCCTCCTCAGCAAGCAGACAGAGGTGTCAGCAGGTAGGTTCCCTAATAAATTCCCCCAGTCCTTGCCCGTCTTCACACTGTGCTAGGCCCGAGGAATCGTTGATAGCTCTCAGACGCCACGTCCCTCCCTCCTGGTATAGTGACATATACGCTCGCTGCCTATGGTACGTAATGATGGTCACTATCTATTGTATCCGAAGTGTTTACCATGGCTTGCCTAGCTGCTGCATCGAGAGTCGAGGCCAAGGACGGTTAAATCCAGGCGCCGCCTCAATCAATACAATCCGACCTCATCCCGACTTCCTCGGCAGCAATGCCAGTTGCCCGTCTCGACGCAATTAGCTGCACTCACTCTTCGTCCGAAGTTAAAAGATGGCCTGGGTTCACCATCCGTCTGCAAGGCAGACGGCTCATCGACTACCCGTTTCCGACCGGGTGTAAGACAATGCCGTTGTGCGTACTCCGGTGAAGTGTAAACCGGATCATCCCCCATTCGCCCTCGTTCATTCCCCGTCCGGTCACGACGGCCCGGACAACCCACAGAGTGTATTGGAACCGAGATGCTTTCCAAGGGGTGGGCTTGGACATTGTACTTTACCTGGCCTTTGCCGGTGGACGGCATGCCTCATGACGGCGCCCGTATAGCCTGTAAGTGAGTGATTCCCCTGGCCTTTGGCGCTGCGCCCGGCCACGTCTCAGCGGCCGAATTACCCGTCGATTCCATCCGGTTCAATGCCAATCGCCCATCTTTACCAGGAGCCTGGAGGGCTGGCCTTCACCTAGAGGTGTGTTTCGGCATCATTGACGCTCCGAGTCTAAATCGGGGGAAAGGTCGCTGTGCTTCGGTTAGATGCTGTTGCTCCGTCGTTATAGCAACTAGGGGCGGCCGTACTGTACCTTACACCGAGGCAGGGCAGGCATCTGGTCGTCGAGATACGTGGGAGCCCATCTAACACACACCCGCGCTGTTTGTCTGCGAAGGGTTACAGAATGGGCCCGAGAGTCTTGCTGTGAAGTTGAACAAATGGCCCTATCCACGGGTTGGCAGATGGGTTACGGTGCGGGGCGCTCCGTGAGGAAGAAGAAAAAGGGTCCGCCATCGTTCACAAGTCTCTCCTTGTGTATTGCAGTTCGGGACGATGTCAGAAATTCTAAGGAGACGCATTGCAAGAGTGGGCTGAAAACGAAACATTAAAAGGCATCCAATACTGACGCAGTAGTCACTAGCTGCAATGCACCTGGCGGTTCTAGTGCTTTTGCCAGAGGGACAGTGACCTAGAAAGAGCGGTTTCAGGTCGTGATTCGTTCACGTTCCGGGGCCTTGGACACTGACGCCGATCCCACCTCGGCCTCTGAATACTCATTAGGCGACCTATGAGTCTGTGACTACCTTGCAGAGGTGCGATGGCCACGCCCTATCGGGACTCAAGCAGGGAATCCGGACCTAACAGTCGGCTCGGTGATCGTCAGGGGTGAGCTGCCAGTCGTCTTCAGCCTCCCGCCACAAGTTGCTGATCTGCTCAGTGCTCGTTCTCTGTCGTGAGCACACTATCAGCAGTGCATCGCAATTATGAATTAAGTGAGAAAGCCGTGGTACCAGCATTTCCCCTCCACACAACATGTTTCCTCCCACTCTTGGCCCGCTGCACTTTTCAAGTGCGAGACCTCTGTGTCTGCTCGCCTTAATTCCGATCGCCTCACCACCATGGGAGCAAGGGGCCAGGGAAGGGTAAGGTGCCAAGAGCCAGAAGGAGGTCCAAAGGGGTACCCGGGACCAGCGGATGCCGGAGGAGCCAGCCTTCAAAGTGTCTAGAAGTTCTGAAGCAACCCTTGAGCTTGCTGTTAATTAGACAAGCCCACCCACTCCACTACAACCGTTCCAATAGCCATCCTAGCACACGCGGAGCGCAAACAGGCACGCCGCACTGCCAACGGGGAACCGGTCGACCGGAACCGTGCCGCGGCGTGGTGGCTCTGACTCCTCCGTGCCCAGACGTGGAGGCGCCTCCATTTTAGCTGTGCCTAGTGCCCCGCTATCCTAAAGGGTTTCTAAACTTTCTCGCTTTCTTCCTATTGTCCCCCCCTCTTCACTTTTCAACCAATATCTCCTCAGCTATTTCCTCGTCCCTAATTAGGGATCGGGGCCCAGAGGAGGAAAAAGTCGAAGAGCAATCGTGCGCTGGAATTGCCCTAAGAGGAGCGTTTCCGCACGATTTCCGTTGACGGGTTGCCACAATCGCAGCGCTTTGTTAACATCAGATGAAAACTTCCACTGTGTACGGATAGGCTGACAGCTTATAACTTTGTAGACGGCGAGGGGTCGATGAAGGAGAGATTCCCGACTCAGCCATCCCGGTCATTTTTTGTTCTGGCTTGGCAAGCCTTGTCCAATGTATGCCGAAGCTTCAAATGAAGGGCACCGAAAGCCCGGGTTGGAATGGATCCTGGAGACATATTTCTCTCCTGGTTTCCTTTTCTTGGCCTGAGCCACTTCTGATTCTGGGTCCCCTTCCGGCGTCCGCTCGTAGGGTTCCTAGATTGCCAGGTAGATGGTGGGGGACATGGCTTGGGTTAAGTTGGATTCGAGGGCCCATATATTGCAAGAGAGGGACTATTGCAGATGTTGAACGGCGTGCCGGACTGGGGTGCAGGTAAGCCTCGTTGAGCGGTGTCTGGAGATGGAGCTGGCTGCTGAATCATCGAGGGGCAGTTGTGTCCCGTATGGTGTCTGCTGTGTATTCCGTAGGTATCTAGGTTCTAGATTCCCAAGCCGCATGTTCGTAGAAGACACGTCAATGCGTTGGGCAAGGAATTTGTCGGTGAGGCCATTGCTTCTGGGTTCGTTGATCGAGCCAGCAGCACGTCTATGAAGGCTTATCTGGCGTGCCTCGACACGGCGTTGACTTGCGGCATCATGGAGGCCGCTGTGAAGGGGGTGATATTGTGAGCATAAAAAAGAGTGGAAGAGGGGATATCCACTTTCCTGCTGCGACCCAGCAGTTGAAGCGTAAGTTGACAGTTGGCTCCCCACCGATATGACAGGACTTGCCCTTTCTGCTCTGACCCCTGAAATTCAACTTCTGTCCGCCTTTTCATGTACCCACTCCGACATTTCGTCGTTCGAGACCGACAAGGTGAAAGACGCGCTTACAAGGACTCACCGCATCGTTGGTGCTCAACAAGCGATGCGATGCCCCTCCAGGGCTCTGTACTTACTGGATAGGGACCCAGTTGATTCCGCGCTTTTGTCCCTGCAGTTCATGGGCCCTGGAAGCGCCAGTTCACGACATCGACGGGGGGGTGCTGAGGGCGGTGACGGTGAATTGTAAGTGCAAGCGAGCGAGCGAGCGATGGGCTTGCAAGGTCTAGGATGAGCACCCGTAGCACATCCGGATGCGTGACAGCGAATTCTGGGCCATAATCGGTGGTTCAGAGAGGGGGAGGGGCGCGGTGGTCGTGAATCAAGTTGGACATCTTTGAGGGAGAGGGGGATGTGCGTGAAGGCAGATTTATGGCGCCAGGGATGCGAATGAGAAAGCCGAGAAATCAACGAGGCTGACAGGGCCAGAGCGGATTCCGAGGGAGTTATACGTGCTACGTACGGTTATCCGCACCAGATTTGACATGGTAATATCATAATATCTAACTGATAATCGCAGTGGAGCGTTGATCGTTTTCCCTAGACTTCGGGCGGCGGGTTGGTGACATGGACAGGCCGAGTGACAGATCCGTAATGACAGGAGATTTGCAATGGAAGCAATGGACCCAGTCATGGAAGGCACGGAGAAAATTGTGTAACTCGCTTGGAAAAGAGAACGGGATCGAGGAACACTGCGGCACTTCCATGATACACCCCCAATGGTTCTGGGACTGGACCGTTTGGGGTCGTAGGCCCGGGGCGGCGGGGTGAGAGGGGCGTTTTTGGTTTTATCAACGTGGTGAACCGTGAAATAAGGTAACTTGGGAGTCGGCACGCCACACAACGGGTGAGACGGATACCTGGAAAGGTTCGAGGGACAAAACACCTTATTATCGTGCCAGCTTGAGGGAGAGGGACCGGCCTGCGCCGCACTTGAGCTTCGCAAGGAGGCTGGAGAAGGGAAAGGGAACCGAGGGAGGAAGGTCGCAGTTGCGCTGGCACCAGCCTCAGTTTTCGTCCGTCGTCCCTCTACTTGCAAGAGCATAGGAAAACTCATAATGGACCTCTGCAGGGCATATCTATTTCAGCGCACCAGGGACCCGGACGTGCGTAATACCAAGCGAGCTACCCATTTGTGCATGGGTTTGAAAGGAGAGTCAGAGCAGAGATGGAAAAAATTTTCTCATCCATATCAGAAAGCGGGAAACCATATCAATTTCCAAAATCGAAAAGGCCAAGGGAAAAGAAAGCAAGTTCTCCGATGTTGAGTCAGAAAGGGGAGATAAGAAAAAAAGGGAAAGGGATAGGGGGGCGGAAAGGGATGAGACTCCTCACTCAGGAGAGGAAGGAGGGGGAGGGGCTCGAGGACCGAGGGGCACACCAGTGCGACCAGCATCGAGAGTCGAGACGACGACATCGATATCATCTCGTTTGGCGAAGATCGCGGGAGCGCTTCCGTGTTCCGCGATGGAGCCGTGGTCCGGTTGTCTTTTTTCTCATTCCACTTGTTGATTATGCCCAAATACAATACTACGTGTCGTGGTCTGTGTTACGCATGGTCGGTCGTGCTTCGCATCATTTCAGATCGTGTTCTCGTCTCATTTTCGATCTGCTGCCGGCAACCAAGACAGGAGCCCTGTACGGATAATCCAGTCCTCTCTTCTACCTTCTCACAGTAGTCGACCGAACAGGGAATACGACCCGCTTGCCCGGATGCTTGTCGAAGACCGCTCCCAAGGACCCAAGCAAGGCTATTGAGGATCTTGCATCAAGAGAAGTCCCGACCGCTTCAGATATGACTGACCGCCTTTGAGGAATGGACGAAGAAGCGGTCGAGCTTTTGGCATCCCAGATGATAGAGTAAGTGGCTCTCCCATGGGCTTCCGTGGGGATTTCAACCAAATGTGTTTTGTCTCATCAATGATGATTTATCCGTAGGTGCACCCCAAGTCGAGTTGGAAGAAAATGCGTCCCGCTCTCTCGGCCGGGAATGAAGTACCTTAGTAATTCGCGCTACGTCCGCGGCAGCGGTGCGGGTGCGGGAAGCGGTACGGGTGACGGGTATCCCAAACCAGCAAGCCCAGCCCAGCCCAGTGGTTCTGTCAGTCTCATATTGTGGCCAGCGCGTCTCATTGCGTTTTGCCTCTTCCTTGGTGATTGGCCAATGCCAGCTTAGCAGGCGCGGCGCGCGAACGCCGCGTTCTGAAGTTAAACCACGTTTGAATCGGTACAAGGCCCACAGAAGCGCCATGGGACACTGGACATGGGCGCGGACTCGACGTTTGCTCATCCACTTCAAACTTGTGACGGACCCCGTAGAACCGTTCTCCCGCGTCCGGGATGCGAACACCAGCAACAGGTGCATGTGAGTTGCAGCCTGAGACCCGCGGCGAGCAGATGCGAGAGGAACGGCGGGGCGACCTTGAGTGGAACTAGGACCCATTGCAGGATGCCTTAGTACACATACCGGGACACTTTCCAACAACTCCCTGCCTGTTCTCTCAAAGTACACGTGTATTGGGCCGCGTACTTATCCTCGACCTGCAGGACGGAGGTACACAGGGATACCTCTCCTCACCGCCGTAAGTGACAGAATGGGTCTCCGTCCACGGGAACAAGCATGCATTCCGCCGGCGCGCGTTAGTGCAGCTTGTCGAGACACGTATTGTCCGAGTACCGGACGTACCCTGACCGCGCTGATGTACCGTCCGGAGACCGGGAGACGGGTCCTCTGCCCATTGGCTCGAAGTAGGGGACGCCCGGTAGGAATTTGTTGCTAATCCTAGCTTGTCCGTTGCGCAACCCATCCCATCCGTTCCATCCCATCTCCCGTGGGATGGGTTTGCCAGCTGGAAACCCTCAAAACCTTGCATTACTGCCCTGTCTGCAACTCCCGTTTGGGCTGGACCAGCTACCGGCTTCAAATGGCACGTATAGAGCCTAGGCACGTGTAACTTGTTAGCAGCTAGGCATCGCGGTTCTGCGTTGAACATGGGGGTTTCAGACGTTATAGCGAAGCAATCGCAGGACATAAAGAGTGATAGAGGGGGAGGGGCCGATGACCAGCCGTGGGGGCTCTGTCGCACTGAAGAGGGGTGAGGTGTCCTCAGGAGTCAGAGACGCGGGAGGTGATCATAGAATCATTGGAAGCGTGTCAGCCTTTTTCGCCAGCCAGGCCCCTCGCGGCTTGCCCTTGTTCACATCCTCCCTCTCGAGTTCCGGAGCCGGGGCGAAATTGCCAACCAAATCGGCGGTCCGGGTTTAGCAAGGCTAGGCCTGGAGGGGTAGCGAGTTGCTGGGACATAGGGAACCCCCAAGCTGTTCGTAACTGCAATTTCTTTTGCACGTCGCCTCTCCTTCAGCCTCGGGTTCTCACGCGACGGTAATCTGCGAATTTCTCTCGGTAGACACATGGGCGACGTCAGTGCTCGTTAGCACCCGCCCTCCTAGGCAAGGCATTCTGTTTCGCTTGGTCCAGAAGCAAGTAATGATGAAAAGCCTGGCCGAGTATGGAGATGATGCATGCGAGGTGATGGATGGGGGGGGGGGGGGGCTGCCAGTCGTCTGTCATCTTGCCTCGAACAACAATGTCATTGCATGCCTTAGTAAGGTGAGCTATGGGACGGGACGAACTGGTGAAGCGGATACCGTGCATATCTTGACTTACCCTACCTCTCAGCTACCCCGACTTGCGTCCTCGTCTTCCACCGCATGTCTCTCACCATCTCGTCTTTCCTCCTTTTCCCTTCTGGCTGAAATGGTTTGAAGTTTGAACAGTTCAGCGATGATGATCCGTCACCCGAACGGCCACATCATCGTCCTTGGATGATTCCTGTCATCACGCCCAGGGCACACGAGACCAGCAAATCAGTGCCTACCTTAGCGTCGTGTACCGCTGCCTTGGTCCAGTCCACCCCGAATGGGACCCCCTAAATAACCCGGAAGTCCAGCGCCGCCTACCATTAGCCCGTGTTTCGCTGTCTTGTATTGTATGTGTCTTCGTAGGCACTCAACTTAGGTGGCTCGCCGACCGGCTCCTTGCCCTGGCCGCACGCCCCCCCCCCTTGGACTCTCGACGCGCCCCAGCAATCATCCTTGAAGCGTCCCATAACCCGGCCATCCGCCCTTTGGCTTTCCCTGCCATGTTTATGTGGGTACGGAGTACTGGGCACCGGGGATTGAGGTGTCTGGAAGTGGCTAGTTGTGCTCCGGACGGGTCGGGTGCATGCCAGGCCTTGCAAATCTCGTGCGCTCCATTTCACCATCCCGCGACCCAAAATCTGAGCGCCGCGACTCTGGTTAGGATAATGACATTAGTTGTGGCTAGTATCCGGGCTTGGTGTTATAGTATGGCGCACCGCACGAGCTCAAGTACCTTATCCGATTTCCTGTGTCATTGATGCGTCTCTATTTGAAGCACTGCTTCCTCGTGGTCGCTAAATGTAGACAGACGGGTCATTGGCGGCTGCGAGGGAAAGATGTGAGGCCTACCCCGGTCTGGCGACAAAGTTTCACTGGTAATCCCTGAATCCTGGAAGTGCCATGTTGTGTCGTGTTCGCAAAGGGGCCAACCGATACGGATAGACGGTGATGACTGGACACTCCAGCGTGATAATTAGTGAACGTCAGTTCTTTTCTCTCCGGTGGTTGGTATTTGCCCCTATTCGTCCGTCTGTCTCTTGACCCCTAAAATTGTCTTGAACTGCAATGGCGAGCCGCGAGACGACCCAGTCAGATTCCTCGCCTCTTATGTATCAGACGAGATGAGGGTACTATACATTGATACATACCTTCATGGTTCCGAGAAATTTGATGGAAATTGGATAAAGGCAAACTAATTGCTCGGGCTCGAAGGAGCTGGCTTGGAGTCTTGGACGCGTTGCGGAGAGGTGCAATGCAATCCAATGCCTTCAGACTCGACTCGTGCCATTGAGACATGTAAAGGCTGAATGGAAGCTGGACTTACCTGGGGCTGGAGCTGAAGTTGGACGCCCTGCGCGAGAAGCGATGAAGTGTCCGTATATTGTTTACAAAGCGATGGTTGCGAGGAACTTGGAAGTGGGATCGCCAGTGCCTGCTTACATAGCTCCGGCCCTCCCTTCCCGTTCCCTACCAGTCTATCCGTAATAGGGGAGGTAGCTACTAAAGCAGTGTTTGCATTCCGCCACTTACATGGCAGGTGGTGCAGGTAGAAACCAGAAAGACGTAATTATGGAGACAGGAATGACTAACCAACCTGAACCTTACCTCCCGTCATCTAAAAGTGGTCCAGGAGGGCAGGATACGTACCTCCGTCCCCGTCCGGAGCCCGAGTGCTTTTATTTTTGTGAGCAGCATGCGTGTGCCACTGTGCATTGTTGCCAACAGCACCCCAGCGGCAGCGACTATGAGTACAACAACGACAGCGGAAGCAACAGCAGCACGACAAAGCCAGCATGGAATGACAGATAGTGCAGCTGGAGGAGGGAGGCAATGGAGGAAGACAGCAAAAAGGTAACGAGGAGGAGGAGAAGGATAAGGACGACTACGAAGTCGAAGCCGATGAGAAGATGGAGACAGAGCCAATAGATGTGCAGGACTCATCACCTCTGCAGCGGCTTGCCGTCGTTCTTCTACATAGTGACCAGTGGTTTC